GGTCCTCATCAGCCTCCGTGTTACTGTATAAATTTGTATTTGTCTAATTTATTGTTAAATTTCCCCCTCTTTGTAATATTAAGTGCTGCGGAATAAGTTGGCTCTAAATATATGCCAAAAATAATATATAGCATATTCCAAAACATGACTATGATCCATGAATTTTCTATTTATTTTTTTCCTTATTCTTTGTGATTGCAGGAGCTGGAGAAATCTGACTCTAACCACTACATTATCCTGTTTCGTGACGCCGGCTGTCAGTTCAGAGCGCTTTATTCTTTTCACCCCGACTCGGAAGAAATCTATAAACTAACTGGAACTGGCCCCAAAAACATCACAAAGAAAATGATCGATAAACTTTACAAATACAGTTCAGACAGAAAACAATTTACAGTGATCCCTGCCAAAACAATGTCTGTGAGCGTTGACGCTGTAACTATTCATAACCACCTGTGGCAGGCCAAGCGACCAGGGTTGCCAAAGAAGAACCCGCTTTCCAAGTAACCGGGGCAGGGTGGTGGAACACGTTGGTTTGCAAGAGGAAAAAAAAAAAAAGTTTACCTTATTTCTCCAGTTGGTACAAACTGCGCAGCACTTTGAATGTTTTTTTTTTGTTTGTTTTTTTCTCTCAAAGGGAATTTTAAGGAAATTATTTTACACGTGTGTTTAATCCTTTTGCTGTTGAAGTTTAGGCCCTCTCCAGCATCAGATTTATTTGATTTGAAGGAAGTGTCAGTGTTCATTTTGTTTCCCTTGTGAATGAATGGGTGGTGACTGCTGTGAATCTGAAAATAAAACAAAAAACTCTTGATGGAAGGAAGACTTTGCATGCGGCAAAACAAATTTTGTCCAGTGGGATTTAAATTTTACTTGAAGTGCTCCCAAACTTGCATAAACCTAGCAGTTATTCTTTGGTCACTTTATTAAGCGGGTATTTAAACTGGCAGACATCAGCAGGTCAGAAAGTGTAACCGTAATAGGAATTTTCTATGAATTGATAAATTTGCAGCTTCCAGCCTACTGTATCTACTGCCAGCATTTTACCTGGAGGAGGCTGGATGGATAGGTGGGCTATAAACGTGCACACTAAATCATCCTTGCTCATTAACAGGAGGAAATATGGTTTCTACAATAGGTGGTTGTACGCTAAACAGTCATTTAAGTTTCTAGACTTGAAATACGTGTGAAAAGAATGAGCCTTTTTTTTTTTTCTTTTTTTTTTCTTTTCTTTTTTTTTTAAAACCCAAACACTAATTTTGCCCTCAATCTGTACAAAGGTTATCTCTTTATTATGTTCCCAGCTTAAGTGTATGGTTTAGCAGTAGGTCAGTCCCTACCTACACTTAGCACGGTACTCCTGTCTACATACAGTCTATTTGTGCACTTAAAAAGAAAAAAAAAAATCACAGTCCTTTTTAATGGTTTTATGATGTTTTCAAATGTAATATTATCTGCGTTGCTGTTTTAATTTCAACATGATGCACACATCAAAGAGAAGAGCATTGTGCTCAGTTGAAAGATGTCGTTTTTTTTTGTTTTTTTTTTATTGTTTGTTTTTTTTAAACACCTTCTGTGAGGGGGAGGATAGAGTTAAACATATTTATTATATACTGTATCCATTCATTTAATTATATCGCCCCCTCTCAATCTCAAAATCAAACATTGTTTTTCAAATTCCAAAGATTGTTTTTCTTTCTATAATCAGGTTGGGATATTAAAGGCTGCTTTGAATTTGTGAAAACACTAAACGCTGTTTAAAGTTGTGGGGGTTTATGGTTTGTGTGTTGTTTTTTTTTTTTTTCCTTTCTTTAATGTATTTTTCCATGCACTTTGAATTTTTTTTTTTTTTTTTAATTCAATCGAATTTCACAAAAACGTAATGTGAATTTAACAGGTATGTTACAGTTCAAATGAAATCCTAAACTGATTTTTGTGAGATTTATTTTAATTTTTATATAATTTTTTTTCCCTTTTGGTTTGCACATGTTTCTTATGTTTCAACTATTACTTGAAATATATTGGTACTGATGAGGACACTGTTGCATCATTAAACCGAAATAAAACAGTCATGCGACTTCATTGAGTGCTTCCATGCATCGCACCCCAGCACTCGACTGGGTTAATACTGCTAGCCCATATTGTATAGAAAGCAGTGACTGAAACTAGCCTGACTCCCCACACTCCCTTCTCCCTGGCAGTAAATACTTGCCTGATTAATACTGTACCACATTGATGTAGATTCATGCAATTCTGTATATATTTGTTCACATTGGCTAGTGCTGTGTATATAAATCCGAAAAGCTTTATCATTAAGTTCTGAACGGTATAAAGCAAATTTAATGCTGATCATGCTTTTTTTCCATGGCTGTCTTTCTCTCCCCACACCGTGAATATTCTATTCCATATTTATTTTATGAAAGCACTGAGATTAAATAAAATGAAATAATGTATATTTTTTCCTCTTCATTTATTTTTCCATTTATTCACACTGTTCGTTAACATTTCACTCCTGGTTTATCCTTCTCTTAGTATAGAATTTTTGCTCATTTCCTATTAGCCTGTGGGTTGTTGAGTTTAAAGCTTAATCAGTGCCTTTGTCTGCTTTTAAATGAACACAAAAACCTGGGCTAATGCAGTGGTCATGTTTATGTTTTTAGCATTACATACTTTATCACAATATAATGTTCTTTATCCAAAGTATGATATATTTAAAATTACTTTATAAAAAAATAATGTAAGGTCTCTTCAAAATCATAGGCTTTACTTCTTGGTCGCAGGCTGTTGGTTGCCCCAAATCAGCCTCCGGTCAAGTTACAGAGAAAGCGGAATTTTGAGAGTGAACACTTGCTTCCTGTGCAAATTAACATTCTGTTTGGACTTTAACTTTCAGGAAAAAAGGGATTTATTTTAGCCTAGATTAGTTCTGAGTTGAACACGTTTTGGGACGGTTAAAGGGACAGTATAGTCACCAAAACAACTACAGCTTATTGAATTTGTTCTGGTGAGTAGAATCATTCCCTTCAGGCTTTTTGCTGTCAACACTGTCTTTTCAGAGAAAATGCAGTGTTTACATTACGGCCTAGTGATAAATTCACTGGCCACTCCTCAGATAGCTGTTAGAGATACTTCCTGGGTCATGGCTGCCTAAAATGCATCCAAACATTCAGTATCTCCTCCCTCTGCATGCAGATACTGAACTTTCCTCATAGAGATTCATTGATTCAATTCATCTCTATGAGGAGATGCTGATTGGCCAGGGCTGTGTTTGAATCATGCTGGCTCTGCCCCTGATCTGCCTCTGACAGTCTCAGCCAATCCTATGGGGAAGCACTGTGATTGGATCAGGCAACCACTTCTGATGATGTCAGCAGACTGCTTGTTTTTCTGAGTCTAACAGCAGGCAGAGTTACAGCTTCTGGCTTGAATACAGTAAGATTTTGCTATATTTATGGAGGCATGAAGGGCCCAGGGGGGCTAGATGGTGGTTTTAACACTATAGGGTCAGGAGTACATGTTTGTCTTCCTGACCCTATAGTGATCCTTTAATATAGATGCAGGCTCTGATAAAGAAGGTTTTGCAGTGAGAGATGCTGTAGGCTGTGGTTAATGGGCCATGAATCAATGCTGTATATAATTTTTTTTTTTTGGTTTGTTTCGCAGATGCTCAATGTAGGTTTTTGCACTAATGGGTGCAAATAAAGGAATATTCCAAAAAAAAAAAAACCTGTTTTAAGAACAGCCTGTTTTTAATCAGAGTACCCCTTCCAAACAAACACTAAAACAGAAATAAAATGGTTACATTTCACCTCAATCCAGCAGCCAGGCCAAGTTGTCCCTGCAGTCTGATCCTTCCTCGCCAGTATTACTATCCCTTCAGACATCAGGGATGACGTGGGGGAGGCAGTGCTACCATTGGCTGTCAGTTATCCCCACGCAGTTCATGCTGATGGCAGATGTCAAACCTGCCGAGAATTAATAGCCACCCAAAACACTTGTTTCGGACTGGGTAATGACGCTGCCAGAGGCAGAGTTACACCTCTAACAGCAAAGGGTTTAAACGGTTTTAAAGGATGCAAACGTATTCCTAATACTATCATTGGACTAGCTATTTATGTCCACGACCACCCCCAGAGTAGAGTTAAAAGGTTTTAAACTTACATTTTCTCCATTACCACACTGGCCTCATCTCCAGTTTGGATGATCTCAACCAATCCAGGTTGAGCGAGGTTATTGTGCATTCATGGCAAAATGCAGCACCAATCAGCATCTCCTCACAGAGATACATTGTATCAGTGCAGCTCTTTGGGATCGTTCAGCTGAACACCAGTTCTGCACATTGGGCAGCAATGACCCAGAAAGCACCTCTAGTGGCTGTTCGAGTGACTGCTACTAGAGGTGTTACTAGCCAGCAATATAAACGCAGCCTTTTCTCTGAAAAGCATTTAGGGACATTTAAATTCAGCTGTAGTGCTTCTGGTGACTATACTGTCCCTTTAATACACACCTTAACTAGGGTTTGCGCTAGTTTAAGATTAAGGGTATGATCTCTTACACCCATCTAATTTCCATATGTATATGATTTTTCCTTTTTAATCCTATTGTGTTTTCATACTATAAACCAATTTTATTTTTTCAAATTTTGTTTCCTGATTTTCAATTCCGCTAAGAGGCTGCTGTTATTGCAAATGACGTTATGGAAGCAAGAACATTTCTGAGGGATTTAGTCAAATGTGTTGCTTTATGCGTTTTTAAAGTGTTATCGATACAGTGCTTAACAGTTGCCAGTTCAACTCGAATTTCTAGACAATTGATAAAGAGAGCAAGCTGCTTTGCTAATCTTTCAGTGGTAACAACTTTGCAACTTTCTGCTTTTTGACTTCAGCTAATCTATCTACATTGCCGTCAACGCAAACTCTCCAGCCTTTATAATTGTGACATGGTCTGTCTCCCAAAGTTAGTAGGGTCTTTTCTCATCGTGCAGATTGCTGAACGTGGAGTTGATATTAAGTGCTTGGTTCGTGATGATTTCCAAATCTTATCTGAGGATTTCATACTTTTAGTGATTAACTTTATGTGAGAAAATGATTTTGACATGAACGTCACTGACACATTTATAGGTATCCATGTCTAAACACAAAGCTGCCCAGTGAATAGAAATTCATGTCTAAACATGACTTCTGCAATGATCCAGCGCTTTGTTCTGATTGGTATGGTGATTAGAAAGCACTGTGTAATGGATGAACTAGAAACATTAAACACATTTCAGGTATATTTCATTTAATTTTCTTTAATCTTTGTTAGACTTTAGGTGTTTTTTTTTTTCTTCTTTTAATTTAACCACTGAAAAATATTGATTCTGGTATTAATGTCCATTCATGTGTTGTGAAAGAGACTAGTTAGTCTCTGTAGGAACACTACACTATAGTGTTATACCAGGGTTTGAGAAATGTGTTTGGAATCTAGGAGCCAGCTAAAAAAGTTAGGAGCCAGTCAATTTCAATGAGAAAATGTTCTGGTGTCTATAGTCTGTCCCTGCAGGCTTTTCAGTGTAAACACTGGATATCTGCAAAAAGGCAGTGTTTACATTGCTGCTTGGTAACACCTCTAGTGACAGTCACTCAGACTGCCACTAGAGAGTCTTGGGTCACTGCAGCACAGTGTGCAGCACCCACGTTCAGGCAAGTTCTTCATAGAGCAGGCATAGGCAACCTTCGGCACTCTAGATGTTTTGGACTACACATCCCATGATTGTTTGCCAGCATTATAGGTGTAAGAGCATTATGGGGGCTGTAGTCCACAACATCTGTAGTGCCGAAGGTTGCCTATCCCTGTGAGATTCATTAATTCAATGCATCTCTATGAGGAGATGTGGATTGACACATTTGCTGCGCACGCACAAAATCCTTCCAATGTTTTCCTAAGGCAAAGCATTGGCTTAGCTGAGATCATAAAGATTGAAAATCTCAGCCATGGAGGTGATACCAGCCATGGCGAAACTGGCATGGCGTGGGAAAATGGGGGGATAAAGGCAAGTAAAAACACCTTCCTCATGTGATTGGAGGGGGCAGGTACCTAAAGGCGTGCACACACACGGACAGGCTCTCACATACACATTCACGCTGACAACAGGCTTGACAGACAGACACACACACGCACATACTGCCAGACATACACACACATTTTGTTTTAATAGAAAACCACTCAGCCTCCCTATCTTTGGGAGAGCTGAGTGAATATTTCCCTGGGGTCCAGTGGGACTGTTCTCTTCCTGCGTGTGAGGGAGCAGTAATCTACCTGCAGCTCCCCTCTGCTCTATGTGCACTCTCTGTAGTGATGCTGAAGTGATGTCATATTCCGACACCCGGCATCGTTAGACAGCGCAAGGGAGCAGAGGGGAGCTGCAGGTAGATTTTTGCTCCCTCACACGACGACCACAATGCTCCTTCTTGTTCCTGGGCTGCCGGCTCCAATAATCCCTTTGCAGGCCGCTGTCAAAGCTCCCTCGGCGGCCATATTAACTAGAGAACTGGTGAATCCCAGGACAAGGTTTCTAGTCGCCGTGGCAACCGGGCACCTGGGATTTGTCGAGCTCTGTGTTAAACTAGTTGTTTAGGACCCTGGCCCCCCTTAGATAACCTATGAAAGGTGATGTTTTTCTCGCTGCAGCTGGCTCTGCCTCCACGGTTGTGACCTAGACTTCTTGTGTTCAATACCCACTTCAGAGACTTCATCATCGCAGAGCTGGCGATTGGGCCCCTGGCTTGCAGGCTTTGGGGTTAAACTGTTTAATGGTTTAGCCCCTTCAGCTAACACTGAGCCAGTGCAGTCCTTGCACCATAACAACTTAATTGCAATTACGTTAGGGTGCTTGGAGTGGTCCTACTGAACACCAAATTGCAACATTCAGGTAACTCCAGCAGACTATCCCTGGTCGCCTCTCATTGATGCATATCACGATTCAATGTTTTCTGAATAAATCCCATAGAGAAATATAAAGATCAATTTATCAGAATTGTTTAATCAACTTCATAAGGAATTCATAAAGGAAATGTGTAGCCATTTTGTTTCATTTCTACTTTATAAAACAATAAATAGTGTTTCGAGAGAAATGGGGAAAAAAATATATAATATATGCACAATTTGTGCCAAAATAGCCAAACTTTTGTTTTGTGGAGTTTGAACCGTTATCTGCGGCAGACCTTTTTAATAGCAAACTTTTAACTAAACTGTAACAGGTTGCACAGATAGGACTGACACAATATCAATCAGTTTTTCTGTGGACATAATTAATTAAAATCCCTGTGCATTTAAATGTTCACTTTTCCTACACTTTTAGATAAATGAACTCATCGTGTCTAGTTGATGTGCTTAGTTAACCTTTGTCATTAACGTTTTTCTAACCTGATACTTGACTGACCATGCGTACAGCTGGACTCCAAGATATCTTCATGCTCAACAAGTGACCGTTTAAAACCTGCAAGTTGGAACCTGTCTTTTGGAAATTCCACATCCTGCCCTTAGATTCTGTCTAAGTTCTCGAAGAAGACTGTCTGTTAGTTATTGTTGATCTGGTGGCTGGTTTGCCAGCATGAAAGGTACATCAAATATCGCACCGCTTATTCTTCATCACCCTATAAATATACATATACAGGTAATAGCTATCTGAAAACAAACCGGGGGTGATTAAAATATTCATTTCAATTCCAGAGCTCCTTCGAATGATCATCCTTTGTGGATTTGTCAGAGATTCAATATCTACCTGTCTTAAGAACAATGATCAGCATATCTGTGACACTTTAGAATATGGTAAGAACTTTTTTTGCATCCACATACATAATTTCAAATTTTAGAAGCAATAATTAAGTGCTGCAAATTTTTTGTATAATTTTTAATTCCATTTTTATGTAGTAAAAAAATCTATAAAAGAACCATTGGCAGTCATCAAAATAAAATTGATAAAGCAATAACTCGGCGCTGACTCACTGATACAAGCTTAGTCTAATCAACGTGCGATATAGTTTTATAAAAGATATTGGTACAATTTATTGAGAGAGAATGCTGGTAGGGTTATTCAATAAAGTCTGAAATGTCAGAAGTTCAATGTAAAATCAAAATACGCCATCAGCTGTCTGTTTAGTTAATCTGTTTTGGCTTAAATTTTATTTATTTTTAATTTCTTTATTTAAAGACCATAAAAATTGACAAAGCAAAACGATTTGGCCTTAAATTTTAAATTCACAATGATAATTTACACTTTAATGAATGACTGAGGTTCGAGGTTAAAAAGTATGATATGCTGCAGTTGGGTACAATAAATTACTTGATTTAATATTATAGGATACGTTTTCCGATAAACTTCTAGAATGATTTAATATTATGAAAAATATTTTCATTTTGATATATTTTATTATAAATGTGATTTTTTTTTTTTTTTATATTTTTAATGTTTAAAAAATAATTTTCAATGTTTCAAAATATTAAATCATTTGGAAAACTTATCCAACAATATTAAATCGAGACCATGAAGGAAAAAAAAATACTCACACAAAGTTATTCATTAAAATAAGAATTCAAAGATAATTCAAAGTGAATTTCAAATTTATGACCAAAATAGACAAACTTAAAAATTCTCCCAGTCTGCTATATGAACCTTAAATTTTAAATTCTCTTTAATAGCCCTGATAATGTTATTTACTAAAGTAAGAATTCAAAGTGAATTTAAAATTTAAAGTCAACATTGCTGAATTTAAAAAAATGTTGGTAACTTTAGTCTTAAATTTAAAATTCCCTTTAAATTCCCATTTCAGTAAATAGCAATGTGATCTGTTAGGCTGCAAAAAAGAGGGTGTTTTAGAGATTTTGTGACAGGTCCTGAGACTATGGGAAAGACTGATGGATCACGTTGGAACATTTGGACACTTCTCATTTGATTTGTGAATAAAATAAACATTTAGTTAGTGCCTCCTAGCAATCTGCCACAATTGTTATTCCCATCAATCATTTCTTTTTTTGGTTTAATGTACATTTTTGACACCTTCTTCGAATTGGTTCTGCATTATGCCTTTCGTTTACTCTGTAATTTGGGTATATTTCAGCTTGGTATTTTGAAATTGTAATAAGTCATTTTAATATGTAATGTAGATGGGTTTTTAGTTTATTTTCGCATTCATGAGAGTTCCACACAAGGAATAAGTGAAATTGTTTGAATAAAATCATATTATGGCAATCTAACAAATTCATCATTAGGTAGACTGTTGGGGAAAATTGGAACAAAATGCTTTGGTGACCTCTTGAGGTTAGGTGGAGAAAAGAGTTGTAAAAAAATAAAATAAATGTAGAATGTTTAATGGTATACTCTAAGTAACCTAACCATTTCTGTATTATTATTGTCTCATCCAACCTGGATATTGGTAATTGGCTGAGAGCACTGAGTTAACCCAACTCCAGCAATCCCAGCCCTGTGGGACACAGGTGCATATTTTTTATAATGTAGATTGCTATATTTCTATATTAAAGGACCACTCTAGGCACCCAGACCACTTCAGCTTAATGAAGTGGTCTGGGTGCCAGGTCCCTCTAGGATTAACCCTTTTTTTTTTTTTTATAAACATAGCAGTTTCAGAGAAACTGCTATGTTTATAAATGGGTTAATCCAGCCTCTAAAGCCTCTAGTGGCTGTCTCATTGACAGCCGCTAGAGGCGTTTGCGTGCTTCTCACTGTGAAAATCACAGTGAAAAGACGCCAGCGTCCATAGGAAAGCATTATAAATGCTTTCCTATGAGACTGGCTGAATGTGCGCGCAGCTCCTGCCGCGCATGCGCATTCAGCCGAAGAGGAGGATCGGAGGCGGAGAGGAGGAGGAGAGTTCCCCGCCCGGCGCTGGAAAAAAGGTAAGTTTAACCCCTTTCCTCTCCCCAGAGCCCGGCGGGAGTGGGACCCTGAGGGTGGGGGCACCCTCAGGGCACTGTAGTGCCAGGAAAACGAGTATGTTTTCCTGGCACTATAGTGGTCCTTTAAGGTCATTAGGCCTGCATCATCATGGTTTCTTTTATTTTATCCTCTTCCTATTGGTCCATACTTGTTTTTATTACTGGCATCAGCCTTCTGAAGAGATATCCCTGTATATACCACATGGGGCATCTAATATGTTCACTATGTCTCTGAGTGTCATTTAAAGGGACACTCCAGACACCTAATGCACTTTAGCTTGTTGGAAAGTGTTTCCACCTTTCTGTCAATCAGACAACCAGTCCTGTTACTTCCTGGTTGATTAGCCCAATGGAACTAATCGCAATTGCCCAGAGCACCTGCCTTGCAAAGACTTATTGAGCTGCATTGGGAAGTCTGGGATTGGGCAGTCACAAAGTCTGGGTGGGGGTAAAAGGGGAGGGCTTGCAAAGACAAGAGAACTGCAGTTTTTGCAAGCTGTTTTTAGATATAACTCCAATAAAAAAGGCATAATTAAATGCATGCATGTTTTCATTTGGGAAATATATATCTACTAAACAGTGATTGTTAGACTCAAATGCATCAGTGAGCTGTGTGCCCAGATTTTATGTCACAAATTACCCCGTGATGCCCTTTTTTTTTTTTTTTTACAGCATGTATTCAGTTTGAATGGTGCCTCAACATGTCTGAGCACTTTATTAGGTTTCCTAATGTATCCCAACTTCCAGATGCTAACACTAAAGTCAACCAGACCGCTTCATCTCAATAAAGTGGTCTGGGTGCAGTTAGCCTGTAATTGTAACCATGGATTGTAAAACATTGCTGTTTTGTATAAGCTGCAACATTTCCACTGCAGGGTTAAACACACCTCTAGTAGCTAGCTATCTTCCTGACCAGCCACTAGAGACACTTCCTCTACATTGACTGACTAAAACTCGATCACAAATTGTTGCAGCTTGTAGGAAAGTACTGAATTCAATGCTTTCTAATGAGAAGCCTCAGATGTGCACTCAGTTTGCCACACATGCACATCATGCTCCCAATACTCTTCTATGAGGAGCATTGATTGGACCATCGTCGGAGGAAGCCATACCTCCTTAATGACATAGCTGGAGGCGGAGAGGTGAGCAGCACTAGAAAAATGTAAATAAAACCTTGATTTTCTTAATTTTCATTGCACATGCGGGGCAGGAGATACTAGTCTGATTAGGGAGTGGGGCACTATAGTGTTAGGAATAAATGTTTGTATTCTTAACACTACAGTGCTCCATTAATGCTTTAAGTTAGACATTGCTAACCATGGGATAGACCGCCAGAATTTTGAGTTCTTAGTTTCTTAATTGTTTTTAATTGTTATTTCAGATGGTGAATCAGGCATCCAATCCATTGTTTTTGTGTTAAGCAATATCGAAGAACTCAATTCGACTTCCTTTAGCAATCCAAAACTCAAGTCTGTAAAAAGTTTGACGCTTGGTGGAAATAAAATCCGCAGGATAGAACTGGGATCATTTAAGGGATTCCCCAGGATGACCTCCCTCTTAATTTCCAACAATGAATTGCGTACCGTCCAACCTTCCTGGTTTTATAATTCGACTCTCTTAGAAACCCTTAACATAACGTCTAGCAAGATTCAAGTGGTCGAACCTCAGATGTTGGCTGGATTCTCTGCTTTGAAATTGCTTAATTTTAAGAATAATACAATCAAAAAGATCGGAAGTGGGAGTTTTAACGACCTCTCCAAATTAACCTACCTTGACTTATCATCCAATGAACTCCCATACCTTGACTGGCGGGTGGTAAGCCACTTGCAAAATGCCACATTCCGATTTGATGGAAATCCGTGGAACTGCACCTGCATACTTAAAGATTTCTCATTGTTTTTGCAAGGTAATGTGGAAAATTAACGCATTTAATTATTGTAGTAATTTACTTATTTAATTTATATTACGGACGATATTCCACATACATATGTTTTTTGCTGACAAAATTTTATCTATGGAAGATCAGATTACATTATAACACTTTGTGAATAAAGAGATACATTTTAATATGGCAAAAACTTGATGGCAATGAGTGAATATTACACAGCTTTTTGCTTCTGTTCTAATATCATGCATACAGGCTAACAAAACTGTCCACAGTACTATATCTCCCAGTGCCACAAACTACATTTTTAAGAGGTATACGGATGATCTAGATGTTGATGCACCATAAACGTGAATTATATGTTAGAATGCTATGGGACGTGATTCAAATTAAGAGTTACAAACTTTTTGTCGCACTTTATGCTTACCTTTTGGCACTTAATCACAAAACAGTAAACTGAAAATCTAATGACAGAATTTTGGCAAAAATGTTTTACACTTTAAAAAAAATACTCCACTTCAACTACAGTCACAGAATGAACTCTGCAATTCGATTTTCAGTTTACTGCAATCTACTTTGTACTTATTGCATAAATCTTTTTGTGGGTAATGACTATTTGAAATTTAACGTCAGCGTGTCTCCTGCAGAGTTGACCAACACTTCTCGTTTGGATGAAGCAAAAAATGTGACTTGTCACAATCCACCTGCTCTCCATGGCACCCCAGTCTGGGATGTTAATTTTGCGAATTGCTCCTCATCCAGTTTAGATGAGATCCCTGCTGCTGTTTTCAATCAGATTGTTTTGCCAGCCCTGCTTGTACTGCTAGGTAAGTTTAATTTCATTGTAAAATTTTATTTGCTATTTAGCACTGGATTGAACGCACCGCTGATAGTTTTATTATTTCATTTATACCTTAATAAATTTTGCATCTGGCTGCTTTATGCCATAGACTCACTCAAGTTTAAAGAAATGTAATGACAATTAGAGAGAGGGGCAGGTGCATGATGGAAAATGTTATATTTTAGAAATGTTTTTGTGTGCAGGTTGTTGGTTGTTGGTTAATTAATTTGTGGACTGATATATACATAATCCACACTGTGGGAAAAATAAAACATGATCAATGTATTTTGACCAATGCATTCTTCCTCTGGTAATTTGCATGGGACAGTGTATAGATCGAATTACTTAACCACTTGAAGGATCCCCGCAATATGTGTAAAGACCACACATATCCACCTTATGGACTTTGTGACTATTAGAAATTTGACATGAATTCACACTATTTATAAAGACCAATACACACACTTATACCAAAATAAATTGTTATAATATTACAAATGAAATTGGTGCAGCGTTTGAGCACTTGTTTCAGAATTGCTGCAGTTTTGTTTGATGAAATATGGCAAATAAAATACTTCACTAAAAGTGTTATTTTTCAAGTTGCTGTTGGACCTATTACAAATTTATGCCAAGTGATACACAATATGTATCCTGTGTGAAGTAGAAGCCTACAAAATGTATTTTTCTCTTCCACTATATTTGACATAGGATACATTTAATAACCACCAAAATATATGATGCTACTATCACTCTTTGATTCTAATATTGAGAAGAAAAAAATACAATTTAGTTGCAATGTCCAGAGGGTCGTAAACTTAAACTTAGAAAAATTCCTGCAGCTGTCACCGGTTGTTATTATTTTATTATTTATATAGCGCCAGCAAATTCCGTAACGCTGCTATGGCTGGGGAATTTACACTGCCCAATGTCTAGAAGTGTCAGGTGGAGAATATATACTGAAACAAAGTAGCCCATACTTTGTATCAGTATATCTATTGACTGGGTTTGCATTTCATTGATTTGGGATGACAGTGCTGCTTTAAGAATTTGCACCCAATACTGTCCAAATCGCGATGTTGATAAAAGTTGGATCATTGGAAGTACTTTGGGCCAGTTTGGGAACACACTTGTATAAAACATGTGGTGATAATGGGCAGGTTATAATTTACAATATACAACCGCATTATTGTTTATTTTATTACAGTGATATTTTTGTTCATTTTGCCGATTTTCCTTCTTTGGAAGAAGATACAAGAGAAGAAACAAGTAAATCCAGACAGGGAACCTGTTGAAAGGAAGGATAAAAAACTTGCAGGAAAGAGAACCTTTCTTGGCAACATCATGTTTTTTAAACCTGATCTATCTAAGATGGATGAATTCCAAACCACCCCCAAAACTGTCAGTATCACACGAAAGGGACGTTCGAAATCTGCATCGGCCATTCTACTGAGAGATTATTCTGTTCAAGCAAATAAAAATCCAAGTAAGATAAAAGTCGAGAGAAACCAGGCTTGCAAAAATGTAACCATACCTCATTATGAAGACACAAGTGCTCTACGCAGTACTTCTGGTGGTAATATGGAGCTGTGGTACTACAACAGGCCACAACATGGCTATGTCACAAATTTGGTACCTGGGTGCTTAGTGAGTGTGAACAAGACTCAAACTGGTGTAAATCAGAACATAGACAATGCAGATAAATCATACCAAGAGAACTTAGATTTTTCTTTCTGCACAACAACAGTGCCAGATCATTCAGTTGATGATCAAATGATACAGTCAGAGACATTGGCAGATAATTTAGAACCACTGGTGTATTTGAGTGTAAGTTTTTCAGAAGAACCTGCCATGACCAGCAGTAGAATCCAAAAAGTTCCCTGTAATGAGATTTTAAAGACTAGTACTTTAAGGAGAACCTATACTTGGCCTAAAGAGAAAACCAAGTCTAGCCAAGAACCGGATGCTTCTTATGAGGACTTTTTAAAAATACTCAGTCAGTCTCGAAATCCAAGTGGAGGACACTTGGTAGGCCTGGAAAATATGAATCAAGTGACTTCACACAGTGATTACAATGATCAGTTGGCTATGTTTAATATGCTAACAGAGAAAAATGTTTCAATGGACAGAAAAGTCTTAATGGAGCAGATATCTCCAGATAACAATTCTTCCAATGCAAGGAAAGTTGATTCCAAATATCATAAAGGAGCCCACTCTAGTGTTTTACCCGCTAGAAAGGTTTACCAGAGGCCCAGCCATAACAGTCGCCTGCAAAAAAACCATACTTCTCCAGACCCTGTAGTTCGAAGAGAAGATCTTAATAGTCAAGACTCATCAGTCAGATCCAACTGTAGGACCACCCCATATGATGACACGTTATTAGAAAATAATGAATATACTTTTATTGATCTGTTGCACGAAGTTGTGGAAAATCATGGGAGATGGACAAGAGAGAGATGGAGACAATCTCACCAGCACCGAATTCCAAGTCGTTCACCTCCAACATCTTAGAGAAAAAGGTCATTCATGACCCGTATTAACTCAGAGCATACGATGGATATGCTATAAGATGCCTTTGCTCCCAGAAGTTATTGTTTTCTGACTTTCTACAGTTCTTCACGAAGACATCCCAAATGTATCATAAACTTCTGTGGTTTTGATAAAACACTTGCATTTTCAAAAATTGGCAAAGTTCAATTCTCCATCATGAATATTTTATGTTGTTAATTTCTCTTAGTTTCATTGGTTTTATTATTTTTTTAATTTGCTAGCTTACAGTAATGTGTAAATTTCTTTAGCAGATCTACCAGCTTCACGACCATTCTTGTAATGCTAACTTGTTGTATGAATTAAATTTGAATGATTCCACAGTTCATGTTATGTTACATTGGAAGTGCATCCATCACTAGGTCTATCCTGTGCAGTGTGCGGAATGTATGTGTTACATTCAGTAAAATGCCCGGAGAAATCTAGAAACAAATCGATTCAAAAGAGACGTTTGTTGTTAATTCTTTATGTTTAATACACAGTCACTATTTGTTAGCTTCTTTCCTTACACAACCTCTTTTGTAACATATCTGCCCAGTTTTTGATCCCTCTCTGTTGACAAAACTTTTGTTTAGAACTTGTTTATGAGCAGATTCTCACAAGTTCCTTTTAAATATGAACATGGCTCCCACTCACACATGAGCATCACAGGAACAAGTACAACTTCATTCACTAGGGGAAAGATAAATGTAAGAGTGTTTGTTTATTTCTGTTGGTATCTCCCTATCAGTGTTCGAGAGCAGTGAGCCTCTTTCACTTCCCTATGTAAGAACAGTTTAAAAGGCACCCAAAGCACTTTGAGCACTGTAGTCCATTGAAGCATTTATAGTGCACAGAATTTTTTGGCATCTCTGCTGTGGCTCAAATAAGGTGAAAATGTGACGTCTTCACTATCCAACCAAAGCTTTCCAAACTTGGACATCAAAGGTGGAGTGGTTATAGTGCTACTTAAATTAAAGAGTGATATCATTTCCTCCCATAGTCTTTAGACTTCCAAGGGCTTCCCTGGTCTTCCAAGAGGAAAGAGTCTGGGAGGGAAAGAGTGGTGACATTTTTTAATTTTTTTTTGTGTTTTTGCATGGTTGCAGTTCTGGAGCTGGAGGCATCCCAATAAATGTGATTTCTGAGATTTTGTAATACAGTAAGGTGGAATTAGAGACACATTTCAAAATGCCATTTTTGAGGGCAGAGTGTAATGTCCGTTCTGTATTTAAAGAACCCTTATCTTTAAGACAATATTTCCAACAGATTAATATTATTTGAATTCACTCAATTCAAGCTATGGTAAATTTTGCTGTAACTACCATTTGATGAGCTGAAAGTGTTTTTTTTTTTAAGAGGTCATCTTTTAATGGCATCACAGTACATAAATCCTTGTGAATGTTTTACAGCAGCAAAGAAAGTGTCTTGTGGAAGACTTGTTTTGTGGTACAAAATTATTGTAATATCAGAGCATTCTCTAGTGCTATCCTGGGATAATATTGGATTATTTGGGCAAGACTGTGTGGCGTCGGTAATGCAAGCGTCGTTACAGAGGCTGCACCTTGTACATCAGTGTGTGCATACATTGCCTTCACATGAACCCCGACACATAGTACTGATTCACACAGTGCCGAGTCCCCATCTCCTGCTGGTCCTTGTGGGACAGGGTACGTCTCTATTCTCAATAAAGGGATTCTATACGTTTTCCTTGCTGGTGACCTCTCTCTCTCCGACCTTTTATTACTTAGCAAGTTTTTATTAATTAGTACAGTAATTTCTTTCTTTAATTTCTAGTTTCCCAATTTATATGCGTGTATTAAAATATCTCAATAAAACGTAGTATTATTTTTACACAATTCACTGGCTGTTGTGCCTATGTCCGCGTTCCTCTTGATTCAACGCTTATTATTTGCAATGACTGTGTTCAAAATTCAACAAAATAGATGCATGATCCACAATAATAATAGCATACAGTCACAGAGAGAATATTGGATTAAAGGGTACTGGAGCCAAGATTTTATACATATTCCACATTGTCTCTTCTTTAAATGAGCATTAAATGTACAAATTATTTTCAAGCTGTGTAGAACCTCAAGGACTGTGAGCAACCTAAAGCAGAACCCTTATAACCGCTCATTCCTCTATATTAAATACACACTCCAGATACTTAAAGCACCTGAGCAAGTCAAAGTGCTTTATGTGTGAAGTGTGTCCTTTTACAAAAAGTTCAGATTTCACTAGAAATTGTCACTTTTATAAATTAACCTTGTCCCACCCCCCCTGGTTGTGAATCAGACAACTCTTGTTATTTCCTGGTTTGGTTAGTTCAGTGGAGCTAAACTCAAGTGGCAGCAATTGCCCAGAGCACCTGCCTTGTAAAGGCTTCTTATTGAGCTGTTTGATTGGACAGCCACAGAAAGCCTGGGCGGGGTTAGAAGGGGAGGGCTTGCAAAGACTGCAGACAATAGATCTGCAGGTTTTGAAAGAAGTGTTTTGTTTGTTTTGTTTTTTTTATATACCCCCAATTAAACAGTGATATTTATTTATTTTAGTAGATATACCAAAGAAAACGCACGTATTTTTGTCTGCTTGTTTTCTTTGGGGGTATATGAAAAAGAAAAAGCATCTTGCCAAAGCTGCAGACCTGCAGCCTTTACAAGCCCTCCCCTCTTTCCACAGTGCCCGAATATACACTTTATTCTCAATGGGAAGCCTCTGTGCATGAGTGGTCACACACATATACGATCACAACTTTCCAGCCTGCCTTCCCTCTTCTCAATTAGCTATATTATTGAGCTCATTGAGAAGTGGGAAGGCAGGCGCATGCTAACTTAGCTCGTCTGGCGCATGCGTTAGCTCTTTGGACCTAATGGAATCTAAAGATAACCCACTCCAGCTGTCTGTCCCAGTTATAAAAGTAAAATTTCTATTGAAATCGCACTTTTATAAACTGTCTTAAATATAACAGACTCCAGACACACAAAGCAAAGCACTTTAGCAGATAACTATTTTGTCTTGCTTACCCTTTGTACAGCGCTGCTGATTATGTTGGAGCTTTATGATAATACAAATGGTTAAATGTCAGTGGAAATGTTCTTTTAATCTAAATCATTTGAAACTTGCTCAAATAGTTCTCATGGTGAGATAATGTTATAATTTTTAGAACATCTATATTGGTCAAGTACTGGTAAAATAATTTTTCATTAAAATTAAATCCCCTACACCCTTAGTGTTTACATTTTAGTTTAGTACTTTCAACCGCTGTCCTTTGTTTCGTTTAGGCGGTCTTTTCTTCTTTATGACTTTGTGGACGATCGTGTGTTTTCTGGCAAAATGCTGGAAGAATAAAGTGGCAAATGTAACGGATGAAAGACCAGAGACAGACTGGGATCATGGCAAGAATTCTGCAGAGAAGGTACACACCAACTTGCCAACTGTGTCCATGATGTCCCGACATAACCTAACCAACGTCATGGACAAGCAGCATTCATCGGTTCTAGAGAAACAAACTGATCGCGCTCAATGTGCACTTGGTAAATCTAAGGACTATTATGAGAATCCTGGCAGAGGGCTCCTGATAAACATCATGGAATCAGTCCCTAAAGACCCAGTCGAGAATCTGAACACGCTCAAAAACTGTGAACTCTTCTTCGAGTCAGAGTTTAAATTCAGCAATAGACATGGTGGAGCATTGTTTTCTAAATGTTCCAGTTCTCCAGGTCTTATCCCTGTTAATGAAAAGTTCACGGATTTCAAAAACAGTGCAATGTATAATTTAAAGGATCCCACGGACACGAGTGTATCAAGAGTACTGAACAATACCAATGATATCTGTTTAAAGGAGCCTAACTTGAGTTCTGCTGAAGAAGAATCTCACTCGCCAATTGGCCTGGAACTGCAGACCAGTGACAATGTCAACAGGCTAAATCTCCAGGAGGGGAAGGCTAATAACATTGGTGACATTGTTGATAGTGAAACGGGTAAGTTGACACTAATTGGGAAATAGAGCATAATTCTTCACAAGCAGAGTTACGGTCTTACCTCCCAAATGCTCAGAATTTTCCCCTTGCTATTTTGTATTAATTGTTCAGAATATTAGGTGTGAGGTCTTTAAAGGACCACTCTAGGCACCCAGACCACTTCAGCTTAATGAAGTGGTCTGGGTGCCAGGTCCAGCTAGGGTTAACCCATTTTTTTATAAACATAGCAGTTTCAGAGAAACTGCTATGTTTATGAATGGGTTAAGCCTTCCCCCTAATCCTCTAGTGGCTGTCTCATTGACAGCCGCTAGAGGCGCTTGCGTGCTTCTCACTGTGATTTCACAGTGAGAGCACGCAAGCGTCCATAGGAAAGCATTGTAAATGCTTTCCTATGCGACCGGCTGAATGCGCGCACAGCTCTTGCCGCGCGTGCGCATTCAGCCGAATGGGCGGAGAGGAGGTGGAGGATCGGAAGAGGAGAGCTCCCCGCCCAGCGCTGGAAAAAGGTAAGTTTTAACCCCTTTTCCCCTTTCCAGAGCTGGGCGGGTGGGGGACCCTGAGGGTGGGGGCACCCTCATGGCACTATAGTGCCAGGAAAACGAGTATGTTTTCCTGGCACTATAGTGGTTCTTTAAGGAAATGTTTCTCTTACAGTGGAGATGTAAGAAGTAATGCAATTATATTATTCCCTCTAACATGAGCATATAAAATCCATTTAACCAGTCTAGGCATATGTTTTGTTCTACTGCAAATGCCTCTTAGTTTTATTTGAGATTATATCTCTTAAATATAGGTAGGCAGTATTTTCAGGACTTTCTAAAGACCCACAAAATAAATCTTAAAAGCTAGCAGCCTAGTTAATTTGCCCTTTGATGAAAATAACTGATGTTCACTGAGACAGTCTAATGAACAACTATGCAATTGTTTGAGGAGTGAGGGGATTTAGACCACGTGAAAAGTAATTTTATTTCTAAAGACAATCTTTGGTCGATGAAGAAATAAAACAGATGATCCACGAGTGTTTTACATGATTGCTCATTTAACATTTAAAAAATTTTGTAGACTGAAAAAAATGGGACCATATGTTAAATATAATACTTAATTTTCAACTGTGCATTGTATTTCCTCTTTTAGATTTTGAAAAATATGTAGAGACACATGTGGAATCATCACGTTTGGCACCGACTGCATTTAACATCATGGAGAATTCTGGGGAAGATACTAAATCCCAGAACTCCGGCACATTGAACAGAAGATGTAAAACATGGAACAATTTCAGCAGCATATCTAAAAATTATAACAAAATGGAAAATGAGTTTGCTCAAGAAAGTGGGAATTCTGAGAACGCACTTCATGGAAAATTAGTGTTCTTAAAAAACAAAGAATTAAAATATTTTGAGGACCACAAATCCCCAGAGTGTTTTCGGAGCTTTGGACAAAATCAAACAAGCAAATATTCTGACTCTCAAGATGAGTTTGTTCATTTCCATTGGCCTAAGCTAGAAAAAGCATCAATAAACCACGATACTGTCAGCCAGCCAGACCCAACTTTAGAAGATGATACTCGCAATGTAGATGTCAATGTGTCTTTCTCTCCTTTGTGCCAGTTGGGTTATGAGTCCATTAGTGGAAAACATGCAGATAAAGAATATATAACCAGCCTAAACCAGACGCAGACCTTTGGTTCAGAGAGTGGCTCTACAAATGATGATCATTTGCCAAAGATTTGCACTAAAAATATTAAACCTTGTACATCATTCCAGAAGAACATTGCTACAACCGAGAAAAGAAAAGAGACATTTCCTATAATACCCAACATAACAGAAAAGGAGCGATTTTGGAAACACCATGCAAATTGTTGTGATGAGTCCAAAACATGTCCAACAGCCCAAAATATTTTGAAACAACTGAAAACTATGTCAAATGAGCATCTAAGCATGGGATCGGTCCAAAAGCCTCCATCAGATGAAGACCTCCTTGAAGGTAATGACAGAATCAAGGTCAACCTCTTGGTTAGAATCTCACAGAGAAAGAATTTCAAGAATTCACAAATTCTACCGTGGAGATAACAGATTTAGTTGTAAAGTAACATTTCAGCATTTTATGAAAAAGGCATAAAAAAGCGAAAGCATAGGAAAGCCATTTACTATTAAAGGTTACGTTCACAAGTACTCTGTTTTATTATACAGTATACATAATCCAGGAAGTTTTGTTTATAGATTAAAATAATATCTGTGTACATCCATATAAAATGTCAGCATTGTAATTTACCCGAGTGGAAAATCCTTCCCAACTTTAGCCGCATTTTATTTACTCTGAAAGACTTAGGAAGAAGACATAGGCCAGCCCCGAGCTGAAATAATTCTACCTTTAAATTAAATGTATTTATTACATTGAATAAAATTATGAGGCAGAAAACATTAGCCTTAGTAAATATACATAAGAGTAATGAAAAAATAGTAGGTAACAGGGCATTTAAAAAAATAAATAAAAATGTATTACGTGAGTATGAAACCGGTAGCAATGTTTCACATACCAATTTGACAATCTCTGATTCGAATGAATATTTAAAAGGAAATGCATCATGGTTTTATATATAAATACATGTTTTTCGTCACCAAATTGTTTTGGTGTTTGTTTATAGTTATGACCAAAAAGAATGTCACATCTTTTTTTTTTTTCTATTTCTTATTTAATCCTGAAGAACAAGTCTCCCTTCCTACTTTGTCCTCCGAAAACGCTGGATATCCGCTGGTCCAGCCTGCCATGTATCGCCAGAAAAACTATGCAAGTTTGCCAGATCTGAACATTTTTCCAGAGAAAAAATCTCAAGGATGCATGGATTTTAATACAGCAGGACCAGTCACGGTAACTAATAATCAAAAACTTGATGATTACATCAAAAATGGTAAAAGCAATTTTGAAACGCATGACTTGAAATCAGGCAGTCAAATTTTGAATACATTTGAAGAACATCCGAAAAGCAGAGAAGGTGCAGCTTCTAGCTCTATCTCTCTAAGAAAAACTGAGCCACAGATCATAATAAATAATTGTCATGGTTCAGGAACAAGCTCATGGACTTCCATAATTTCAACAAAAAGTGCATCAATCTCTGAGGTAAAGGCAGACGATGAGAATGAAAAAGTTGTAGATCAAACCCCATTATGTAACAACTACCAAAAACTTAGTAAAGTTGCCTTTTGTGATAATCACCTGGACACACAAACACATCTCCTACATTCAGTCCCTGAGTCAACCAATGTACACTGTAACAACGAGGCAGCAGACATGAAAAGTAATCAAACAGTATATACGCCCTGTGCAACAAACAATACAGTATCTGATACAGTGGTGACTGAGGCATGTGACATTAAACCGAGCTCCGAAAATGCGTCCGTTAATTCTAGTGAATTATTGTGTGTTGAGAATGGTGACAATACAAGAAAGCTAAGCTTGACGCTTCATAATGTCCCTGGACTTTCTAGTGATGTGGTGGAACCTGTTCAACATAACAATATTTTGGAACAACATGACCAAGAAATTCCAGAAGAATTTATTTTTGGCCAACAGGAAATCGAAAATCGCTTTGACAACCATCCAGAGCTTGATCCAGACGGTTTAAGCTGTCTTCTCCACATAGAACCTGTTGATTACAAAACAGCTATAAATTTAAACAGCAACCCTAGAAGTTACAATAATGGTGACCCAACCAATGCTGTAGCCACTTTCAATCTTAATAGACCGATCGCTAATATCCACACCGATGGTGTAAATGAAAGAAACGTTATGTGCGACAATGTACAAAGTTGTAATGCAGATATCAATATTGTTAAGAACAACGCAGATCATTTCACTGGAAGGGAAGCCACATCGAAACACTATGGCGGTTATCATTTGGATTCAGCTGTCACTAATGTCTCTGCAGCAGGCCAACAAATAGGAAACATTCCAACTGGTCAAAGAAGCCAAAGCAGAAAATTAAATGGCAATAGACTTCAGAAAGACCAAGAATACAAGATGAAATTAGGAAATAAAGTTTCTCCACTTAGCCCGTTAGATGAAGAAAATAATGTCGATCTCACAGACTACCGATCAGCCAAACTTTCCAAGAAAGCTTACCACTCTATATTTTCAATTTCAATGAATATGTCCCAGCTGGAAGACCACAAAGAAGAAGAACAAAATATCGCCCATCTAGAAGATAAAAATTCCATCCAAGATTCAAAAAGGTTAAAAATATCGATGAACTTGGCAGGACATGATTCACAAGATGAACTAACCTATAACGACACTAAAGTTATAAATAGTGATGAGATGAATCCTCTAGAATATATAAATTACCTCTATACAAGGAAATTAAAGCCCTTTCATGATTTATTTGGAGGAGCAGGTAAGATTGACCACAAGACAAATGAGCTTAGTGTCCTTTCAAACCTCCATTTCTGTAAAGTTGCTGGGAAAGTCCAATTTGGGCCAGAAACCACAGAACCAGTTGCCAGCGTTCAGGAAGATGATGCAGGGCCCATTATAGTCTCACTTCATTCTGACTGTGGCTATTTACCCCCTACTAAGCAGGAACTGAGCGCAGATAGCGAGTTGGCAGTTTTGAACATTATGAAAACTTTAAAGAAGAGTCTAGATCTTCCAGCGATGTGTAATGAGGCCAGTGTGACAAAATAAACATTAGCATCCTTGTATAAATGTATGTTTGCTTTGAGAGCCATGAGACTGGTATTGATAAAACATTCCTGCTATAGATCTTTTTAAACAAATCAATGTCATTTAGTCAGATTTTATTTATTTAACCAAGAATTTGACCAGGAATTTAGAAAAATTTTAGTTTGGCCTAAACATATCAGTTTCTTCGACGATTCCGCAGAATTCCTTGTTTTGCCAAAGGTTTGCGCTTTTAGTTTTGAGAGACTAATTGTTCATGGCTACGTGGCTCTGGTCAGGAACTCAGCTAAAACTACGATTGACAAATGTCACTGCTTGACCAAACACTTGGGGTTGTTGAGATTTCCAGGTGTATTGAGTAAGGAACATGCAGGAGTCCGTTAATAAACTGGACATTTTTGAAAAATAAAACTGGAATAAAACCTTTTAAGCTTAAAAAGAAGATTCTGAAAACATTCTTAAGTTCAATTATTGTTCCACCTTGACTATTTAGACCTGTGATTATTTATTTATTTTGATTATTTTAATTATACCCTTTGCGATTCTGAGTTTAGTGAATTATCTTGAGGTCTGAGGGCACTTATTATGGTGTGCAGTGCTTATCTTGCACATAATAAATTATATTTACAGCTTATCGATCTAGACATTTCTATTGGATAAAAAATAAATTTTCCTGCCAATCTAAAGCACATACACACCTACGTCAGTGAGAAAATATTATCATAGACCAACGTGCAAATGCTATGTTTTTAGTTTTCCTTTGCTTAACTGAATAACGGATGTATAGTGTGGTGTATGCATTTATTAATAATGTTTATTATATTCACAAAACACAAATCTCATATGTATTTTATAGCCAACATTTTGTCTGGAAAATTCATTTTAAATATAAAATATTGAATGTGTGTATCCCATTTCTAACACCATGTTTTTTCATATACTCATTCTGTTTTCCGGTATACCTTTCATTAAAGATCCAGAACAAAAAAATATATTTGTGGTCGGTTAATATCGTGAAATACCTTGTGATTGGAAATAAGTCGGTGTGGTGTGCTGAAACCGACATAGGGGGTAGGCCTGTAAAAGAGGGCACCCGGAGAGATTGGATGAGTAAGAGGGTGAGGTGAACAGTGCATGTCTCGGCAAGGTAGGAAGGGGGAGTAGCGTTTTTATAGGAACGCTAACCCCTCCCACAAATACAGGCCTTCGGCCGTAAACTTGTGGTCGGTTAATATCGTGATCGTGAAATATCTTGTGATTGGAAATAAGTCGGTGTGGTGCGCCGAAACTGATGTGGGGGTAGGCCTGTAAAAGAGGGCAAAAAGAAATGCTGGAAAACACACTTATAGCAACATGATTATAATATAAGATTCCTTACCTCTTCTCCCGTTGCGGAATGTAACTGTATAACCTAGCTGATTCGTTTTTACCTAATTTATTATATGTACTGGCGTACTGCTACAGGATGCGATTGATGCAGCCTTTAAACTGAACGGGTGTTATAATTAAGAGGTAGGGTCCTAACCTGATTTAATGCCTAGAGTTTACATGTGGAATAGAACTTAGAAGTTCATCACGGGTGCTAAGCAGTTGGTGAGGAACAAGGAATTCCTAATTGACAATGGGCCAAAGTGACCCTGCTAATTGGAGTAGCCTAGGATGCATTCCTGAAAGAGGTAGGTACCAGGAACTCTCTTCACGATGGTCAATGAGGATGATTGACCCGTATGAATTATATCGCAGACCGTCCTGTTGTCGGTATAACCTTAACGGCCGTGACGACCAGTATTCTCTATATGAGAGCAGCCCTCATTTATCAGTTAATTCGACTAAGGCCGGTGTTTACAAAGGACGGTAGACCGATTCTCCTGTCCAGCAAACCCCAAACAATAGTTTGTAGATTGCTGCAACCTAGTATTAGCCGCTGTTTCTGTGGAATTGGTCAGATCCCGGCGGGATGAACATAGGAAACCCAATCCAAGGTTCTAACAACTCCTACCACATGACCAGGTCTGCTCTTTGCTAGAGGATCTAATATTAATATCTCTGTCAGACCTGAAAACAAGCATAACAGTAAGTGAAAGATCTCTCCATAGGTATAATGCACATAGTGAAATTCCAAGAACCCAGCAATGATTGCAGGTCTTCCACGTCTAAGTTCCCGGCTGAAGGAACCTGTTTGTCTTCGCGAATGTGCACAAGCTAATCCTCGGGGAGATTTGACTGCATAGTACCTAAATTCAGTACGAACCTATGAAATAAGGTGGGTTGTGTAAGAGGAATGCCTAGAGTCTAACCAGTGTTATAGTGTACTTTAACCTTGTATGTGTGTGATTGCTATTCCACTATAAAGAAAACCTTCTCTATAATGTATCACCGTGGCACCTAGCGATAATGAGGAGAAGCCAGTAGCGAGCCTCCGCAAGTGCATCAAATACACCCCTGCTGCTCCCACCAGAGTGAGTCTGGTAGCAAAGCAACACTTCACACACCACTTACCCCTGTGAACATCCATAAGGAGGGGTGGATGACTAGCAACATGGAAGGTGTTGGAGAAATCGGTCTTGCTAAGCTGAGTGGTTTACAGTATACTGTATGTGCTTAGCTGAGGAGATTGGGAAATGTTAAGATGCCTATGAGGAGTGACCCCAACCTAGTGTGAAACCAGTGTCTAATTATTCCTCCGAGCCCGGGGACGGATGTATTCATGGCATTTGATGCAACTGATACAGGCATATGGATTTGACATGAGTCCCAAGGCATATGGTGCGTTCGTGAAGTAATTTGTAGTCACAAGAACTGCATATTCCTATGATACATTTACTACAAATTGGTGGGTGAGAATTCTGATAGTGGGGGGGCGGGAGTGGTGATGCAGGGGGACTACCCTGTGAGTTGGAGGGAGTAGTTGTTTGTGCAGACCCTACAGATGAGGGTCTAAATGAGCTGGACTGGTATCCTCTAATTTAGACAGTCTATCATCAATGGACTGAAGAGATGCCAGAATGTAGTGTGGATTCCTAATGTGTCTGAGATTATCGTGAGCTGGTACCCAACTCAGGATGCGTTTGATGAGTTCTGTTTCCTTGCAGTAGCTGTGAAAAGAAACCCCTCTCGGCGCAAGTCAGCTGAGATCTTGGGGATAATTCAGAATCTAAAAGAGCCTGGCGTGTATGGTAATAGAGGTATGCTGAGGGCAGCAAGCATAGTGGGGGTGTACGGCTCAGCGGTTGCGCCAGGGAGGTACAATTTTTCTCCTAAGTTAGCTTCATGGGACATGCTGAAAAAAACAAACCACCACAACAACAATTAACTGATCGATAAACACAGTTGATGGCAACTGGCTGGCTAACTAGTGCCGAAGCGAAAAGCTATCTAACCCTTGACATGTGAAGCCCTGCTAGTTGCCAAGCGGCTGGTGAGAGGCTCTACCTATGATTTGGGTGTGGGACTCTAGCCACTAGCGTGGTGGCGGCCTCTCGGTGACAGTAAAAAGACCAAAACTTGTGGCCGTGACAGGTGAGGCCCTGACTATAAACCCGATAGGTGGGTGAATGCGAGGCACTAACTATGATTTGGGCCGAGGGGCGAAAATCTCCGTGTTGAGATTGGGGAGTTGGCCTCGCGGGACCAGCTACTTTGTACAACTAAGGCCAGCTCCTATCCCTAGAAGCCAGTTCTCTGACCCTGCGTATTAGCAAAACCCAAGTTGTGGTTTGCAAAAGTACCCTGAGGTTCTTATGTTGGAGAAAGAGAGAAAAAGAAGAGGAAATGAACTGTAGTTGAGGGAGAGGAGAGAGAGAAAAAGAAATAAAATTGATATTCAGCATAGTGTAGTTCTTAGGAACATAGCTGATAGTATAGTATCCTTAGACCCTGAGGGTGTTGAAGATTCCCGGAATAGCTACTGTAGTTCCCTGAAGGGAGATTTAGGAAAGCGTACGTGCCATGAAGGCGTGGCAGTACCTGAAGGAAAGAGGAGGGTGAAATGAGCAAGGTTTGTTAGAATCAGGATGATTGCAGATAATGAATTTGAATAAACATATGACGAGTTGTCGAGTAGTGCCGTCGCCTGACGAGGCAAGGCGGGAAATCAAGCCCCTGTACCCAATACCCCATCGTAGAAATGCGTGGCTTTGTAGAGGCAGTAGATTGAAACACGAACGAAAATGTATTTGTACGTGATAGAGACAGGAGACGATAATGAATCAAACTAACTAAATGGTAGAACGCTGTTCTACACCTGAAATTAAGGTGTAGTTCTGAACAGGAAAGGATATCATTAAGGATACCTCTAAACATTATTAACCCGCTTTTAATTAACCGTATAGATTATGCCATTATGCAGACGAAGATGTTTAATGGTTGTAGTTAAGCAGCTGATAATAGTTATTATATAATATTTGCAAAATTTACGTAATTGTAATTTACAGATTGGCAATTGTACTATCAACTAATCAGTCTGAATCAATTGACAACCATGTTCCAATGTATGGACATGATTCAAGCTAGCCTTATAAATTGGCATTCATGCACAAATGAGGCAATTTAAACACTAACGGAATTACACACAATGTGGGATCCACAATAAAAAAAACAGATAACATTTGAAGATGTGGTTGTGCATAACGTAATGAACATAATGCAGACACAGTAGTGGTAGTCTGTACAGCCAGCGCCCCATGAGAGAATTGCTTGTGTTACAATGCTCCCCATGGATAATACCAGCCATACAGGTAAAGAATGACACAAATATCCCATCCAGAGAATTATAGAACATCAATGAATAACACACCAGGTGCCAGAGCGCTGTATAAAGGCATCAACTTGATGTTATAGTCCAACCCTAAGGTGATTAATAGGTAATAATGTGGTTAGCTTTGGTTAGATTGGTTAGATTAACCCTCTCCCTGCTTGTCAGTGAGTAAGGAGTCCTTGAGGCAAGGTGAGGCCCGGCTTGCTGAGGCCATGATACCCCTGGCTCGGCTAGCGGTGCGATGGGGGGCATATGCTGATCCTATCTGGATGTGTCAGGTTGCTCCGCACTTCAGTTAAAGGGACGATGTGAGCTGCACAGGGAGACTTGCGCCACCTAATGGTGTAAGTGAGAGACACAGACTGCTCTTCCTTGCATTCAGGGTAGAACACCCCCTCACATTGTAGGTGTGTGAACTCCAACTCTTAGTTCAGGCTGGCTGAGCATTTTGGGAGTGGCAGCATTGTGGAAAGTCAATAAGATAACCTGTGCCTTTGTATATATGAAATGTATTCCTAAACAATTGTAGTAAATTATATTTGTGCAATCAGCAGAACCGACAGTGAAAGTCACCTGCTCAGAGAATTAATTTAATTTATATGGAAAATGTTTTACCACGAAGAATGTATTGACATACCTATCTTTCACTGAATTGCAATGGACAATGTGCAAACGATTCACTTAATCCTAGCCGAAAGGACAGTAATGCACGAATTGACATATAGAATGAATTAATGAAAAAACCTGCTATAGCAGGTATTGAGCTTTCGTGTGTTTCAAGCGTGTGTTTGTTCGTCTGAAATGTGTAGAACATAGCTTGCACAAGTGTCGAACGGCGGGAATAGCCCGAACGAGGCTATTCCTGCCGATTACATGAGCGTTCGTTTGTCGGTTTGTGTGTTTTCACGAACAGGCAGGAAGCGTAGAGAGGATGACAGGAAACCGGAAGTGCGGCTGATGGGAACCGGGAGGTTTTTCGGCTGACGACGAGGCGAGAAGACCAGGGTGAACAGCGCATGCCTCGGCAAGGTAGGAAGGGGGAGTAGCGTTTTTATAGGAACACTAACTCCTCCCACAAATACAGGCCTTCGGCCTTAAACATATATGTATATAAAATACGCCAGGCTCCACTCCGCTGAGGGTCCTTCTCTTCCCTTTATATCATTGAGACTGGTATCACTTTAAGCTCAGAGACTTTGCCATCTCAGTTAAGCATGGTGACTCCCCAGCTTCTTTTTTAATGATCTGCTTTCTTGGAATTGATGACAGAACTGCTACATGGTTAGCTAGGCTGCTTGAATTTAAGGCTCTGCTGCAGAGCTGGCCTCGATCTCGATACTAACGAAGGAAGATTTCTGCAGTACAGTTGTGCCTGATGTGTATGCTCTGCAGCGCACTTGGCTTGAATCTAGTACAAGTGGAAGATGTGCTGCAGTACATTTGTGCAAGATGTTTATGCTCTGCAGCGTTGCTGGCCTAGATTTAAAAGAAGAAAAACTACCACAACAAGAGGACATAGTCTTAAATTAGAGGGGCAAAGGTTTAAAAATATTACTTTGAGAGGGTAGTCGATGCCCTGTGCTTTTATCAGTAAATTGACAAATTGTCAGATTTCACCAGAAACACTGGCGGTTTAATTGTTCTTCCCAGCCAGTTGAATCAGCAAAAGTCTGTCCAGAAATTATTCAGTTTTCCAGGTAAAGAGGTGGTTGGCCAACCGTCTTGGACCCCCAGTCAGGAAAGAATCCTTAACGAGCTTGTCTGAATGTTTATAATTGTGGAGGTAAATGTGTTGCGGTACAGTTATGCTTGATGTACACGTTCTGGAAAAGATCAAAACTATATAAATTAACAAAAATAAACGAGACAAACAATGTGTGTTTTTTAAAATCAATTTAGCTGCATGCAGCATGTTTATTACATTATATTTTTTACACAGGTCTGTGAATAATCTTCACGTTTCTTAATAAAACTGTACAAAACCTTTTTTTTTGTTAACCCCTCCCCCCAGCTCAAGGCCAAACTCATAAAATTGATCGCATCTCAAAAAGACTCTGCGCAAGTAAAAAAAATACATGCTTTTTTATTTTTTTCATTTTATAACTTATTTTTTATCTATTTTTTTTTCACAAAAGAGCAATCCTCCATCTTTGTTCGAAGGCAATACATTTGTAGAATATATTTTACATTGTATAGTCGCAAAGGATTATCAAAGCAGACAAGGAATCTAGAACCATGTTAAGATATCGCCAATAAATCACCAATTATCTTACAAATGGATGAAGATTGGACAGAATGGAATGTGAGGTCATGCAGTTACAGATTCTGGGATTGTCCTTGGAATATGTCCTTGAGTATTGATGCATGATGCAACGTACTTAACATAAAATGGATCACAAATCTGAATGTGTAAGTTCTATATGCAAGAAGAGGCTATAGATGTCCTGATTATTTTTATTAACACCTTTACAAATTAAAATCTGTGAATGTATAGCTGTGATTATCAGTGCATATACAATCCAAAATACCTATCACACACCCTCTGATTAAAATCTGTAGGAACAAAGTGGCAGTTATACGATTTAAACATGTTGACCTAAAAATGTTAGTGTTGGATAGGAGGATCTGGGCAGCGTGAAATGCGTTGTACTCTCCTACTAAAAGAGTTAAACAAAATCTTTTAATTTAACTTTATTTTAATAACAGAATTTTGTTACGTTTTGTTTTTTAATTTCCCCTTAATTTTTGATGAAAAATAAATAAAATTGTATATTTTTTTTTTGTGAAAATGTGATTACTTTTCTAATGGTTGTATTTTATCGTTTAGTGTAATCTGAAGACAATTATGTTTTTTAAACAATTGCTCTAAAGATATACTTCTTCATTTTAGAAGCTTTTTAACTCTCTCATAAGATGCGTTTGCTATTGTACAAAGCCTTTCAACATTTTCTCATTGCATTTTCTATATTTATCTACTTAATATACAAGTGCATATATACACACCCACACATAAAAACAATATGATTTGCAATTTTATGTAAATGTATCCTGCAAACAGTTTAGTTAGACATCAAAGTACTCAAATCTGTGCTTATTCGTTATTAATGGAACGATCAGTGTGCATTATACAAGGTTACAAATATATAGATATTTTCTGAATATTGTATTAATACAGCTATACATGGTACAAAAGATAGCTAACATTTGGCATTCAGATTACAAACATGATGCAGAGTTAAATCATAACCTATATTCAATTTACCATGCTGGACATAATATTGGATATCAGATCTATGGATACTTCTCTACTGTGTATGTACTTAGTAAACTCACTGAGCTCAGTCTCTAGGGTAAACTGCGCCCTGTCCCTCCACTATGGTAAACTCACTTCAATCCCTCTGTTACTGTACTATACCCCATCCCTCTAACATGTAAACTGAGCTCAATCCCTCTGTTACTGTGTCACTAGTAAACTCTACTGAGCAGGGCCCTCAATCCTCTGTTATGTGTCACTATACCCCACTCCCTCTAACATGTAAACTCACTGAGCAGGCCCTCAATCCCTCTGTTACTGTGTCACTATACCCCACTCCCTCTAACATGTAAACTCACTGAGCAGGGCCCTCAATCCCTCTGTTACTGTGTCACTATACCCCACTCCCTCTAACATGTAAACTCACTGAGCAGGGAGTAAACTACTGTCAATCCCTCTGTTACTGTGTCACTATACCCCACTCCCTCTAACATGTAAACTCACTGAGCAGGCCCTCAATCCCTCTGTTACTGTGTCACTATACCCCACTCCCTCTAACATGTAAACTCACTGAGCAGGGCCCTCAATCCCTCTGTTACTGTGTCACTATACCCCACTCCCTCTAACATGTAAACTCACTGAGCAGGCCCTCAATCCCTCTGTTACTGTGTCACTATACCCCACTCCCTCTAACATGTAAACTCACTGAGCAGGCCCTCAATCCCTCTGTTACTGTGTCACTATACCCCACTCCCTCTAACATGTAAACTCACTGAGCAGGCCCTCAATCCCTCTGTTACTGTGTCACTATACCCCACTCCCTCTAACATGTAAACTCACTGAGCAGGCCCTCAATCCCTCTGTTACTGTGTCACTATACCCCACTCCCTCTAACATGTAAACTCACTGAGCAGGGCCCTCAATCCCTCTGTTACTGTGTCACTATACCCCACTCCCTCTAACATGTAAACTCACTGAGCAGGCCCTCAATCCCTCTGTTACTGTGTCACTATACCCCACTCCCTCTAACATGTAAACTCACTGAGCAGGGCCCTCAATCCCTCTGTTACTGTGTCACTATACCCCACTCCCTCTAACATGTAAACTCACTGAGCAGGCCCTCAATCCCTCTGTTACTGTGTCACTATACCCCACTCCCTCTAACATGTAAACTCACTGAGCAGGCCCTCAATCCCTCTGTTACTGTGTCACTATACCCCACTCCCTCTAACATGTAAACTCACTGAGCAGGGCCTCAATCCCTCTGTTACTGTGTCACTATACCCCACTCCCTATAGCATGTAAGCTCATTGAGCAGGGCCCTCAAACTCTCTGTTCCTGTGCGTCCAACTAGTCTGGTTACAAATACTTGTCTGTTAGTCCACCCATTGTACAGCGCTACGGAACTTGTTGGCACTTTATAAATAATAATAATCTTAATAGTACATAAGTTTTTTTTAAGTTTTTTTTTAGAACGGTTATAACTTTTTAAAAATAAATGTAGTTTAGCCATCTATATGGTTGTTGTTAATTTGCCCAAAAAAACTTCAATTCTTCAACAAGCAAACGGTTCCCCCTAAGCATGCTCATCTAACTTCACTTCAGTCACAGACTGAATTGTAAAACAGAGGCAAAAACCAGCAGAGTTTAGTGAGTAACCCATATCTTTATGTGCATAATCATCCAAGGCTCCTTAACACAGGCTAAAAGTGGCTCCTGATAATAGCCTAGTTTTCGTTACACAAGTGATAGTTTTCCAGTTTGTCTGATCAGATCAGTAAAGCATGTTAAATTAAGGCATGCAATGATAAAACACTGGAATGGAGATGATATATATATATATATATATATATAGAGGTAGCATAAGCAGCACCGAGGGTCAATTATTGCATGAAATGTAACGAAAAAAAGTAAGAAAATATCCATTCTGAAAATAATTCACAGCACGATTTTCTGCATATTAAATGTGCGTGCTGTGGGGTACGCTACTATAATACGTTCTTTAAAGGGTTATTTTTGTGCAAATAGTAAGCAGTAAAAAATAATCAGAAGATACATTACAGTTAACAATATGTAAACCAAAATCAGTATGTTATTTCTATTAAATGCTTATTCACATTAAAGATATGTGATGTTTTGAATTGCACCCCCCTCCAGCTTTGGTCAAAAAAATGTTGTCACTAAATATACAGTTAAGTATGGACTATGTCTTGTAGTACTCTCTTTCTTTTTTTCTAACCGCTATACAATATTGTTATTATTAAGGAAATATTGATTTGTCAATTGATTTGCGGCAATTCGGATCTCGCACATGCACGCTTACGAGCCACGTGAAATTAGGGCCAAAAACCAGAATGAGAGACGGGAAGAAGAGATGAATTGATTGAGAAAAGGCACGTCTGCCATGACGAAGGCGCTTCACCGCGTCTGATGAATAATTAGAGTGGGGTAAAGGTCCACTTGGAGAATTACAGGATTTTTAAGATAGTATGTGTGTCCGTGGCCCAGGCTTGAACTAAATTTCCCAAAATTCTCTGCCCACGGTTAGCAGTCTGCGAAATGACCATAGAGAAGATTGTTCAACAACAATTGGAGGGCCACGTTTAGGGGTGGAGTATGGGGGAGGAAAGTTAAAAAAAAAAAGGGGGGGGGCTGAGTAAAATGACTCCTTGCTTTACCCTCTGGCATTCTGTAACTTAACACTGATGTGAGCAGCAAATAGGTGACAATCCTCGTGTTCTGGAAAATGCTGAATTTTTTTTTTGTAAACTCACTCAAATTATTGTAATATTAACCCTTTCATTACCAAGCAATTAGTTTTTTTTTTTTTTTAAATTAGCATAACGTTTATTTGAACCATAGGGATGCATAGCTGGCATATAAACATACTATAAAACAGCAGATTTGTAGATAGATTGCTGTTTACAAACTTCAAAATTAAATTTATGCAAATTTACAAATTCTCACATACAGTCGGTGTGACAAAAACAGACACATACAAATAGTGAAATAGCCTGCTTATAGGTATTTCGTAAAGGTTCTAAAAAGTTAGATCATATATTTCTAAAATAAAAGGTATTTTAAAAGGTTTTATAGCATCCCCTGCAATTCTAAGCAGCATAAAACGCATGTAAGATATACTATTCACTCCTCCCCGTCCCCGGACTGAAGGCATGATATGATCTTTGTAAAGGGACGGGGACTATCATTTTCAGGACATTTGCAGACTTTAAATTGGTGGATGAGCTCCTGGAAGAAATAAGTTCTCCTACAAGCCGGTAATCATTCTTGGAGTATAAATGAATGTGAAGCTTTAGGGATTACATTTCATTTTTCAAGGCAAATTAAAGTAGAAAGTATGTATAAACGGGATTGGTAATAAAGAGATTAAACATGACGTGGGCAGGTCTAATGAGCCAAATAGCAGAAATGGGTGAAACTCAATCACAGCCACTTGTATCCTACTGCTCCTAGTACTACAAAGGTATAACATGTGGGTTATTAATGTAACTTTGTTTATTTAATTATTACTTTTTAAAAGTGTGATTTTAAAAATGCAGTAAAAATGTTTGAAGACTGATATTGTCGTGTAACCCTGGAACACTTTTTATATCTTGATATGCTGCTGTGAGTTTACAAATGGCCCCTTTCCTAAGTCCCAGTGAACTGGTTCTAGATATTGAATTCTATACAACCTTCATACGAGTGACAACATTCAACCAAAAGGTGAAATATCTTCCAAAAAAAAAATAAAAAAAGGAGAAAATAACCTATTGAAAAAATAAAATAAAAATGTTCATTGCCATTGAGCACAAGTTATACATACACAAGTGTACAAAACTTTAATATTAAAGACAAAAACCTTTACGAGACCATGCATGTAGTATGGTCTATTGCATTGATATGGTTGTAGAATTCCTGTGACCTTGAGATAGGACAGAATGAATCATGGCATAAGGACTGTGTTATAGGGGGTTAAGGCAATACGTCTGTTATTAACCATTTAGCTGCCAGGGGTGCTTGTAATGCCTTAGAAAGGCTTCCATTATCGACCTCCTGGGTAATGATTCCGCATGTAGCCAAAACGTGGCTTTGAACTATGGCACGCAAACAGTTAGATGTGGCATTTAAGTAGGAATGGGGCGATGTGCAGGCCGCTTTCATGCAGGGGGTTTTAATGCACTTGCATTGTTAATCGATATGTTCTATAATGAACTACTGGATATGTGCCCGTAAGGTTTATGCACATTCTGTTGAAAACCTGTAGATTTAAAAAGTCTTTTGTTTTTAAAACCTGGTTTGTGGACATGTTTGCAGTCTTAATACACTTAACACCTGGGCAGTCAAAAACTTGGATTTGTGCAATGGCCAGGCTGACTTTGAAGGGATATATAAAAAAAATTGCGTATTATACAATACAGCATTGCCCTATAATGGCCAGCAGCGGAAATGTCATCTCTAAGTCCAGGAAGTTGCCCTGTATTCACTAACGGCAGTGAAGCGTTTCGGAGAAATGGAAGGACAGTCTACGTCCGTTTTTTCGCTAGCGAGCATTGTTCTTCAGTAGCATCTTGGAAAATGAGCATCATGATTGCTAGTGGTTGATTTCTCCAGGGCTTCCAATAAAATCTAGAGCTCTGACGGTTTTCAGCACGCGGTGCGAATAGGCACAGTTTCCGCTAGTAGGGCTCCGTCTCATAGTTGTGTCTCATCCCGTGTTTCAGGATTTCCCACCTGTTCGGTTTTGTAGCTGTTGCTGCTTTTTTGGCTGTTTGAGTCGTTGGCAACATGGGCTAGTGGGTCAGATCTGATCAAATAACTGGAAAGGATACATTTAAACAAATCAGTTAGATTGTAACAGATATAGCTACACCTTTGTCATTCCAACTGTGCTAAAATAAAGGATGCAATCTACAGAATAATAATAATAATAATGTCTATTAGGGATGTGCATGGGCAAAAAAATTTGGTTAGGAAATTCGGGTAAGTAAAAAAAATTGTCTGCTTTGGCAATTCGGAACTTCATAAGCATCTGAATGTCTGAATTGCATGAAAAATTGCCTAGCAAGTAGTTGTGGTGGCAGTCTGGGCACTGGGAGCCCTACAAATGTGTAAGTGGTTGTGGTGGCAGTCTGAGCACTGGGAGCCCTATAGATGTGCAAGTGGTTGTGGTGGCAGTCCGGGCACTGGGAGCCATATAGATGTGTAAGTGGTTGTGGTGGCAGTCTGAGCACTGGGAGCCCTATAAATGTGCAAGTGGTTGTGGTGGCAATCCGGGCACTGGGAGCCATATAGATGTGTAAGTGGTTGTGGTGGCAGTCCTGGCACTTGGACCCGGCAGGGGGCTTCCAATGCCTGGACTGCCACCACAACCACTTACACATCTGTAGGGCTCCCAGTGCCAGGACTGCTACCACAACCACTTACACATCTATAGGGCTCCCAGTGCCAGGACTGCTACCACAACCACTTACACATCTGTAGGTATCCCACCCAGTGCCAGAAATTAGCATATTGGTCAAGATTCCGGTCATCATTCACATAATTTTCCCTCCCTCTCTCTTGTTTTGCCATTTTTCAGAAATCCGGAGCACTTCTGCAATTCGTACCAATGTCATTCGGTTCGGAACTTCGGACATTTGTAAGCATCCGAATTGCACGAAATTCATCCGAATATACATTCGGAACAAAACGAATTGCACATGTCTAATATATAAGATAAGATATATCGATAGTGTCTCTGTTGTAGGGTTTTGATGACATTCTATCTTCCATCTGGACAAGCAAATGTCACTGGACCACTGCAACCAATTTCACATTCACCTCCTGGGTAATTATGCCTACACTTCCTTAAGATCAGGCTGAACAACAGAAATGCAGGTGAAGCATCATGGGAGTGATTATCTACAGCCCTCTCTACTACAGATTGTAGGCCCTTTGTTCAGGCCTCCAGTAACCTTTTGTTGCTCTACACAAAAAGCCATCTCCTCATTAATTTGCTGCTATATTGTCTCTGCCCATTGTATAGTACTTTTATAAATTTGTTTACAAACCATTGACTTTCAAAGTAATAAATGAAGAAAAAGAAAACACAGGGATTCATTATTCATCTTTTTCAAACAACCCTAAATCATTCAATTATTCAATTATCTCAAAGAAGATAAGGGAGTTTGAGTGGTTGATGTGCCTCAGTTTTTAACGAAGGGTTTTAGTTAATCAATAAATCGAAGAAATTTTTCCTACTTTTCTAGATAATACGGTTTTGTCCATTTCTCTCGGAATACTCACACAATATCGTTCAGCTCCAAGCGTGTGTCTGGTGGTGGGTTAATAAGGACGTACGACAGGGTGTTTTGATGGTCATTCATTTCATCTGTAGGTTAGAGCGAGTGACAGACAATAAACATGTTGCTTTATATTAGATTTTAGTTGATATAGTGCCAACGCATTCTGCAGTGCTTTATAACTGGGAAATGGTGAATGGATGTAAAGGTGACAAAACAAGTAACATACAAACAAGATATGACAATAACCCTGCTCAAAAGAGCTTACGATCCAAAAGATATATCTGCAGTCAAGTGACAGTGATGATTAGTGCAGATAATATCGGTCATTCAGATCAGACACACTGGAGCCCAAGAAAGTGTGAAAGAAGAGGTTTTTTTTTGTTTTTTTTTACATAGTCACATAATAATAGACAAAAAAAAAAGCAACAAAAAACATTCAAGTTCATCCTTTTACGTGTCTCTGTGTTGGTTGTTGATGGAAAAGATGGTGAAACCCCATCTGAAGTGAATTTGAGTTGTATGACAAAATGTGGGGAATGGATCCTTCATGATTCCAAAATAGCAACCAGATTTATCTGAGTAAGACGTGATCATAAAAACCACATTAATATCTCATAATAATCAGAGCTGGCATTGAAGGTAGCAATGTTGAATAGTAAAGAAAAATATAAAATCTAATTTAATGGAGTTAATTTAAAATTCTTGCCCCCTTAAATATAGTTAAATCTTACCTTTATTGCAGTCTGCTGCTGCTGGCTCTGCCCCTGATCTGCCTGCTTGACTGACATCATCAATAGTGTTGATCTGAGCCAATTACAATGCTTTCTCATATTAAGCATTGGATTGGCTGAGCTTGTCAATTAGGCAGATCAGGGGCAGGGCCATCACAAGTCAAACACAGCCCTGGCCAATCAGCATCTCCTCATAGAGATGAATTGAATCAATGAATCTCTATGAGGAAAGTTCAGTGTTTGCATGCAGAGGGAGGAGACACTGAATGTTTGGATGCATTTTAGGCAGCCATGACCCAGGAAGGATCTCTAACAGCCATCTGAGGAGTGGCCAGTGAAGTTATCACTAGGCTGTAATGTAAACACTGCATTTTATTTGAAAAGATAGTGTTTACAGCAAAAAGCCTGAAGGTAATGATTCTACTCACCAGAACAAATACAATAAGCTGTAGTTGTTCTGGTGACTATAGTGTATTTTTAAGTTGTGTTGCTAGTGATGTGTTAGTTCTGTTGGGTGATTGAAAGGATTATCTCCAACTCATGTGTCACATGGAAAGAATAATTGTGTGACTTGGGGAGTCTGAAAAAGATAAAAAACTAATCTTATAAAATGATTAAAAATCAGTCGATTGTCAAATGAGACATTCAGAAAATTGCACTTGAAGAGTGACCTGTTGTGCGTTCCGTTCAGTTTCTCCATTGATGTCGACATTATGCTGTGAACCACACAGCTTTGTGTCTGATAATACAAAACGCATTCCAAACACAATAACCAGCACAGCTTCTCAGACTGGGTACGTACATTGCAATGGTGGGATGCCGAATTTAGGATTCTGGGAGGAAACTTTTTTGTATTTTTTTCATTTTATCTTTTCATAAAAGATGATTTCTAAAATGTAAATAAACATATGTAAAAATAAAATGTATTTGATAGATGTAGCAGCTATGTCGTCATTTTTGCATTTTGAATCTCAATCTAGTGTTACGGACACTCTGTGGAACCGTTGTCGAAAAGACATTGCAGACACCACCGTATATTCAGTGCAATGTGCAGGTTAGCCAATAGGTAGCCATGTCTGGTACATTTTCTATTGTTAAAAGACTATCTCAAACCCATTAATTAAATCATCAGACAGCCAGGAGATTTGCTTTCTGCTTCTGTTAGCTCCCCTGAGCTCACGGAAATGGCGTGCGTACCTACCAGAGGACGCCTGCATACCTCCTTCTCAGACCTCAGAATGCTGTGATTGTACACGCACAACATACAAGCACACGCTCAGAGAGATAGCTTCAGAGGCTTCCATTCTGATTATCCTTTTCTACTTATAATTATTTTACATTTGTTTTTTACAAACATTTGTAAAATGAAGACCTGGTCATCTGTAGTTTGAACTGTCCCAGTAAATAAGTAAGGTGTGCTGAAATTCATTGTGTACTCTTTAATGACCAGGCTAAAATGATGGAAGGCAATGCCATTGATCCTAAAGGGGATAAGCCAGGCTGGTGCTCTCATTAATAGATTTATCACACATTTTTGGCTGTGGCCAAGAGTAGAGGCACACTTCTGAGGCAGCACAACCCAAAGAGTCTTGTGTCACAAAACAGGGCAACTGCTTCAAAGTGGCAGACTTAAGCACTACCAAAGTGGTCTACTATTTGAAGTAGTGGTCTGTGAATCAATGCCAATCCACAGATCATCACATTTTCCTCCTGGTAAGCACGAACGTCAGGGATTGAGAGGCCAAGATCAAAATTACAATTACAAGAAGAGGCTTACTGACTTACTGCAACTTCTACAGCTGTATAGGATCCTTCAGCCATATACATACACCTCGGGTCAGACAGTGTTTGAAAACTGAGTTAGTCTCTATGGTCTTCCCTGCTTCACTCCCTGCACAGAAGCAAGAAAGACCATAGAGACTAACTTTTGGTTTACAAGCACAGTCTGACCCGAGGTGTATGTATATGGCTGAAGGATCCTGTCCTATACTAAAGGTAGAGAGGAGTTTCTCGTTTTTTTTTTTACATATACATACATAATTTAAATTAAAATTATTTGTTTTCAAAGATTGATGAAAGAGTTGTTTTATTAAAAGATAATTTGGCGACAGTTGTGATTTAAAGGGGAAGATCTTTGTCCAACCTTCAGGTGGTGTGCAGTGTTAGGATAGTCAAACCATGGGAGTAGCATTTGTTAAATCTATATCTATGGTTTGCTGAGGAGTTCTGCTGCATCTTATAAATATGTGAAGCTACTGATCTGTCGACAGAGTTAATTTAACTTAGTAACAAGTTCCTGCTATTAGAAAAGTTCTCATCAGTCCAAGAAGAGATGCCCAATATTGTAACTTCTTAGCTTAGACTCAAATGTGAGGTCTTGGGAAGCAGCCCGTTTAAAACAGATCAATAAATTGGACATACTCCTTGTATGGCAGTTATCTCAATTAGAGGGAAGGAACTGGTTAGACTCTCAAAGAGATTCATCCTTGTGCATTTCTGTGTCTCGGTTCCTGAGCAGCTTTAGTTATTGCAGACAGAAAAGGGTGATGAAGAATGATTGTGAGTTTTGGTTAAGATGAAAAGTGCGGTTAGAAGCTTCAGGCCAATTACTGCAAGTTTTCAAACCTCTTGAGTGAGGCTATTTCAACAGACAAGAGCTATATCTTGCAATAAGGGCTCTGATCAATAGTGATTAATTACCATCACAAAATGTATGGCTGTTAGTATGGTATGATCTGCAAACATTCGGGTTAAGGACCATTGGGCATTGCAGCCAGTCCTGCTCCGTGGGAAAGCTTTTATGTTAATTTCATGCAGTGAATCAAAGCCATTTCAAACCCACCAAGTATATTGCCATTAATACCGCCTACCGCAGCAGGTAAACAGCAGAATAAGGCAGTGAAGAATTTAATTAAAGCTGCCATTGCCTCTGCATTTTCCCCAAACAGAAATTTAAACAGACCATAAAGCTTCACTTTTAAATCCACTCATATCAAAGGCACTTTCCAGAAGTCCATATGTGTATGTAAAAGATATGAAACTCATCTATTTTTTATTTTTATTGCATTAACAAGTATGCATTTTACCGTAGGCAGGTGGCTGCCATGTCTGGTCAAAGACAACCATCTGAAATCTAGCTGTATTCTGATTGGATAAAAGTCAAAGTATCCAGTCGGAACACAGTTTTGATTCCATTCTTCACCAGTTTCCTGTCATTAGCAATACATTTTTTTTTCTTCCTAAAATGCAGATCTTCTTCAGCAGTAAAAGGCATTATTTAATATATACCAGAATTTTTTTACATACACAATTTGGATCTTCTATGAAATTGCACATGGAAACATTTATATTAACACCCTATTGACCCTTTAAACGTGCATTTCTTAATTCCATTGGTTTGAAAGATAAGATTTAAAACTGGCAATATACAATGTTATCGTGGGGATTTCCATGAAACTGTGGTCGGGACAAGTTTTTGGATAGGTGAGCACAACAATGGGGGAAATGCCAACTTTCCATCCACATTTTAAACCTACCCCGACTATCACCCCCTGCAGATCTGTTCAGTGTTCTATTAATGGGGAAATTCAATCCAGATACCTGTCGGTTTTGGTGTATTTCCTCTATTCTATAATTTCTTATGTCATGCAGTGTGTCCTATTCTTCACTGTGATCAGAAGGGATCAGGTTATTACAAGGGAACCAAGGGTAATGTGTGGTTAAGTCTGTTACCAAATGAATGGTTATGTTAACTAAAAACAAATTATAGCCAGGGTTGGCTGGTAGGAATTTACTAAGGTGGTGTTGGTAATACTGGTGTGAAATCGGCAGAAAACGAACCAAACAAACGCGGGTTGAGATACTGCCCCGTAGAGCCTTGATGCATCCTATAATATAGGCAGTATCTACTCAGTTCCACCCATCAAAACTACTGCAGACTATTTTTGGGTTTGGCGAGTAGCTCTAATGTTGAATAAAATATATTAATAAATCTTAAATGTCAGATGTTAACTATTTACATGGAAAATCTATTTATTGGTCGAGAAGATAATGATTTTTTTTAGAAAATAGAATCTTGCATGTGACTTAATGGTCTCAATACATGCGAACAAACTAATCCAATGCTGACATTGGCACGTAGCAAAGGGCTTACATTCTTCTAACTTGCAGCGGTATTTAAACCATGCAGGGTTTTCACCAACATAAGAATTCAAATTGTATTTCAAATTTAAGATCAAATAGATGAGCTGGAAAAATTCTCTAATCCAGCTATACTTTTAAATATAAAATAAATTTGAAATCCACTTTAAATTCTCACTTTAGTAACTAACTGTGATTAAAGCTCCAGGGGTCACGTGGCTTCTATAAACCACTTATCTTCTTTCCTTGTTCCCTGTCTCAGTAATATGTATATATGTGAAGTATGGGTGTATATATATAACGTAATATGTATATATGTGAAGTATGGGTGTATATATATAACGTAATATGTATATATGTGAAGTGTGGGTGTAAATTGTCCTACATTCCCACTGCGAGTTTAGGGGATGGATATTAGTGAGCATCTAACGGCAAGAAAACACAAATGTTGAGAGAGTTTAATTAAACAATCAAACTGCATTACAGCAGAGTTTGGGGATTTATTTTTAGTGTCGTCATTTTGACCCAACCATTGGGTCATTCCCTTATTAATTCAGTACATTCTTTAGTGGGGGGAATGCATGTAAAAAATGTAGACATCGGAAGAACCGAACAGTACAGTAAAACATACTTTATATTACCTGGGGCTATATTTAAGGGATATTTTGTGGGATTTGGGGGTGTGTTCGTGTTCGTTCATGCAGGGGTGCATTGTCTATGACCCTAAAGATCCCTCTCACTGATTAACGTATCAACATCGTACTAGTTGGCATATCCAGAAAGCCCATTGTGTGCTGAGTCAAGATCGACTCCCAAGGAGAAGAATTACCTTGCAAATATCCAAGGTTTACCCGATTCATCACATCACTGGCAGTTAAATTTGCTACATCCTCTATAGAACATACAGAAAAAGAGAAGTACACACATAGAGAAAGAGAGAGAGAGAAAATCAGGAAGCAGGTCAGCAGGCATGGAAGATTCTGCATCAATGTGCAAATTGGGTCATACCTGTACACTGTAACCCCCTAACTGTGCCATCACAAAATGTATCCAGTTACTAGCTTCTCAGGGATCTAGCTGTGCCATCACAGAATATATCAAGTTACTAGCCCCTGGTTATCTAACTGGGCCATCACAGAATTTATCCAGTTACTAGCCCCTCAGGGATCTAGCTGTGCCATCACCGAATATATCAAGTTACTAGCCCTTAGGGGATCTAGCGGTGCCATCATAGAATATATCCAGTTACTAGCCCTTCGGTCATTTAGTCATGGAACATGTCCGATTACAAATCTTTCGCTGATCTAACTGTGCCATCAGAGAACATGTCCGATTACTAAACCCTTGACTATCTAACTGTGCCGTCATGGAAAAGTGATTTACAAAATTTTTTCACCTAATGGTTGGCCATACAAACATGAATATTAAGTTACATTTAAAAAAAAAAAGTGCCTTTTGGAAACCTGAGGTTAAATGAACAATCCAAGCCAGGAGCGCCCTGTCAAACCCCTCCCCCATTGTAAATTATTTAAACCATCTAAGTTAAGCCTTGATAGCTCATTGGCTGAGAGTGATCATCATCTATCACTGACAATATATTACAAATTTTAATGTTACAAATGAGAATTCCACTTTTCGATCTCTATTTTCCTTTGATCTCCTCTCTGCCCAATATCCCAAAATATATATTAAATATACAATTTGCCAGAACATGGGCGCAAGTACTTTTGCTTTTTAACCAATTCCATTTCAAATGTAAAAGTCAATCAAGTCTCATCCCTCTGGCACTAAAACGGTCAAACCCAATTAAATTCATAAAACAAAACACAGAGGTAATAAAATGTGAAAAACAAAATATGTCTAGTGGATAATTTATGTGGGAGTTTAATGGGAAAAAAAAAATTTACATGGTAAATATCCAGATATCTACACAAGAATATATATTTTGCACATAAACTCTCCTACTTGCATTTACTTCCAAGTTCACACCTGCAGAGATGTCGAATTTAAAACCCGGCAACTTTAACCTGTTTGTCCTCATGGCACATTGGTGAAACCGCAAGAGGTCACATTGAATGGCTATCGAGAATCTACAGTTGTAGAACCCTAAATCCTGACGCGTATCACTATGGTTACATTATCCTTTAAGCTGGACTTAATTATTCTTTGACTTATTTGAATTAAAAAAAAGAAGCCTAAATAAAACAATCCCGCAACCAACATTGTTCTAGAAATGAGGGTCCGGGTTTAGCATTGGCTGTTAATACTCCCCAGATTCTAGATCTCTCTGGCTCAGTCTGTCACTAAAGTAACTTGGTTAGTAGTCTTATCCCACTAGTAGCGTGTAACACATAGAACGACCCTGGTCTTTTTGCTCTAGAACAGTTAACAGGTACGACAGGCTGTAGAAAACAGATTAGCCATGCAGCAAATGTGTTAAAGAAAATGTAAATACATGTAAAACATGAAAGTTTCGAACTCATGCAGAGATTGTGAAATGTCTGTGCTAATACAGATAATGCACAAGGACCTGCAAAGCAATACATTGCTAGCCATTAGGTCTTCACTGGCCTATAGATTAACAAAGCATCATGGGAGATGCAGTTACTCAATAGAAGGAGAGCAGCTTGTCGGCTATTCCTATATTTATAGCGAGAGCAGCCCATGGAGTTTTGGGCCATTAATCGTAAAAGCCCAGCAAAGCAGAAAATATATATAAATTGCATTATTTATTGGCTATCCCTAATAGCTATTGGGTTTTATTAACTCAATACTGAATTGGTGTAACTTAAAACTGAATTGCAAGGGTACAAGAGCCAAGCTGTCCATGTGACGGAGTTAGAGAATCTCCCCATGCTAGAATATGTTGCAATTCAGTTCTTAATTCACTACACTTTGAGGGTTAGTAAAAATGCCCCGTTTGTTATCATTTGCCAACCCTAATACATTGCCAAACTGAGGGTAAAAATAAATAGGATGGCAAGATTGTTCTATCCCTGGGAAAGAAAAAAAACAAATAATTCCTTTTTTAAAATACAGGTAAATAAGTAAAATGGTTTCAGAATCTCATGAGTAATACAGTGATGCACCATGTAGGCTCTTACTTAGGTCTCGATTTAATACTACGTTTTCCAAATGATTTAATATTGTTGGATACGTTTTCCAAATGATTTATTATTTTTGGATACACTTTTAAAATGATTTAATAGTATGAATTTGTTAAAATGTTTCTTATATTTTATATATTGATTTTTTTTTAAATACAGGATATATTTTTGATATTTTATTATGTCGACTCTTTAAAAAAATGTTTTATCCAAACATATTCAATCATTTGAAAAGCTTATCCAACGTTATTAAATCAAGGCCTTAATACTTGATTTGACCATTTTAAAATAAAAATAATGATGATAATAATGATGTTCTGAACCAAATACATTTAAAGACAAGGGTCTTAATCAAAGCACCCTGTGTGGTACTGATTGCAAGCAAGCCTTGTTCATATTCTATCCTCTGACTTTGCAGTGCACACAAATAATATATATATATATAAATATTTAAATAAAAAAGCAAAATACAGAGTAAAAACAATAAACAAAATTGAACAAAAAAATGACCCACCCACTGACTGATTGGTTAACTGTGGTTCTTGGTGGAATTCGGCAAGAACATTCAATGATGCATTGTAGTCTCTTTTTTTTTTTTAAACCAGTGTGGCTGGAATTATCGATATCATCAGTGATGATAATATTAATGAAAAATTAGTAATAATAAGCAAAAGTAAAAGTTAGTGTCACTTTAAAAATATATTCATATTTAACGCGAATGATTAAAAGCACGTGACAAACATTTGGAACACATTGAGACATTTTCTGCTCTTCTGATTTCCGGATTCACTATATCCCTTTAAAACCCAAATCAAATGATGGTTTAGAGTTGCTGACTGAATTTCTATGTCATAAGTAAAAATTTTGAGCAGGATAAATGGAAAAATAAGAAGTTTATGACTGACACAAATTTGCTTAAGCTGACATTGCGCAGAGAGAGGCTTATTAGACATGGCCGCCAGGGAACAAGATGTCGGACAATGGTGCTATTGTTTTACGCTATACATATATTACTGAATATTTGGACTGAGCATGAATTTCTTTTAGGAGTTATATCCTATATTTAATAAAATATCTATTCGTGAGGTGTGGAAAAAAAATTAAATGTAGTAATCCACACCTCTTTATTCTGCAGCTGGGCTCCTCCATCTTGGCACCAGGCGGCCAGCATAGAGAGAGCATATAGAGAGAAGGAGAAATGACACAATGTTTCCGTTTATCCTCCTCCAATGCAGTTTGTGCCCTGGCTGTGCCAGGATTAAACTGGATTGTTATGTCCTTTAAAAGAAAATGGAGGAATTCATAAAAAATTTTTTTTTTTTTTAAATTAACAAGTTAGAAGAATTTTTATTTGTGGTTTTCAATTCTTGTGTTCCAGAGAAGTGACAATTCGCCTCCTTTTTTTTTTTTTATACTCTCCACTACTAAAATGTGGGTTTATCATGAACCTGAGAATTCAGGATAATTAAAGTGAACTGTAAAATTTTGTGCCAAAATAACTAAACTGGGTTAATTATCTGTCAGTCATTTCAACCATTTTTAAAGCTGGGCTCTTTTGGATAAAAATTTGCAAATTTATTTTAATATTTATACAATTACTGATTTAATGACCCCCCTACCCCCTCCTGCATACGTCCTATTTAAAAAAAAACAATGAGTGACCTTTTAATCTAAATGATCAATTTACTTATAGTTCGTTTATTAGAGAAATTTCTTATTTGTAGAATTTCCTAGACCAATTAAAAAGCAATTTTAAACCTATGGCAAATTCTCACCCAACTGCAATTCGCGTGCATTCTGTGTTGAATTGCTCACTGCAGATTTCCCACATATCTAACGTGACGTTAAATGAGATTGCGCTAATCTGACTGCACTAAACAGATTAAAACTGTGTACATCTTAAACAAGAGATAAAGTCACTGAAGAATATCTCTGATCATCTGAACGATGGTCAGATATTTGTTGCATCTACTGTAAGATATGACTTTTGTTTTGTAACATTGCCTTGTTCATTTAATGACAAACTACCTGCCATCAAAAGTTTTTGAGTTGTAATCTGAATTATAGTATTTGAACATTACTGGCACTTAGTAAATATCCTCCCCCTGCATCTCTGCAGATCTCTCCCTCTGTGATTGGTTTTCACATTGAGTAAAATGAACCAATATTACAATTACGCAACGAGTCACCCAAGCTTCTAGAATTAGTACAAAAAAAAGTCTGACTGTTAATGGGTGGTTCAGTAAGGGGCATGAGGGATGGTTTTAGCCATGCAGATCTCATCCGGTACCCAAGATTACGTACCGTAGCCAGTCGTCGGTAAGCCTAGGTGTTTCATCCTGTTTTTTACCAGCTCGGATAGTTCTTGGCGCTCGGACCTCCGGTATAGATTTAATCTTTGTTGGCTTATCCATTCCGCAGTCTTGCTCGCTTGCTTGTTCCCTTTCCTGCTGAGCCGACGGGCCCATTGCATGCTTTTCCTTCGAAGCAGTGGGTGTTCTGACTGGTCGCTGGACGTGGAGTTTCTATGACTAGGTTTCCCGGCCCAAGGCTCCTTGACATCCTTTGTGTCTTCACAATCCTCTACGTTGATTGAGATCTGAGACTAATACAATTAGAAATAAAATATTTTTCGACGTTTTTTTCAGGAAGGACATGCATTAGAATTACATTGCTAAGTGTACTATCTTAAATTACTTTTCTATATTCATTTTGCTGATATTTATTTATTCGTGGCATTTATAAATTGCCAATATATTCCAAAGCGCTGTACAATTAGGGGAGAACGTACAATATACACAGGCCAATATAAAAGGTAAAGAGGTGAGCTGAGATCTGGCTTTTGAAACTCTTAGATAGTCTGTGAACTTATCATCTAAGGATAATATAAATTTGAGTATTGTCGTAATAGAATGAATTTAATATAAATTATATTAAATCTATATAATGTACAGTGTGAGGTTTGAAAACACTTACCTGTGTTCGGATGTCATGCGGCTGCGTTGAAATGAAAAAAAAGGATTCAATTAATATACATTGCAATGAGATAGACTAACTATTCATAAAACACATATTAAAAATACCAAGTATAGTGTGTTTATTAAACAGACATCAAACTATCGTGAATTGAAACCTGATTGGGAAATTTTAGACTAAAATAGCGAAGGTGTCGCTATAAATCAAATGGAGATTTTTCCATATTTCAGTCTGTAATTCAGTCTAGTAAATATACCCTAGTTTATTAGGCTACAAATTGGAACAAAATAAAATCGGTTTTAGATTAGAGATGACACAACTTTGATGGGACTTTGGCAAGATACATTGCCTGGTAGTTATCCATTAGAAGTGGAACTGTGGGGAGCTGTGTCGGAGTCTGCAAAATGTAGCCAAAAATAGTAATTGTGGATAAGGGGAGTTGTAAAATTTTTCAGTTTGGCTATTTTTGAGTAAAGAAGGGGACATGCCACTGCCCAAATTAAAGTAACTAAATAAAAAAAATCACTATTTTATAGATATACCACCATTGAAAAAAATCACATTTAATTATGCTGTTTTCATTAGGGTATATTTAAAAAACGGCCTTCAAAATCTGCAGATCTCTTGAACGGTCCTAATCCTGATGTGGATGTATTAATGACGGGAGTAAACATCTTACCTCTGATGTAGAGAACATATGTGACTGCGTTCGGTAGATTCCTATTGGGATTTCGGCACTTGATGAACACAGTTTCTGAAAAAGCCGGCCATATGTGCGGATCCACAGGTCATCTTCTGTGATTTTCATCTGTAGGACAACATAAGCAAGCAGTTTTTACAGGAAAGAAATGTGACAGAACTTGCACTATTCGATTTGAAACAAATTGGCACTGACAGATATTTTTGGACTAGAGCTCTCATTATTCTCAGGCAGATATAGCCCAGGACTATTACTACATTTGGACAGTGGAACGATATCTAAATACTTAGATTTGCACAAGGAATAAAATTACAAATTTGAGTAAAGAAAGCACAACGAATGAGATTTTTTTTTTTTTTTTTTTTTTAGTGAGATACTGTGTAATTCTTTCTTACAATCGGAACTGTTACAAGAAGGAACCAATGTTTCTGCTCTGAAGTTATTGGGCGGAAATGTCCAAAACAGGAATACAGGTTTACCTATTTTTCTGAAGTCATTTTTTATGCAAGACATATATGGAGTCATTTCCGCTCTGTCTCTAAACCGAATTATATATTTAGTGTCTTCCAGGTGACAAAATCCTTCCTTCAAACAGAATCCAAAGAAAACCAAAAGATATTGTACTCACCGCACACAGATAACCAGATCCTGGCGTGGTGTCCAGTCCGAGGAGAAGCCTGGTTATTGTGATCATGTAATCCTTCACAAAAGACTGAAACGATATAGAGTAACTTATTATTTATGTTATTTCCGCATTAGACACATTAACACAGACTTGGCCATCAGTGTTTAGACGAGAAAAGTACAAGATGGAACAAGTCACGATGAAATAGGGGAAATTGATGGTTTGGCAGATTGGACTTCCAGAATTAATTTGGCTTGAATGAATGTAAAAAGAGATGGTAAATGAGAGTGAGGGGAGATGTCAGCCCCTCCATTGTGGTGATGGCTACCCACTAAGAATTGTGGGACGGATTCTGATTGCGAGCACATCAGGGTACCACGGGAGGAAGATGCCTTTTCCTGACCTGATATAATAACGTATCCAACATGCTGATACTGAATACTCTGCCGGCGGCAAAAGGCAGGCGAAACATGAACGCCAGATTGGATCCATTCTCACGCTCTTTCTACAAAGACAAAAACAGGACATTTCATCAATAAACAGAATCCCTCCACTTTCACCCCATAACGCCTATTTACCTGAAAAGTGTATAAGATAAATGCAGAAAAGGAATTGAAGAATGCTTGGGATGTGAATGGCTCGAGGCTGCCAATGATACCCTTATTGGTTTTACTTACCTTTTCTAATTTGGATAGTGCAAGAGAATAACAGTCCTTCGCCCGGAACTGCATAAACCTCATATTGGACGGGTGCGTGAGTTCTGTAGTAATACTGAGACTAGGGAAGAGCCTGCAACAACAGACACACACAAGGCATCAGAAGGGTTACGATCTAAACAGTATCCCATTATCCATACTGCCTGTAAATAATGAATAGAAACAGTTCTATAAAAAGGTGCCGTCTTATGGTAATACCATAATGTTCCTGGGTGGATAGACATGCGCATGGGACCCCTACCATAGTGGTGCATGTGCATCTGGCAACGTAGGGGTTAAATTAATTTGCATATTATACCTTGGCTGTGTGTCGTCAACCAGGCATACAACTTAAAAAAAGTAAAAATAGAAAAGTTATAAAATAATACAGGTTAAAAAAATTATGCAAATCGCAGCAAAGTTTACTTGGCTGTCAAATGGTTATCGGGTCTCAGTTCCCTTTTCATGATTAGCAAGATGTGTGGGTTACCAGCTGCTGCTACGAGCAGTAAAAAGGTACGTTATCCGTGGGGACTTGATGCCACCTTACCTGAACATGGTTTGTACGTTAACAATAGTCTTCGCGTCTGCCATATAATCTTCCTCCGCACTCATCGTACTCTCTTTATCCACCACCACCAGATTATCAGCATAAATAATCCCGCATTGCAGTAAATTATCCAGGCTACGGGAGATACAATGTTATCAGTTTAATTAGCGAGGAATGTTTTATGATCAAGATATGTATCCACTGGCTTTGATGCTGGTTGAATGATTTTTTTGAGCCGTGGGAGCAGTATGAGTTAGTCATAGACATTGTAAATATACTAATACAGCTCTATCCTGATGGGAAACTGAAAGCCACATTGTTTCATTAATCAACTGTGTGTGCATGCTCCGAGTTGCCGGAGTGTGTGCTCATTCCACTAAGCAGAATTTAGTTTTTTACATTTTAGACAAAATATTTATTTCTGTGTACGTTTGCTAGCGATCTGATTAGCACAATAGTATAGATCAATTTCTAATTGCAATAGCAAAATCGTATTATCCAAGGAAATTGGATTAATCATTAATCGTCTGCAGCCAAAAGACTGCGAGAAACATGGCCAGGCAACGTTCATCTGCTCACTAATCCGGAGAACCGGCCAGGAGAGATATCAGGGTATAAAATGTGTCACTCTCCCTGGAACGCAAAGTATCAACCATCACTGCAGAAATCGCTCGCTGAAATTCTGTAAGCAAATGGAAAAAAACCCTAGATTTTTCAAAAATGTTCTCTATTTCATTTGTACACATTTCAGTTAGAAATCCACAAATGTATAAACAATTTGTCATGCGTTAGAAGACAAACTTACTTGTCTATTGTCCCGACCATAAAGTAAACCATTGGAAAACAGCAGATGGCCTCCAGGAAATGGTTATCGGGTCTGTTAAAGAGAAATGGCAGGCGATTATTAGAACGTTCAATACGTTTGGAGGTCAATGATGGAACTTAAATCTGAGAGTTAGATCACATATATATTGACATTAATAAAGAGTTAGTAAATAGCTGAGCTATATCCTAGATATACAGTTTTAGTAAATAGCTGTATCACCGGCATACAGGGTTAGTAAATAGTCATCGAAATATAGAATGTGACGGCAGATAAGAACCATTCAGCCCATCTAGTCTGCCCAATTTTCTAAATACTTTCATTAGTCCCTAGCCTTATCTTATAGTTAGGATAGCTTTATGCCTATCTCACGCATGCTTAAACTCCTTTACTGTGTTAACCTCTACCACTTCAGCTGGAAGGCTATTCCATGCATCCACTATAGTCTCCTCCTTTACTGTGTTGATTTCCATTATGTATTTAAATGTTTCGATCATATCCCCCCTGTCTCATATTTGCTTCAAGCAACACATGTTAAGATCCTTTAACCTTTCCTGGTAAGTTTTATCCCGCAATCCATGAACCAGTCGAGTTATACCCCAGATAGACTGGCCTAGTCCATAGCCGAACGCTATCCCAGATATGCAGGTTTGGTAAAAAAAAACTAGTTATAGCTCAGATATACAGAGTTAGGAAAGAGCTTATCTATATCCCACATATACAGGGTTAGTATAGAGCTGTATCCCAGATATACAGGGTTACTATAGAGCTGTATCCCAGATATACAGAGTTAGGAAAGAGCTGAGCTGTATGTGAATTGCCAATCAGATTGCTAATAAAAATGACTAATGTAAGTCTTACTTGTTAAATATTTACCATAATATTAAGTAATACATTTTTATTACAGGATTCAGTATCATTTCTGTTATGGTCTTTATTTTGGCCCATGAGGGTATTAATCTTATCTTCAAACCACTAAATCCCCCACCACACAAAACGTACGGATTGTCCAACAGCAGAACGATAGGGTTAAGTTCTTTGCGCGATCTGTAGTATGCTCGGAGAGGTACAATGAAATTATACAGTCCGTTCCCAGCTGTCTCGGCCGAAACAATAATCAACTTGTTCTTAAAACCATACGCCTTGGCATCTTCAAAGCTGTTGTGTTTGCAACCCTGACGGAATATAAAATGGTAAACGTAGTCAGTAAGAGCCTGTATGGTACGGGAACTCAATTTTCTCACTTCACCGTTAACATTTGTGATTTTGAGTTAAGTCTTGAGGACGCTGGATATTTTATACACTTCCTGTGCAAATATGACGTACTGGTAAAATTCGATATGTCATTGTAAGAAATAAATATTTCATCATTTTACTAATGGGGATCATACTGAAATATTGCAGAGTCATCGTTCTATGCAAAGCATCACGGGAAATCGAAATTCCATACTATATAGTGACCATGTGTGCTTTTTAACCCCTTAAGGACCAAACTTCTGCAATAAAAGGGAATCATGACATGGCACACATATCATGTGTCCTTAAGGGGTTAAAGTGACACAAGAACCATAACTACTGCAGCTTATTGTAATGATGATGGTGCTATGAAGTTCTGGGTGCTGATTTTTGTTCTCACTATATAAGAATTCAGGTTGTTAAAGGGAAGCTATAGTGTCAGGAAAACAAACTCATATTCCTGACCCTGCAGCTACCCCCTCTGTCAAGTCCCTCTCCCAATGGCCGCATTCACATTAGAATTTCCCCATAGGAAAGCATTATTCCGTGCTTTCCTTTGGGGAATCCTGTGACGATGGACATCCTCATGCATGGTGCGAGAACGTCCAGCGTCGTTTAGATGACCAAAAGTCGTCTAAGAACCCGTAAGTCCCTCTAGTGACTGTTTGGTAGACAGCCACTAGAGGAGGACTTAACCATCATAGGTAATTATTGCAGTTGATAAAAACTGCAATAATTAATTACATGCTCAGGGTTAAGGGTGATGGAGTTGGCACCCAAACCACTTCAATGGGCTGAAGTGGTCTGGGTGCCTACAATGTCCCTTTAAAGGGACACTATAGTCACCAAAACAACTTTAGCCTAATGAAGCAGGTTTGTTGTATAGACCATGCCTTTGATGTTTCACTGCTCAATTCTCTTCCATTTAGGAGTTAAATAACTTGTATTTGTATTTATGCAGCCCTATGCACACCTCCCCGACACAGCCTGCATAAAAACAAAATGGCTTCATTTTCAATGAGATGTATCTTACTTTAAAAGTGTATCTCCTGCTCTGTAAATTGAATTGTAATGACATACAGGAGGCTCCTGCAAGGTCTAGCAAGCTGCTAACAGAGCAGCAGATAAAGTCTAAATTAAAACAGAATTTGTAATAAAGGAAGTGTAAACATTAGATGACTCTTTACAGGAAGCGTTTAGAAAGACTTTGTAAGTCTCATGCAGGGAGGTGTGACTAGGAATTTATAAAAAAAAAAAAAAAAAGGATTTAACTTCTAAATGGCAGATAATTGAGCAGTGAGACTGCTGGGGCATTATCTATACACCAAAACTGCTTAATTAAGCTAAAGTTATTTGTACAGTGTACCTTTTGCCCTTTAAAAATAAATATTAAATAGATTGCTGGGTTTAGGATGTAATTGGTGTAAGGTTGAATAAAGTTTGAGCAAAACTTAGCAGCAACCCAAATAGTCCTCATTTAAGGTAAGATCCATCGTAGTAATCTTTGAGTCTAGTAGCGGATGGAGGTCAGGCACAGGAGACCAGAAACACACATTAAAGCTTTGTATTTAGACTATGTACATTCCAGCTCTTGGTCCCTGTAGTCTCTAATCCAGCACGGCTTGTGTTATATAAATAAAACATTTTGTTTTAGGCTTAACAATATATGGATCCTAACCTAGGGCCTAGAACCACTACACCAATTCTTCCAGACAAATAAATAAATAAATCCCATTTTCAGATTAATTGTGAGTTTGTGGGCAGAAGAACATTTCAATATCAATTAAACCCCTGGAGCTAAGCCGCCGCCAGGACCGCTGGCATCACAACAACATCATTCATCTGAGGTTGTTATGGTGCCCAAAGTGTTCTTATAAAGCAGAGACTACTTTCACTATAGCAGTTTTAAAAAACAAACAAACAAAAACATACACATATTTACCTTATCCAGACGGAGACAGCAGAACGCGGCTTTTGAAGGTAGAAGGTGGCAGAGGGTCGGAGAGCTCCCTATATAGGGAGAATTTGGTGGGTACCCTTTCACATAGCTATGGAAGAAAAATAACAACGCAGTTCAGGCTCAATCTCGGCTACAGGAGTCTGGCAACAAGTAAAACACACAGACAGATTGATACAATTTTTTTTTTTCTTATATAATTATCTCCATGGGAACTATAGAAAAATCGCTTAATCTGATTAATCCTGATTTTGAAAAAGAATTTTTACACTAAACCAGGAAATCTGTATAATTGTCCATGTCTAAAATATTGCCCTTAAATTAAATTTTCCAGTAATCCATGTTTTATTTCTTTAAAGTTCCATTTTTCTTCATTTACTCCATGCAAGTTAAAAAAAATAATAATAACAGATCGACAGATTTTTATTTTCCATCATGTTTTATTTTTGTTGCCAGAACTGTTCTTATTGCATGGGTCGGGCTCATCTTAAATTGAAGTTTATTAATTAGAAGTACTGTTATCTAACCACCGGGGGGCACTATTGCTCTTTGGTACATCTACCTCTCTGCGTATTGCCTATTTTAACGATTTGTTGTAACGTTTTCTATGAAATCTTTACCAGGAAGCCAATTAATATTCATGAGCGTTCAGTATTCATGTGGCTAAATTTGCACATGCAATTTACATGTTACAAAAAAAACTAATTCCGAGAAAACGAAAAGGATCATGGAGAGATGGAAATGTGATTTTGAACACTCATCGGGTGGAATAAAATGAAAAATGTCCTGCTTTCTGTCTAAGCTTGGTGGATATAAAAATCATCCTCTTTCCTGTTGAAAGCACACGAGGGCAGATCTTGAAGCACTCACAGACGTGACATGCTTTGCGTGTTGGGTATTCCCCCGCTAGAAAGATTAGAGAGAATAGAGTGCTTAGTCGCCTACTTGTTAACCCAATGTGTGCCGTATAACAAATTGTAGCTGGAGTCCACATACTGTTTGCATGAGTTAATCGAACGCAGACAGCGCACTATTGAGCGGTGACACGAAACTGTGCAAGACTGGACAATGTCATCTATCATTATTATAGCGCCAACATATTCCATAGCCGTGTATGATCTATCATGGTAATGAGTCATTTGCTGGCAGTGTCGAAATACAGAAGCCATAGCAGGTTAACCATGCTTTCGTGTGACCCAATCTTTGCCTTGCTGTCTATCAAACGGAGTACAGGATTCTTAGAATTTGTCACTCTGGTCCAAATTGTGACTACGGCCGAGTTGGATATTTTTTCCAGATCAGCTATTTTTGCCTCAGTTTTGCCATTTTGATTTAATTTGTAAAAATGAATAAACCACCTGTGTGTCCTAGGGAGTACCATCATCAGCGCATGTGTGGGTTAGGAACCCAAAATGATTCATGTACCTAGTATCCTCCGTTACATGGCCTCGTCTCGTGGCAGTGTCCAATCACATGTTCCGAAATGAGCTGCCACGCTCTCTTTGTTCTCGTCTTCGACATAGTAAGATTTAACACTTACTCCCCCAATAGCATAACACATAATTCATAACATATTAGGATAATTGTTAGCCCTGGAACTTCGAGGGTAAAAGACCATTTATCATTAACTAAACAACAAATTCTGGAAAACTGAAAACTGAATTGCAAAAATTAGGCAATAAAGGGTCTGATTTGGAAAAAAAGTATCCAATTTGGCTATAATCACAGTTTAGATACTATGGTCTAAATTTTGCAATTCCGTTATTAGTTCAATCGCAGTTTAGTGAATAACTCCCACTGACTGATGTCACCATGGTATAGGGATATTCTGCTACTTGTCTCATCATTAAAATAAGGTCTTCTTGACCCAATGGGAATGATTTTGGGAGCAGCCATTAAACTGATGGACATTGGTAACCATCAATATACTCACTCAAGTACTGGCAGTCCCTCATCATCAGACTGTGTCATCTCGTCCTCCGATTGGTCACTCAGCAGGTCACACGGCAGCACTGTAGAGCTGTCTGCGATTTCTAGAACAGGAGCAATGCTGGGTCTCCGGGTCCCTGAACCATTCTCTGCAGGGAGGGTTAACTTGCTGCTATTTGCAGGTCGACACTCCGTATTCTGGAGATCCATGGCAACCGTCCCTGGAAGGAAAGCACAAACAGAGGGATCGCCCTTATTATTCTCCATAGTAATCATTCACATCAATCCAGGGCCACATGTTGGTGCTAGAAGAATTGCAAACGTTTACACCAATAGAATTAACATTTCTTTATGGTATCTGCTTGCTATTTTCACACCACAGGAAGATATCCCTGAGTGCCAATTAACTAGTTTGCTGTTAGTTATTTGAAACCAGAGGGACTATAGGCAATCAAAAGGATTTCAGTAGTTAGCTGATTGACAGGGTTCCTACGGATCTCAATTCTGCTGCAGTAAAGTATTTAATTTAGGACTCCCTGTACTCCATAATTCTTACAGTACTTACTTTCTTTAACACAAACCAATCAACTGATCACCTACATAGTGACTCATTACATCAATATACGATAACCCCTTAACCCGTCTCCTTACTGTAGCTGCTCACCCAATATCATAACCCTTACTCTAACTGCTCACCGAAACCCATAACCCTTACTGCTCACCGAAGTCCATAACCCTTACCCTAACTGCTCGCCGAAATCCATAACCCTTATCATAACTGCTTACCAAAGTCCATAACCCTTACCCCAACTGCTCGCCGAAGTCCATAACCCTTACCCTAACTGCTCACCGAAACCTATAACCCTTACCATAACTGCTCACCAAAGTCCATAACCCTTACCCTAACCCTTACCCTAACTACTCACCGAAGTCCATAGCCCTTACCATAACTGCTCACCAAAGTCCATAACCCTTACCCTAACTACTCACCGAAGTCCATAACCCTTACCCTAACTACTCACCGAAGTCCATAGCCCTTACCCTAACTGCTCACCAAAGTCCATAACCCTTACCCTAACTGCTCGCCGAAGTCCATAACCCTTACCCTAACTGCTCGCCGAAGTCCATAACCCTTACCCTAACTGCGCATACAATTCCATAACCCTTACCCTAACTGTCCACCCATTTCTGGTTATTTTACCATTTATCTTGTCTCTGAACCCTAACGTGTCATCCTATTCCCTATTAAATAGCTCCTTGCCCTATTCATCCAATGCTGACACCCCCACTATATTCCTTATTCCATAGTCCACTAGCCTAACTGCTCATCCTTTCATAACCTCCACCCCTTTGGCCTATTCCTTAAACCCTATGGATCATGCCATTCCCTAACCCATCACATGATCTTGTAACCCCTTCACACGATTTCATTATGCCACCTTACTATAAGGCTACAAGGAAGTATTCCTCGAGCACAGTACAGATTGTGTTATATACTATATATACTGTTAAACATGTCACATATTCTTGATAATAAATCAGCAAAGCTTTCCCAAGGGCAAAGCTGTTTATCCTGTAAAATTCTCCTTTCTGGGCATAATCTGGATTTTCTTAAACTGCATATAAATTATTAACAAGATAAATTCCACAAGGAAGAGAGTCGTCGCTAACTACAGCTAGAAGAGCCCGATTAGGACCCAGGTGGCTCTAGGCTAAGTACCAAACTAACATCCATCCCCCGCATGTACATTTGATTTATAGCTTTTCGTATTTACATCATACGATGGGTTATAGCAAATCTCATTCCATGGGCATTGGGCAGGCATACTGTACATATTGATCTCCTCTTTAGATGCTCCAAAATCCTCCCTGGCAACACCTATGGCTCATATAATTTAGTGCTTGAGGTCTCTGTGTATTGATCTACAGGATATTGAGAGAGATTTATCAAAGTGATCAAAGTTGGTGTAAAGTTGTAAAAATTGAGAAATGACAAGCAAAGTGTCTGCTAATTGCACAGGTGATGATTGCCTACATTTCCTGACTTTCTCTGATCACAACACATCGATAAATCCCACCTGCTGTTTAGAGTGCCATGTTTGCATACTGCATTGACATGTCACACAGGTTGACATTGCCACCTGACTCGGGAACGGACCAAATTCTCAGACACCAGCAAGAATTCCAACCGTTGCTGCTGGATATTAGCATAGCACAGATTATGAGATTCTATCATTCGTTACAGAACGCCAGGAGAAATCGTTACAAACTATCTCTGAATCCAGCCAACAAGATCAAGGCTCTCAATCTGTCTAACGTTCCCCATTTCCATCTCTGAAATCGTATGTGTCAGAATCCGCCGGCCCTCATTAATTTCTGGATTTCAGGATTGCAATTACGCTAGTAACATGACAGACACCTCGCTGGCATCTCGCTGGGAGATCTGGGAGACAACTGGTGAGTTGGCAAAAATATAAACAAATCCAAGAATTGTGCATCACTCGGCGCATGTCATTTTATTTGATTTCTTGTCACTTGTGTTTTTCTAGAGGCCTGAATTGTACTTCGCAGCTCCCTAAGGTGCTAGGGCAGCTCAGCTTCGATTCATTAACACGAAACTGCTGGGTGACAGGACGGAAAGGAGCATTTAATGTGAGCAATAAGCAAGACTTGACTGAGTCACAAAACATGAAGCTGGCACCTGTCACATAGCAGAAGACATTAAAAGACAACATGTAGAGTTCGACTGGGATCTATTGCTGCCCATCTCAGCACTTACATACTTACAAATCGTTATCATACCCTCCAAAACAAATAAAAATTCTACCATGTATAACGGGAGTCTGATAATCACAGAGATCAGGGACAGCAAACACTGACACACAAGATGTTTGAAACCTACAATTCCCTAGGGCCTAGGCTTTTACTGGGTTGCCATAGTGTATTTTGTAAAAAATACAAAGACAAAAAAAAGCAAAACATGCTGCAATAGGCAGAAAACTTCGAGTTTACAATCTAAACAGAAAGGAGACGGGGAGACGGTATGGCTACATAGAGTGTGCAGGAGATCATGGATACGGAGTGGCTGTGAGTGCTGGGATTTGGTGGCATGAACTCTAAGATTCTTTAGAGACCTATGCTACCTATAAAATAAAGCATTATGACATTATTTGTTTTTGTTGAGGTTTAATTTGTTATAATGCTGTTGTGCGTGTTATAACGTCTCGTTTGTGCCAATATTCATTCTGAACCTTTATTATTGAGACGCTTATTGACTGCAGTTTCGCGTGAGGGTTTTCAACTCTTCAGGATGCCCAGAGATGAGCAACGATTTTCTTGGATGTGTTAGTGTTTCCCAACTGCGTCTGACATTATCACAGAGAACGTTTGGCCCAGTTCTTCTTAGCTTTACAATGCGGTACAAATGGGCCTGGAGCTGAAATTGACTGATCTAATGGCAGATCTCCATTGTAGCGGTTATGGACTCTGTACAAGATTTAGCAAACCTCCACGTGGCCTCCAGACTCTCTCCCCTGTGTGATTGCAATCTCACACATCTGTCTTATTGGCTGCGCAAACCAACATAAAATCCGGCCACTGCGCTCAGTACACTTGACCTACACATAACAACTGGAACACCTCTATATGGGCTAAACAATACGTTTGTAATAAATCAATTTAAAAAACTAAAATAGAAAAATTAATTCTTGGGAAATTCATTCTCCAAAAACCTCTATGGTAATCTGGATAACCTGAGACTTGTCCTGCAGGGAGCCACTTGCTGTCATCATTAATAACTGATGCTGGTTTGTCACAGAGGACGTTCAGCAGACAAAGCTGGGAGTTTCTGGTTTTTCCCCCAATAGGGACAGTCGATCTACATCAGAATGTCCTAAGCAAGGACAAGGGAACTGCATTACTGTTACTTTACCCATTTTTTGTATTGTCTTCACAAAAGTATTGGCATAATTTAAAAAAAAATCTCCTACATTCAGCAAAGAAAATTGTCAGTCAAATTATGGGTATTTTTTTTAATCTAACTTTTTCAATAAATACTTTATCGCACACAATTATAATAATTATTAATAGCAATAAAATATTGTGCTCCAGAGCTGGCTGCTAAAATCTTATAGATGCTCAGCTAACGGCTTGATATAAGGGTGCTGTTGCCACCCCTCATAATCTCTGTTATAACAAATGGCTAGCATGGAATTATGGGGGTTGTAGTTCAATAAGTGCTAGGTGAACAGTTTGAAACACAATATTTTGGGGTTCTTGGGCTCAGCGGATTTGGAAAGTCCCTGGATGTTTTGGGGGGAGATCTCATTAATGGGTGAACCCCCACCAATAGGAAATGAGGGAAAAGACCCTTTATTAAACACACAGCTCTGCAAATTTGTTGTAAAAGAAGAAAATATTCACTAATATTTAAAAACAAAAAACAAAACACACTCTAAACAGAAGTCAATGCTTACTCATGCCATAGAGGTATTTTCAAAATCATGATAAATACCATCTCGCACAAATATTTCACTTATTTAAAGAATACCTATTACATGGTCGAATTACCGGTTTGGAACAGGGAAAAGCTGTCACAAGAGGTTGGCGGCCTGTGTACTGCGAAACTAATGACAAAATAACGCAGTGGAACCAAATCAACTTAACGTTTGTATATTTCTATTTTTTATCTATATTTTACATTGTGTTATTTATTATGCACTTGGATGTGTGCTGTTTAAAGCATTTCAACTAAAATATTTGAGAAAACAAAAAAAACAATAGAGCACATTTATTAAAAAATAGTTTATATGCTGTTAGTTTTTTATTTATTTATTTTTTGAATACCTTTCTCAAGAAAAGGTGTAAACAAAAAACATTTATTGAGAAGGGATAATAACACATTATTGTGAGCAGAATTAAAAGGTTCTCTAGCGGTCTGTAAAATCTTGCATCCGTGAAATAAATTGGTAGCTTTCAACATGCATTTGATTGCGGCATGGAAGAACTGTAAGTGCTTCTGCCATCTGGCTTTAGATAAAAGCTCGAATTGGCTCCTCTGTGACTTGTAGCCGAGGAAGGTCAAGAGGCTTAAAGATGTTTTGGAGAGAAAAATGTTCTATTAACTTCACCTTTTTGTAACCAGGGTATAATTGGGCTCATTTTAGTCTTAATTATTTCCTCGTAGTTTGTATCATAAAAACCACAAAATAACAATACTTAATGATGAACAGTTAGCTAGCGCTAGCCGGGGACTTTCAAATAATTTTATTGGAGGATTTCATCAGGAGTTAAGTTTCACTACACTCAGCCAGCCAAATGAAAACTGAATCAAAGCATTGGATATCACAGATTATCAGTGATAATCATAACCAAAGAGATGAGATGAGAGATAGATCGATAGATAGCACCGCCGACATATTATGTTGGACTTTGGAAAGTCCCCCTTGGGAACAGAATCTCAAGAATTCATATTTCCACAACTTTCCCAAAGTTCCTAGCTTGGCATGCAAATGAGCACGGACAGGCATTGTGTTTCCGACTTCACTGTCTATATCTATAGCAACAATGTTAATGTGTTATATTCGTTTATAATTACATTTAAATCTTTTTACTGACTCTGCAAACAGGGCTTTATAAGGGCTTCTGTGAGAGCTGAAACGTCGCCTATGTGACAATAAATTGCTGTGTACTATTTCTTCCATATTCATTCGGTAGATATAACAACTGAACAGAGACCACCCCCTGGCTCGTTAAACTTCAAAGAATGCTTCAATTGAACCCTCTATCTGTGCGGCCAGCGTTCGTACTGGTTGTCGAATGTCTGGAACTAAAATCAGACACTCGACTTCCCGAACACGGGTCTCAACAAGCGAACGCTGGATCTCTATTTCCCGAATAGCTAGAAGAGCGCTATTCGGTACTTTTGTGCATTCGAATGAGGGGAACAATCGCTGCTAAGAGCCAGGGAATTCATTTGCATTATTATTTGGTTTTTGCCACCTAACTGAATAGACCGGCAAAACCACCCAAACTCCTGGAACTATTTTGGGCAGCCACCTCGCGGTTAGCCGTCACAAAGGACTTCCACACTTTTTCAGAACCCCTGAACCAATCTGGGTGAAATTTGAATATGTTGGTCACCCAGATCGGGGCTATCAGGGTACATATTATTTGTGGGGATACCCCATGTCTAAAGGGGTGTTCTGAATATTGGGGAAAAATTTGATTTTTCTGCCTGGAGATAATTAAGTTATTACTTTATCAGACTTGATTATCTCCAGGACTAGGGGAGGGAATTGTATGTTTGTGCTGGGTGTGTTTTACTGTTTTCCTGTAACCGATTGGTTATACTGTGTCCCTCCCTGTGCCATGTCCCCTTGCATGGGGACTTGCATAAAAGCCTGTGTGTGGTCATTAAAAGCCAGTTCTGTTGAACCCTTCATCTTGACTTCGGCTGATGTTTGGGGATTCGTATGATTTATTAGGGGAATTATCTTGTAAAGCTAATTGTATTCGTATGGATTTCGTCTATTCCATCTACCGAACGGAGAGCTATACTCACTGATGCTCTGGCGGTTTGGGAGGAAACTACCGAATTCTGATTGAATATACTAGGTTTCGTTACAATTGCTATTCTACGATCCACACGGTCTCCCCGGCACCAGGAGAGACTTTTCTTACACAGTGTGTCGTCTTTCTGCATCTGGAATTGTGGATCCAAATGAATCATCTACTCAGCTGATACAGTATATAAATAGTATATCTCTTTCTATCGTTCTAATTTGATATAATTTGACACGTATATATTCATGTCATTTAATATTGGGATACCTAGATTTTTAACTTCAGATATTTAAAATGTTCCTTGCATCCAATAACTGATCTTTTGCACTAAGATTATAGTTTGACTTTGTCAAAAAAAATGATTAATGTGACTTTCATTGTAAAAACACAGAGGGGATTCTAACTCACTGAAAATAACACTTTGTGTTTAATCCAACCAAAGTGTTCAGTTGCTTTTTTGGGGATTTCTGTAATGGGTCTCACTTTTGCCGCAGCTTTCAATTGTGTCGGGCATTTGGTTGGAGCGACATATGTAATTAATAGTGCCAATCTGTGAGGGTCACCCTGAGGGCCCCAAAGTGGCCAATGCCAGTACTTTCTCCTGTGATTACAACAATAAAACATCTGAAACCAGATTAATAATAAATAAAATAGAATAAATTCACCAGGGTATTTACCGACTTCTCCTGCTTTATCCAGTGCCAGGATTGCCTGAGTCAGCAGTTACATACCGTATACACAGGGGCTAGTTAAATGCTATTTCTGTGTGTACTTTCATTTTGAACATATTTGAGGTCAGGTAGGTATTCCCGATAGGGGCTATATTTGGAAAAAAGGTTATTCTTCCAATTTCAATAAACCTCTTTGCTATTAACAGACTGCTAGACTACTTAGGCTAAACAAAATTTAAGCTTCACAAAAATGGGTACAGCTGGCAGAACGGAGGCATTTCAAGCCTAGAGGTGTCTCGTAGCTTTGGTCCACAGGGCCCTGCAACATAGAAATATAGAATGTGGCAGCAGATAAGAACCATTCGGCCCATCTAGTCTGCCCAATTCTCTAAATACTTCCATTAGTCCCTGGCCTTATCTTATAGTTAGGATAGCCTTATGCCTATCCCACACATGCTTAAACTCCTTTACTGTGTTAACCTCTACCACTTCAGCTGGAAGGCTATTCCATGCATCCACTACCCTTTCAGTAAAGTAATACTTCCGGATATTATTTTTAAACCTTTGCCCCTCTAATGTAAGACTATGTCCTTTTGTTGTGGTAGTTTTTCCTTCTTTTAAATATAGTCTCCTCCGTTACTGTGTTGATTCCCTTTATGTATTTAAATGTTTCTATCATATCCCCCCTGTCTTGTCTTTCCTCCAAGCTATACATGTTAAGTTCCTTTAACCTTTCCTTGTACGTTTTATCCTGCAATCCATGAACCAGTTTCGTAGCCCTTCTCTAAACTCTCTCTAAAGTATCAATAACCTTCTGAAGTCTCCAGTACTGAGTACAATACTCCAAGTGAGGTCTCACCAGTGTTCTGTACAATGGCATGAGCACTTCCCTCTTTCTACCGCTAATACCTCTCCCTATACAACCAAGCATTCTGCTAGCATTTCCTGCTGCTTTATTACATTGGTACACTGGTAACTTTTAAGTCATCAGAAATAATTACCCCCAAATCCCTTTCCTCAGATGTTGAGGTTAGGACTCTATCAAATATTCTGTACTCCACCCTTGGGTTTTTATGCCCAAGATGCATTATCTTGCACTTATCTACATTAAATGTCAGTTGCCACAATTCTGACCATTTTTCTAGTTTACCTAAATCATTTGCCATTTGTCTTATCCCTCCTGGAACATCAACCCTGTTACATATCTTATTATCATCAGCAAAAAGACATACATTACCATCAAGACCTTCTGCAATATCACTAATAAAAATATTAAAGAGAATGGGTCCAAGTACAGATCCCTGAGGTACCCCACTGGTGACAAGTCCAAGCTTCGAATATATTCCATTAACTACAACCCTCTGTTGCCTGTCACTCAGCCACTGCCTTACCCATTCAACAATATTGGAATCCAAACTTAAAGATTGCAGTTTATTGATAAGCCTTCTACGTGCAACAGTGTCAACAGCCTTACTGAAATCTAGATAAGCAATGTCTACTGCACCACCCTGATCTATAATTTTAGTTACCCAATCAAAAAAATCAATAAGATTAGTTTGACATGATCTCCCTGAAGTAAACCCATGTTGTCTCTGATCTTGAAATCCATGTGTTTTTAGATGTTCAACAATCCTATCCTTTAACATGGTTTCCATCACTTTCCCCACTACTGAAGTAAGGCTTACTGGCCTATAGTTGCCTGACTCCTCCCTATTACCTTTCTTGTGAATGGGCACAACATTAGCTAACTTCCAATCTTCTGGGACTACTCCTGTTAACAATGATTGGTTAAATAAATCTGTTAATGGTTTTGCCAGTACACCACTAAGCTCGTTTAATAACTTTGGGTGTATTCCATCAGGTCCCATTGACTTATTTGTCTTTACTTTTGACAGTTGAAATAGAACCTCTTCCTCTGTAAAACTCACATGTAACAAATGACTCATTTGTCCTTTTTCCTAACTGAGGCCCCTTTCCTTCATTTTCATCTGTAAATACTGAACAAAAATATTCATTGAGGCAGTCAGCCTGACCTTTATCCTCTTCTACATACCTTCCTTCTTTTGTTTTTAATCTAACTAATCCTTGTTTTACTTTCCTTTTCTCATTTATGTGTCTAAAAATGTTTTATCCCCCTAAACCACAGTGACTGATGATCACTGGATCCTAAACTTTCACCTACAGTAATATCTGATACCAAATATCTATTTGTTAACACTAAATCTAGTATGACCTTCTTATGAGTTGACTCCTCAACGAGTTGTTTTAGAGACAATCCCAGTAGGGAGTTTAGAATATGTGTGTTCCTGGCACAAGTAGCTATTTTGGTTTTCCAGTTCACATCAGGAAGATTAAAGTCAGCCATGATGATAACTCCCCCCTTCATTGTCATTTTAGCTATTTCCTCAACTTGTAGATTATCCAACTCTTCTATTTGTCCTGGGGGCCTATAAATCACACCTACACGAGTTACTGTGTGATTACCAAATTCTAACGTAGCCCAAACGGAATCTATGTTTGCCTCACTAACTTTTATTAGGCTAGATTTTATGCTATCCTTCACTTACAGGGCCACCCCTCCCCCTTTCTCGCCTTCCCTATCTTTCCTATATAAAGAGTACCCTTGTATTGCTATGTCCCAGTCATTTTTCTCATTATACCATGTCTCAGTAACAGCGACTAAATCTACACTATCAGTTGCCATTATTGCCACAAGTTCATGGATCTTATTCCCTAAACTGCGAGCATTTGTAGACATGACTCTAAGCTTATCATTTTTTAACACACTTGCTACAGGCACCGTCTGTCCTTGTTTTGGGGGGCAATTGGATTGATGTTTTATCACCCTTTTGCCCCCTTCCCTCCTAGTTTAAATACATCCTAGCAAAACCTCTGAACTGGTCACTGAGAACATTTGCTCCCTTTTGAGAAAGATGCAAACCATCTTTTTTGTACAGGTTATTTCCATTCCATTCCAAACAGAGCTACCATGAGAAATAAAGCCAAATCCTTGCTCACAAAACCATTCACCAAGGCAAAAGTTAAAGTCCCTAATACGCATCCGCCTGTCGTTCTGTATTATGCACAGGCAGAACTTCAGAGAATGACAGTATGGAAGCAACCTGCCTTATATCATTGGCAAAAACACTAAAAACTTCCTTAACCTCTGAAACCTCATTGCAAGCCAAGTCATTTGTCCCAAGATGGACAAGTACATCCAATTCACCTTCCTGCTTTGCTCGCTTAACAATATTACAGATACGTCTCCTGTCTCTGTGAGCAGTAGCTCCGGGAAGACATTTCACAAGATCACTATTGTCCAGCACCAACACCTCTTATGATGGAATCCCCCAACAACAACTGATTTCTATTAGGCCTCACTGTAGTCTGCAAGTCTGTCTCCACAACACCACTACACTTGGTGCCTGAGCCTGTCTCCACAACACCACTACACTTGGTGCCTGAGCCTGTCTCCACAACACCACTACACTTGGTGCCTGAGCCTGTCTCCACAACACCACTACACTTGGTGCCTGAGCCTGTCTCCACAACACCACTACACTTGGTGTTGTGCCTGACATTTCATTTAGATGGGCTCCCTAAAACACCAACCTACTAGATCGGATAGTTTTAGTGATGGTTTAGTAATGCAGAAGTTTAAAATTCCCCATTATCAAGGCGGCTGAAGAGTCCCTTTTTTTTGCCAAACCACTCCCAAACCGTTTGACATTAGACAGAGGAATGACACTCAGACTCCCAGCACCATGATCTGTAGTAGCTGTGGTACTTAGAAGGTCCTTTTAACGTCCAGTAATAGTGGTCAACACCGGACAACATTTGGAATATGTTATTCTTTGCACTCCGAGCCAAATAATCTCCTAGCTAAATTATTTAGCCTTGTTTAGATTACAACGAGATTAAACTGAAACCCTGTTGGCATACATTGAGAAACCTAAATTTAAGTAAAATAGTATCCCTTCAGTCCATTTTACAATTAACGGGAGCCTGTAAGGCGAAGAACGGATGCAACTTTTTAATAGTGCCATGGTTTATATCAAACTATTGTGATAGATTTCCTTTCATAAAGATGTGTCAATATGTACTTAAAGAAAGCAACCTTAGACTTCCATTACAAGATAAATGAAAGAAAGTTATTTTCTAAATAATTACCCATGCTGGCAATGATGCTGTGTACGGGCAGTCGGGATGGCCCGTCATACAGTCCCCGGCCTTTCCTTTTCTGCTTTTCCTCCTGCTTAAAGATGAAAGCTGAATTTTCCTCCTTGGTGATATTAATGTAGAAACAGGTGTCGGATCCCGCCATGATGTGTCTGGGACCAGGATTCAATAATATGCTCTTATTGTCTTCTCTCTTAACGCCGATCAAACACACTCCGTATCTACAACACACCCACAGAGGAGACAAAGAGACAACTTATTAAATATTTAATATTCAAATTTTATATTAAAATATAAAAAAATATATATATCATATATAAAAATATATCAGTATATTAGAAAACAAATCTAAATATTAAAATATATTTTTATCCAAAAATATTAAAATCAGTGCCATAATTAGTTGTTTATTCTCCAACTGCTTCTATTGTCTTACGACCGATACAGCAAAAGCAATTACATTGTATACTTATACAGCCAATTCTCTCTCCCCCTCCTCCCCCCCAATGGGCAGGTTACTCTTACATGACCCTCTCTGAAGATCATATAAATCTTTAGTTGCAGGAAAGAAAATTTAGGACAGTAATAGGCAGATTTATTGCACGCAACCTTTAATCTGTCAGTTACCGGCCACTCATTCCCTCTAGAGGACAGACATTCTCCTTGTAGAAGAGAAGGGAATGCTCCCTTAGAATAGCATTTTCAGTCTACACAGAATTAGCTGTAATCCCCAACCTCAGCTTCAAAGAGATAAATAGGCATCATTGTAGAAAATCCTGTCATTTTAAAAATATATATGTTTTTTAAATGGAGCTTCAATCGGAGGGCTGAGTGTTATTCAGGGCTCTGACACATGTGAGTGGAACTTATGTTTGTATCAGAGGGTTTTTTCTTAGAGGTTATTTTATTTATTTATTTTTTAAATATCTGATTAAGTGAAAAGAGCCAGAATAAACGCTTTGATTTTAGAGTCTTTTTCCAGGCTCTATTAAATGTGAGTGGGCACATTAAAAGCCTTTCTATAATTTTAATTTCCTTCATACTGTATTATTCATACTAGCACTATTGTATGTCTTTTTTTTTCCTTTTTGGTATACATGTGTCATTGCCAATTAAGAAGACTACACATAAAGGGTATTATATGAATTTATTATAAATACCATATTAATAGGGTTGTTTTGTGGTTGTTGCATATTGCTTGATTTTTGCACATAAAATATTGAGAGATTTTAGTTGCAGTTTCTGTTTGGGTCATGTGATAAGCATTTTTGCAATTTAAAAGGATTATGCACTTTAGCATTGGAACGATATTCTAGCACTTTCCTAGGGTTACTCTATGAGTAAAAAAAAACAATTCTAATTAAACAGTAAACCATTAAGCAAACAAGGTTTAACAGTTAAAGGTTATGGGTATCTGTCCTTACTTTTTGTGTGCATGGAAGGCTGCGTAAGTAAAACTCTTCCCTTCGTACTCCATGAAGAATTTGCTGTCCGCCATTCGGATATGATAAACCTCATTACCAGAACAGCGTCCGTACATCCTCTGCCACTGCTCCGGTGACTGCTGGCCTTCCCTACAAGCACGGGGGTGAGATTAAATTCTGGAGGCTTGATTCCACTTCAAACAGAGCTGCTATCAGAAACTTCTACATACTATTGTACAGAACTCTAAACACTGTCTGTGCCCTGTATGGTACTGTCCAGTTAGGCCAAGAGTAAACCGATTGGCAGATGCTGTGCCAACCAAGAAAATTATGGTGGGGAAAAACTGTGATTGAAAACCTCTTCCACCTGAAGTCAATGTATAGGGAATACATTGTTAAACATAGATCTGTACACCGGTCAAGCCATAAGACTTGCTTTGCCCACAGAAATGTCAAATTTGCAGTGATGTTACTACTGCAAGGGATTCTGGGTGGGCAAATGCAAATTAATTCAATAAAGAATCACAAAGAATCATGTTACATTATAGATATTTGAATTACAATGAAATGTATAGACAGAATAATGAATTGCTTGCAGGGCATAAAAGACTTGGACCACATACACTAATTTTATAAATATTTATTATATATATATATGAAATATATGTATATACATACATACACACACACACACACACACACATATATGCATGCATGCACCCACACACACACACACACGTCGTGCATCCATCTATAACCATAACGATGTCTGCAGAGCTTTTTTCATGTAAAGGGCATCTATTATAGAAATCCGGATCAGTAGCGGCATTAAGTGCTTTTTAATTGAATGCTTTCTCTGTTCAGTTCGGATTAGTGCAGAGAAGTCTGACATGTCTAGTGCAGTGTTACGCTGTATACACAGTATACTTACTGCCCCCTAGAGGTATGAACTAGAAGTGTGATGAGCGTTGAGGTTGCCGGGCACACACAATTCAAAGCCAGCATGGCGTATTTAAACTCTTCTTCACAAACCACGTGATCTGTAACAGAGAGGTTTCACACAATTGTTATTTTTACAGAACACAGTGCTGACTTTATTTGGGAAGTGCATTAAAGATCAGGTATACAAAGTCATCAGGATTAAACCGGCATGTTTTTTATTCTGGTTATTAGTCAAAATGAATCGGTCTATACATTAACCCTTTCCTTACGTGGCCCAGTAGTTCTAGACACAGATAGAAGGGTTAATGTATAGACAGTCAATGGATAGGTCGAGACACAGATGAAAGGGTTGATGTACACACAGTCAGTAGATGGGTATAGACACATAGATGGAAGGGTTAATGTGTAGACAGTCGGTGGATGGGTATAGACACATAGATGGAAGGGTTAATGTATAGACAGTCAGGGGGATGGGTATAGACACATAGATGGAAGGGTTAATGTATAGGCACATGGGGGTATAGACACAGATGGAAGGGTTAATGTATAGACAGTCGGTGGATGGGTATAGACACATAGATGGAAGGGTTAATGTATAGACACATAGATGGCAGTGTTCATGTATAGACACAGATGGAGGGGTTAATGTATAGACAGTCAGTGGATGGGTATAGACACAGATGGAAGGGTTAATGTATAGACAGTCGGGGGATGGGTATAGACACATAGATGTAGGGGTTAATGTATAGACACAGAAGGAAGGGTTAATGTATAGACAGTCGGGGGATGGGTATAGACACAGATGGAAGGGTTAATGTATAGACAGTCGGGGGATGGGTATAGACACATAGATGTAGGGGTTAATGTATAGACAGTCGGGGTATGGGTATAGACACATAGATGGAAGAGTTCATGTATAGACACTCGGCGGTATAGACACAGATGGAGGGGTTAATGTATAGACAGTCGGGGGATGGGGAAAGACACATAGATGGAAGGTTAATGTATAGACAATGGGGGATGGGTATAGACACCTAGATGGAAGGGTTAATGTATAGACAGTCGGGGGATGGGTATAGACTCATAGATGGAAGGGTTAATGTATAGACACACGGGGGTAGAGACACAGATGGAAGGGTTAATGTATAGACACACGGGGGTAGAGACACAGATGGAAGGGTTAATGTATAGACAGTCGGGGGATAGGTATAGACACATGGATGGAAGGGTTAATGTATAGACAGTCGGGGGGATGGGTATAGACACATAGATGGAAGGGTTAATGTATAGACACATAGATGGAAGGGTTAATGTACAGACAGTCAGGGGGATGGGTATAGACACATAGATGGAAGGGGTTAATGTATAGACAGTCGGGGGGATGGGTATAGACACATAGATGGAAGGGTTAATGTATAAACAGTCAGGGGATGGGTATGGACACATAGAAGGAAGGATTAATGTATAGACAGTCGGGGGATGTGTATAGACACATAAATGAAAGGGTTAATGTATAGACAGTCGGGGGATGGTATAGACACAGATGGAAGGGTTAATGTATAGACAGTCGGGGGATGGGTATAGACACAGATGAAAGGGTTAATGTATAGACAGTCGGGGGATGGGTATAGACACACAGATGAAAGAGTTAATGTATAGACAGTTGAGGGATGGGTATAGACACAGATGAAAGGGTTAATGTATAGACAGTCGGGGGATGGGTATAGACACACAGATGAAAGAGTTAATGTATAATCAGTCGAGGGATGGGTATAGACACAGATGGAAGGGTTAATGTATAGACAGTCGGGGGATGGGTATAGACACACAGATGAAAGAGTTAATGTATAGGCAGTCGAGGGATGGGTATAGACACAGATGGAAGGGTTAATGTGTAGACAGTCGGGGGATGGGTATAGACACATAGATGAAAGGGTTAATGTATAGACAGTCGGGGGATAGGTATAGACACATAGATGAAAGGGTTAATGTATAGACAGTCGGGGATGGGTATAGACACAGATGAAAGGGTTAATGTATAGACAGTCGGGGGATGGGTATAGACACAGATGAAAGGGTTAATGTATAGACAGTTGGGGGATGGGCATAGACACAGATGGAAGGGTTAATGTATAGACAGTCAGGGGATGGGTATAGACACAGATGGAAGGGTTAATGTATAGACAGTCGGGGGATGGGTATAGACACATAGATGAAAGGGTTAATGTATAGACAGTCGGGGGATGGGTATAGACACATAGATGAAAGGGTTAATGTATAGACACACGGCGGTATAGACACAGATGGAAGGGTTAATGTATAGACAGTCGGGGGATGGGTGTAGACACAGATGGAAGGGTTAATGTATAGACAGTCGGGGGATGGGTATAGACACAGATGGAAGGGTTAATGTGTAGACAGTCTGGGGTATAGACACAGATGAAAGGGTTAATGTATAGACAGTCGGGGGTATACAGTAGACACAGATGGAAGGGTTATGGATAGATAGATATGCACACACTTGGAATTAGTATAAAGATAGATGGTGTTATATACGCAGACAATCCAGATACTGTATCCACAAAGCCGGACAATGAAATAAAACTGTCTGTCACTAGGAGTCATGTGATCTCTCTTTTGTTTTCGTAACACGAGTCTCACCTGCAAATTTCACATGGAACTTATTTTCCGGTTTCAGAATCTGGACATACAGGGGGCAGTTGGGTGCGAAGTCTTTCACGGCCCAGGCTCTCAAAATAGTCTGATGGTCCTAATGGAAACAAATTTATTAGGATGGTTTGATTGATGGTGCGCCTTATCGCAGAGAGAACAGGGGGGTTTGTATTCATCGTGCTACGCTTGGCGTGCTTCTGCTATGTACCAATTGGACACAAGCATTCGCCATTAAATACTATAGTAACATATTAACCTCTTCAGTGCCAGAAAGGTGGTCTTCTCTCAAATTAAACCCCGGCTTAAACACTCATGTAAAACAAGCTCTTCTCCCGTTCTCTAGAATGTGTGTTTGTAGCGATTAAAGGAATAATTTCTATCTCACAGTCTGCCACTGCCGGACATTACAACATAGGAGGGTATACTGAGTGTTCTTACGGCTGCCGTGCGGTCCACCTCGTTGCGGCTACTGAGGATAAAACAGGCCTCGGCGTCATCCATTCTGTAAAACAAGAAGCAGGTTTACCTGGCTGTTAGAAAGGTGGTATTAGATTCTTCCCAGGGTCGTGTTTAACATAATGAACAAAGCACGCTAGGCAGCTGCCTAGAAAGATACATTTTTTAAGGGGACCTGAAGAAACGGATTAAGGTGGCTACAAGTCAATACCACCAAGTACCAGTCCATCCAGGCCCCACCCACAACACCTACTTTATATTATCCCATATTTTATCGAGGGAGCAGATCAGTCTGTAGAATTTGTGCCTATAGGGGCCTGGTTTTCTGCTCGTTCGCCAGATTCCTTTCAATGAGCACATCCCGTGGTGGTGATTTGGGGGTTTCGTAAAAATAACTGCTTGTAAAAATGCATATATATTTGTCATATATTTTTTCTGCTGAAACTCATGGCTGTTTTTACGAATATCCTACTTTTTAAATAACAAACATCATGTTATCATGTAAATCCTCAGGGCTAATCAGTTCTCATTTTCTGGGTTCTTTATTTGTTTTTTAAGCCTAACTCTGATCAGCCACAACCACTAACCATTAAAACTACTGACATGTGACGTGAATTACATTAATTATATTGCAACAATGGCACCTCTTAAGGGGAGGGATAGATTAGGTCAGTTCTTTCATTTCATGTGTTGGAAGCAGTAAAAATGGGCAAGCGAAATGATCTGAGTGCCTTTGACTTGGGTCCACTACCCCCGTGTATTGGTTAGATAGTGGTTTGTGCCTCTGAAATGTCCTTCTGAAAATCTGGGTTGGAGGGTCTTGAATCAGCATGTATCCCTTCAATTTAAGAAAATCACGTTCTTGACAAAGATCTTTAAATACGGTTAAGGTTACACTGTCCAAACCAATATAAAAAAGACAGTATTTCCCTTACTTTGCTCTCATGAGATCTTGATCTTTCAGGGCAGAACCTTGGAGATAGATAACGCGTTGAGACCACAGTGGGATCTGAAGGACACGTCTAACTTGAATGTCCATTTCGGTGGGACAAAGAATCACCACATAGTAATCCTGAAACAAGACATTGTTTAACCTTGGGTGATAGGACTAGGTTTTGGATGCACCACAAATAATGGCAAAAGGAAATCAGAGTTCATTAATATACACTTTGATAGGGTCAATCAACAGTTCAATAGTCCAGAAAGGGTCACCTATTGATAGGAAGAGAGAGTCAGTTGACGCTCTCAGCTTCTCAGTAGCTCCCCATTCATAAAGTAGCTTGAGAAACGTTTTTCACAAGCCGTTTCCAATAAAGTTATTATGGTGCCCTTGGTGTCCCTCTAAGGTTTAATTTTTTTTCCTTCCATTTCATGTTTTTAGGGATTGGCTGTCCCTTTCTGGAGCACCCTGCAGGAAGCATTTCCCCTCTTTTTTAGTGTGTGCTTTTTTTGCAAACATATATCTAAGTCACCTGCAGCCTGGGGTGTGCATAGAATTCATTGAGAAAGTCCATGAGAAGATCGATTTTCAGAGAGCTGACACAGAGGACCACGTGCTTCTCAGTTTGGGCTCGATGGCGGCTATAATTTCCTCCAGATTTTTGACGTTCCATCCACAGATAAACCAGTTCTTCAAACTGAAACACAACAAGGGATTTGTTAAGAGCGTGATAAGAGCATATGCTCTGGGCAGATTTTATATTAAATAAACAAATAGAAAAGTGAATGCAAAAGAGAGATTTGAACAAAGCTCAAACGAACACACACAATTATTTACTTACTCAGAAGGGGCTTATTTACTAATCCAGGATTGTGGAGAAAGTGTTTTACTAGGGGATTGCGAATTCCAGGAAGTCCCTTTCTCCATCATCTCAGTAAACATTTATCGAGTTATAAATTAGTATATGTAAAAACAAATAAATAAAATCATCCTTACCTCGTAGTACCGAGTCCACTAACAAGATTAGCCTCAATGGACAGAGCGTGAGACTTTTAAAATAGTAACATGTGCTCGCTGCATCCAGGTTACACAGTGAGCATTGTGGGGAGCTAAGCTGACTGCGCAAGCCAGTGGAAAAATGGGCCAAGCACATGTCTCCTACAGCCAGTGATGTATTTAGGATTTGTGCTGCCCTAGGCAGGATGGTGCTCGGACACCCCCTCTTAATTTAAATTTTCCCCACCCCTTCCAGTCAAGGCCGCACTTTGACTGACAGACGTACACACTCACTGATAGATAAACACTCTCATATACAATGACAAGCACACACTGATTTGACACACTGATAGACAGACACACACTATTACTCAGACACACTGACAGACGCACAAACACACTGACCGACACATACACACACACACACATTTACACACAGATACAAACACTCATTCACTCACAGACACACACACATTTACTCACAGACACACACTCACAAACACACATTCACTCACAGACACACACACACACACATTTACTGACAGACTGTGATTTTCCTGCTCAGCTCCCTTGCGCGCTGCTTAGTGATGCCGGGAGCCGGAGTGATATCATATTCAGTTTCCTGGCTTCATTAAGCGGCACGGAGGGAGCTGAGCAGGAAGAGCTCAGGTGAGTATGCTCCCTCGCTGCCCGCCACCAGCTTCGGGGGGGCTCAAAAGTGGCCAGCCGGCCAGCCCCCCAGGACATGAGACAAGCAAGGGATCTGCCTGGGCGTTTGGGGGGGGGGGGCTTTTTTTTGCCACCCGCTGCAAAGGACCGCCCAAGGCAGATGCCTTGTTTGCCTCGTGTAAGATACGTCCCTGCCTACAGCGAGGCAGTGCCCATCTGTATTGAATAAAAGCACAGGCCCCCTGTGGTGTGGCAGCCCCAGGGGCACCTAATAAAATATGGTTACTTTTGGCCTACCCTGTAGTTATCCCCCCCTCCCCCACCAGTAAAAGGGATCTATTGTCTCAACCCCCTTTGCCCCCCTGCCCTGCAAGTGGGAGCCATTAAAATAAACAGGGAGACCTAGTGATCAGTTTAGTCTCCACCTATTGGCAGTAGTTTGGGGCCCTAAATAACAAGGGGGTGGACTTATTGTCCCCACCAACCCCCACATATATGCTTGTGAAGTATAAAAACTTAAAGCTAAATGCAGAAATTCCCACCGCTGTAGTCTTGCCTTGAAACAGAGTGCCTCTATCTTGGCTCCATGACAATCATTGCTATAATCTCTGCTTGTTTCTGTTATTGAACATACTAAGAGGAGTTGGAGAAACAGAAATAATGTGCAACAAAATGTTCATTATACACATTAAAAACATTCCCCGAGTGTCCACCCTAATGAAATGTGCTGTGCATATTTGGGAATAAAAATTAGAATTTTAAACAGGTCTTCCAACCATCCCTACTAATGACTAATTTTAGGATCCTGTCCAACCGTCCTGGGTTTCTTACAGGGTGTCCTGCCTTTGGGACACTAAGGAGATGCCCCCAAAAAGCATAGCAATAGTGCAGCATTAGACATGTTTGTGCTATGCTCAGGGCATTAGGACCATGCATAGAGCAATGAAACAGCCCTCCATGCATGGTTCATGCTCAGTGGGTCCATCATGCGTGATTGGCAGGTGGCCTGGTGTGAATTCAAGTCAGACGGACCTACAAATTCTCCAGTGGACTTGCTGCCATTCCTTGCAGGTCCATCCTCTTTGAGTGGCTCCAGTGATGCGATTCACATAACTGGCTGGTTCCCTATTATCCTGCCAACCTGGGTTCTAACTCATGGGATGCCGATGTTGGGGGCTGGGATTTCAAATGTGGTTTTATCTGAACAAGCTGACTACCAAGTATAATCGACTGAAATGTAAAAAACCTGAACAGATTATTCCACGGTGAGTCCTTTCTGAATGAATGATACGCTAGGTCCAAACCATTGTTACTGCCTTTGGTGGGTCTCAGTGAGGTGCCCGAGCAAGGGGTCTACATCTGGATTACCCTTTAGACCAGGGATTGTGGACTACATCTACCATAATGCTCTTACAAATAATTCTGGCGAACAATCAGGGGAAATGCACACCTGCTTTAGACTTCAGACAGTGGTTTAGAGAAGATTAAGAATACATTTTATCTGCTTTACAAAAGTACAGCTTTTTTTTTTAACCAGCTCTAGATCACATCAACAACAAGCTATTGCAAAAATCAATAGCCGTTAAAACAATTCCAACACTCCTGATAAACTGTATAATTTTAATATTTTTTTAGTCGTAAGGAAGATACATAAATAACCCTTTAATCTTACAATTTTACACAAGTCTTTCAAATGCCGAGTTACGAGATTGCAAAACAAGATCGTTCCTGTGGCTTTGGCATCTGCATCATTTTGTTACCAGGGAGAGATATCATCAAGTAGACGTGTTTCACGCTCGGTCATGCTTCAATGAACTGGATACTTCCAGAACCTGCGATATGGCAGTGATGGTCTATCTCTTTCCGTCTCAGAGGACAGATAGAATCCCCCACGATGCTACAGGATTTGGCACCGAGCAGACGGTCTAAAAATAACCTGCGGCCACGGAACCGATATAAAAGCTCCTGTTTAAACCTCAGATGAGAGCTTACCTTGATCCAAGATGTTTTTAAGAAGGATCAGGTAAAGGGATTTGAAAAAAACGACTTGATACAAAATATGAGAAGTGCATTGTAGGGCTTCTTTAGAATTCTTCTAAAGTGGAAAAGTCTCACACTATGATTAGTTGCCTTATTGAGTGTTGCAGAATTTGTGGATAAGCATTCCTGCTGCCTAACACGGTCAGGGTTGTTTAGTAAAGTGAGAATTTAAAAGTGAATTTCAAATTCTAAGCATAGTGGACAGAAAGTTTTTCCCCAGTTCGGTTACTTTGGCCATAAAGTTGAAATGCTTGAGTTTTTAATTTAGGAATATAAAAAACAAAAAACACAGTTTACAATTAAAGCACGTCTGGAATATTTCTCTTAGAGCAGTTATAAGGCCATCCTTACTGAGCAGACGGAGTTTCTTTAAAACCATCCCATTTATTAACCGGTGTCCTTTCACTCGGCGGCTAGCTCTGATTACTCTAATTATAGGTCACTTTCATCCTGTTCCTTTGCCTCTATATCATAAAACTAATTTCACGTGCACTCGTACATTATGGAAGCGTCTCAATTTACATTATCATTTAGAAAACAGTCTGTCCTGTACTTCAGAGCCGTTTCATGATTCTAATTTGCCAAATATCGTGATTCTAGATTCTGGTTTCTGACACTTGGCTAATTATACTGTAGACAAATCATGTTCATGCCATAGACCAGTATTATGTCTTACAATCCCTGTCTGACTTTTCTGTCCTTCCGAATATCTCGTGACTACATTTCCACAAAATTTATATAATTAGTCCAACCCCTTTCATCCATTTTTTCGATGAAGGACTTAGGCCCTGGCAACTAAAGAAGAAGAGATGAGATGACCCTTGTGTTTCACCCCTCGTGTGTTTCTTAGAAGCCCCCTTGTGCATCTCTTACTTCCTCCAGCTCCTTTGTGTGTCTCTTTCTTTCCACCAGCCCCTTTCTGTAGCTCTGTCCCCTCAGCCCATTTTGTATGTCCCTCTCACGAGGGCCCTTTGTGTGTCTCTTTCTTCCCCCCAGCCCCTTTGTGTGTCTCTTTCTGCCCCCAAGCCCCTTTGTGTGTCTCTTTTGATCCCCCATCCCCTTTCTGTAACTCTCACCCCTCAGCCTGTTGTGTGTGTCCCTCCCTCGCCAGGGCCCTTTGTGTGTCTTTCCTCCCATGGCATGTATACATAGATATATAGCAACACACAGACACACAACCATACAGGCACACAATACTTAAAAAAAATTGCTAAAAACAAACAACTATAGTGCATCCCCCTCCCGGAGGTCAGGTGGGACAGGAGCTGTAGCTTGTACCCAGTGAAATCAGCCGGCCTCAGATAATGTCAGAAGGAGTCTGGGAGCTGGGGGAAGAGCAGTGGAAGTCACACCATCCTTCTGACATCATCACCTGAGGCCGGCGGACTTCACTGGCTGCTGTGTGCTGGCTGCAGGGACAGTGAGGTGATTTCAATAATTCGAGTCTCCAGCCAGAGGCAGGGGATTCAGATTTTTGCGCCACCCTGCCCTGGCGCCCTAAGACAGACGCCTGTGCCACCTTATGGACGCGCCGGCCCTGCCTGCAATGTACCTTTAAGCATCTCTAAAGTTTAATATTAAAAATAAAAAATGCCAATTCTAGTCGGCTTGTGATGTTCAATGGAAATCTTAAGAATTCAGTTATAAATTTTGAAGGATGATGGTTTATCGTTAGAAAAGCCCATTGTTTCTGCTGGAGGAAACACAACTCTGCACTTCTTCCAATCTGATGATCTGGTCATATTATATGTGAGTGTCATTAAAATGATCAATATTTCAGAAACCCCATGTATTATCTCTGTAAGAACGATTTCAATCACTCCTGCAGCCGGCTTGCTCCCAAGCCTTGTTGAAGCATGAAAAATGACATTTTAAATCTTTAGCTGAATTTAAAATACAATGCAGCCCAGCAGCCCTGACTTTTATACCGAACGATGCATATTTCATGATGAGTGAAACAGCTCTCTCTTCTCATTGCCATTATATATATTTTTAGCAGGGATCGACAATTTTAACTCTGCAATTATTTGAAAATCTGATAGAATTATCAATGTTCTGCAGCAATAGCCGCTGCAGAGTGACACAAAGGCTTCTTGTGGAAGACGGTATTTAGACCCACATACATATTGCACATGCACCCCACTTTCCAAAAACCATTATAACAAGATTCTATAAGTGAAACAGCCATAACATAAAAGCAAGCCCAGACAAGTTGCGCTTGTCATTCTTCAAAAATGCATCATGCATGGCAGCAAATACATACCTACCAAGTGTCCCTATTTAGGTGGGTCAGTCCCTATTTTGGTCTAAATCCATCGGTCTCTCTTTTCTATCCTAATGTCTCTTTTCTAGGAGCTCCATATTACATAGTTACATAGCTGAAAAGAGACTTGCGTCCATCAAGTTCAGCCTTCCTCAGAAATGTTGTTGCTGTTGATCCAAAAGAAGGCAAAAAACCTGGTCTGAAGCACTTCCAATTTTGCCACAAACTAGGAAAAAATTCCTTCTTGACCCCAAAATAGATGTCTCCTTGGATCAATCAGCTATTACCCCACTAATTAGAAATTATATCCCTGTATGTTATGTTTTTGTAAGTATTTATCCAATTTCAGTTTAAACATCTGTATGGACTCTGACAAAACCACCTCTTCAGGCAGAGAATTCCATATCCTTATTGTTCTTACTGTAAAAAAACCTTTTCTTTGCCTTAGATGAAATCTCCTTTCTTCAGCCTAAATGTGTGACCTCGTGTCCTATGTATAACCCTGTTTATGAATAGATTTCCAGATAAAGGTTTGTACTGGCCCCGAATATATTTGTATAAAGTTATCATATCCCCTCTCAGGCGCCGTTTTTCCAAACTAAGCAGATTTAATTTTTTTAACCTTTCTTCATAACTAAAATGCTCCATTCCTTTTATCAATTTTGTAGCTCGTCTCTGGACTTTTTCTAGCGCCATGATATCTTTCTTTAGAACAGGCGCCCAAAATTGCACAGCATATTCAAGGTGTGGTCTTACCAGGGATTTATAAAGAGGCAAAATTATATTTTCATCCCGAGAATTTATGCCCCTATTTATACATGACAAAATCTTACTGGCCTTAGCAACTGCAGATGGACATTGCATATTGCTGTCTAATTTGTTGTCTATAACAATTCCCAAATCCTTCTCGTGTGTGGTTATCCCTAATTCACTACCATTTAGTGTGTAAGTTGCTTGTGCATTCTTAACCCCCAAGTGCATAACTTTGCATTTCTCTATGTTAAATTTCATCTGCCATTTTAGTGCCTAGTCCCCCAATCTATCCAAATCTCTCTGCAGCAAAGCAATATCCTGCTCACATTTTATTACTTTACAAAGTTTTGTGTCATCTGCAAACACTGATACATGGCTTTCAATGCCTATTTCAAGATCATTTATAAATATGTTAAATAGAAGTGGTCCCAAAACAGAACCCTGAGGGACACCACTTACCACTTTTGTCCAGCCTGAAAATTTACCATTAATTACAACTCGTTGTACTCTGTCCTTAAGCCAATGTTCTACCCAAGAACAGGAATATTCATCTAGACCAATTTCTTTTAGTTTGAAGACTAACCTATTGTGAGAACCGTATCAAATGCCTTGGCAAAATCCAAGTAGATCACATCCACTGCAACACCCTGATCTATACTTCTACTTACTTCTTCGTAGAATGCAATTAGGTTAGTTTGACATGACTTATGTTTCATAAAACCATGCTGATTATTGCTAATAACAAAGTTCTTCCCAATGAATTCCTGAATATTATCCCTTAAAAGCCCTTCAAATATTTTCCCAGTTACAGAAGTTAAGCTCACAGGTCTATAATTTCCAGGCACGGATTTTGAACCCTTTTTAAATATAGGAACAACATCTGCCTTCCTCCAATCCTCCGGTACAACACCTGAAACAAAAGAATCTTGAAAAATTAAATACAGAGGTTCACTTATTTCCCCACTTAGCTCCTTAAGTACTCGTGGGTGAATACAGTCAGGCCCCGGAGTTTTATTTACATTAATTTTCTTTAATAGCTGTAGCACCTTGTCTCGAGTTATCCAATCACAAGTTATTTGCAAGTTTTTTGCAGCAAACATTTGCATATCTCTTACCATAGGATCCTCATTAATATATACTGAAGAAACATAGTTATTTAAAATTTCTGCTTTTTCCTGGTCTTCATTAGCTAATAAACCCAACTCTGTTTCAAGTGTACCTACACTTTCATTTTTTGTTTTTTTAGAATTGATGTACTTGAAAAAATGTTTGGGGTTGGTTTTGCATTCTTTAGCTATCAATTTCTCATTTTCTAGTTTAGCCACTTTAATTGCCTTTTTGCAAGCGTTATTGGCTTCCTTATATCTTAAATAGGATGCCTCTGATTTGTCTGATTTAATGCTTTAAATGCCCTTTTCTTATTTTTAATCTCTTGTTTTACTTTTCTACTAAGCCACATTGGTTTTTAATTTGTTTCTTTTATATTTATTACCCAATGGTACATACTGAGAAATGTACCTTTCTAATATTTGTTTGAATAGTTTCCATTTATCCTCAGTGTTTTTATCACTAAGGAGTTTATGCCAGTCGATATGTTGTAGAGCTGCCCTAATCTTATTGAAATTGGCTTTTTTTAAATTATATGTTTTAGTATACCCCACTTGCTTTTGCTTTTTTGAGCTTATTTCAAAATTTACCATATTGTGATCACTATTTCCCAAATGCTCCCCTACTTGAATGTTGGTTAAAAGATCAACATTGTTTGTTATGACAAGATCCAGACAAGCATCCTTTCTAGTTGGTGCTGTGACATAAAGGTGTCATTTAACACATTCAAAAACCTGATGCCCCTTGCTGAAGTACTAGTCCCTCTTTCCCAATTTATGTCTGGATAATTAAAATCTCCAATAATTAACGTGTTACACCGATTTGCAGCTTTCTCAATTTGCTCTAACAGCTGTTCTTCCTCATTAATATTTACATTAGGTGGTTTATAACATATCCCAACCAATAATTGATTTCCCTTTGTTTTCCCCAAGCAGATATCTACCCATAAAGCCTCCACCTTTTCCTCGTCACACTCCACATGCCTAAGATTTGACTTTAACTCACGGTTGACATATAAACATACCCCACCATCCTTCTTGTTTTTCCTATCCTTCCTAAATAACGTATACCCATTTAAATTAACTGCCCAGTCATGTGTCTCATCCCACCATGTTTCTGTTATGCCTATTATATCATATTGTTTAGTGTATGCTATTGCCTCTAGTTCCCCCATTTTGTTATATAGACTCCTTGCATTAGTAAGCATACATTTAATATTATCATGAGTCTTTTGTACTTTTTGTGAATTATCAATATTACATACCTCCTCTGTTCTGAGTTTTCCCCTCCCCCATCTCCACCCCCTTTGTTCTGAGCTAAAGCCATCTCTTTTCCATCCTATCTCCATTTTCTAGATTGCTTTGACCCTCCCCCCCTACCACTAGTTTAAAATCTCCTCCAACCTTCTAGCCATCCTATCCCCCAGCACAGCAGACCCTCTTCCCTTTAGGTGCAATCCATCATGACTATACAGGTTGTACCCAAGCGCAAAATCGTCCCAGTGCTCTAAAAACCCAAAACCCTCTTTCCTGCACCAAGACTTTAGCCACGCATTGACCTCTCTAATCTCCCGCTGCCTTTCTGCTGTAGCGCGTGGCACAGGTAATATTTCTGAAAAAATTACCTTGGAGGTCCTTTTCTTTAGCTTACTTCCTAGTTCCCTGAACTCATTCTTTAGGACCTTCCATTTTCCTCTGACTTTGTCATTGTACCAATATGGACCATGACAGCTGGGTCATCTCCAGCCCCTCCCAATAATCCCTCCACTCTGTCGGCAACATGCCGGACCCGAGCACCCGGGAGACAGCAAACTGTCCGGTTGAGTCGATCAGAGTGGCAGATTACCCTATCTACTTTCTTAATAATAGAGTCCCCTACCACCACAACCTGTATAGCCTTCCTTACCCTCTCAACCCCACCCGTACTAGAGGGGCTGTTTCCACGGCTGTTAGCAGGAACAGCTTCCTGCAGTACAGCTACTCCTGAGCTGATGCTCCCAACATCTTCACTCAAACGGGCAAATCTGTTAGGCTGCATGAGATCAGGACTAGCTAAACCTTTTCTCTTCCCTCCCCCCCCTGCTTCCTCTCCCCACTGTCACCCAGCTACGTGCCTGTTCCCATCTGTCTTATCTCCTCCCTCTCCACTACCTGTCCCCACTAAACTCTGCTCAGTGAGCAGCAGACTCCTCTCAAGATTGTCAATCTCCCTCAGTGTTACAATTTGCCTCTCCAGATCTCTAATCTGAGCTTCCAGAAATGCCACTCACTCACACCCACCACAGAGGTATGGACCCTGGACAGAATCATCCAGGCATGCATACATGCGGCATGATGTGCACTGAGTTAAATTTGCAATCTTGCTAGCACTCATCCCCAGTAACAAAAAACACAAGTGAGCAAAAAAAAAAAAAAAATATTAACCCTCTTGGTTTAAACTCCCTTGTAGTTTCAACTCCTACTTAAAAGAGACTACTTTAAATAGCCTACTTTCAAGCAAACTCCAGTGAGTTGGTGTGTATAACAGAGCTCCACAGCAATAATACTCCCAGTAATGTGTCTGAGTGTATAACAGAGCTCCACAGCAATAATACTCCCAGTAATGTGTCTGAGTGTATAACAGAGCTCCACAGCAATAATACTCCCAGTAATGTCTGAGTGTATAACAGAGCTCCACAGCAATAATACTCCCAGTAATGTGTCTGAGTGTATAACAGAGCTCCACAGCAATAATACTCCCAGTAATGTGTCTGAGTGTATAACAGAGCTTCACAGCAATAATACTCCCAGTAATGTGTGAGTATATAACAGAACTTCACAGCAATAATAACCCCAGTAATTTGAGTGTATAACAGAGCTCCACGGCAATAATACTCCCAGTAATGTGTCTGATTGTATAACAGAGCGCCACAGCAATAATACTCCCAGTAATGTGTCTGAGTATATAACAGAACTTCACAGCAATAATAACCCCAGTAATGTGAGTGTATAACAGAGCTCCACGGCAATAATACTCCCAGCAATGTGTCTTTAAACTACAATAAATGTGTTTGAAATCAGTCTGTGTAAATAAGATACATTGTATAAATTGTTATTAACAGGTCATCTCAAATTTCCCAGAACAGTCTCTCCCCTGGTCACACCCCTAAAATTAAAGTGTGCCTCTTAGATCATTTGAAATACTGGGAGGTGTGTGGACTATAACTTCTAAGTAAGATTTCTCACAACACCCCCACCATGGGTCACACCCCTAAAATTAAATTCCTCTTTGTCCATTTGAAATGTTGGGAGGTATGCAAATATCTTAATTCAGCCCTTTAATATGCATTTTAAACAAGCCTTTTCTGTTATAAACTGTGCCTAATCACCCCGAACTTCACTAGAACTCCATACAACACAGACACAGTTTAAAGTTGGATAAAAATTGTTGCAGCTTTTATTCATTTTATATATTAAACAATAAATAAAGGTGATTGTCAAATCAACACTTAACACGGCATATTAAAAGTCCTGCAAACCCATTTATACCCACATACAATGACCCAACGATAATGCATTGGAAAACGAGAAAAAAAATGAACCTCACTCCAATTACGTGAAAATCTGGGTGCTAAACTGGACCATGGGCCAGCACCACCCCCAGGGAGTAGATATCAGTGATAGAAAGAGGATCCAGGCACTCCAGGTATCTTCACATTTATTGGAACATTGAGACACCGCAACGTAAAGACCCTTTCAGCTTGACAAAGACCCTTCCAGGGGTCGAAACGTTGTGGTTTCTCACTTGTCCCAATAAATACATTTAAAGATACTTGGAGTGCCTGGATCCTCTTTCTACCACGGATACCAACGATAATTAATAGCAGATACAGCAATACTACCATAGAACATAATATAAAATAAACACGGCCACCGAGGGCATCTTTTTCCAACTGCCTCTAAGCAATTTCAAGGCCCATTCCTTTTCCCTTGCTGTTCCATGGGCTTCATGATTCTCTGTCTAAACGTCTATTGCGTTTAAATAATTCTGTGAGTTGTAGGCCATCAACATATGGAAGGGGAGGGGAGGGGAGTTTGAGATCCCTGGTCTATACAAATATTTTACTGGTTTGGGAAGCAGAGGATAATAGTTGTTGTCAAACACTCGAGATGGAATCAGTTCGGCCACAGGTGATGCAGTGTCCTTTTTACCCTTTTCATTCTAGAAATGTTAGGTTTTGTTCTGTTTACAAGATTTTCATTTGAAGTGACCACAAAATATCTTACTAAAATAAAACAAGACACAATTATTTATTAACTTACCTGCAGAGGTAACACTACAAGGGCAACGCAGATCATGATGACCACCAAGAGTTGAGACGGCCAGATTTTAGGGGTGACGTCCCCGTACCCCACTGTAGAAAAGGTAACAATGCAGAAATAAAAGGATTTGAAGAGGGATAGGTTTTCTCCAGCTCTTTCCAAATGCTGGATGCCACACATCCTGGAAAAAAAAAGAATTGATGTATAGTATGCAGAAAAACTTGGCAAACCAGCTTCTTTTATTGAAAAAAACCCCAAAAAACTGTAGAACATTTGGCCTTCTAGAGAGAAAACCATTTATTGAATGTAGAATGTGAGTAGCTTGGCAGACTGTACAGTAGGTGGCGCTGCAACAAGCTGGCGCTAAACCCTGTCCTGCATGCATTTGAGTTCTGTTTTATTTTTTTATTTTTTTTTTAGCATGCATAACTAACTCCAACAGGCAACACATACTCTCCAGATTCTATCAGCTGAAACAATGTTTCAATCTATAAGGGTCATTCACTACAGTGAAAATTTAAAGTGAATTTAAAATTTAAGTGCAACAGGATGGAATCCTACTCTATCCCCCCCACCCAACCCCCTCATTTTGGATACTCTTCTCTTAAACCTGAAGTTCACTTTGAAATCTCACTATAGAGAATAACACTGGGAATATTTTTTTAACCCTTTAAAACTATGTAATTATATACAGTGCCAATGAGATTTTACTTGGGAATAAATATAACATTTTCCAAATTATGACCGCAAACTAAATTCAATACTGTAATAATTTTTCAAGACAACGCATCGAGGACATGGCGTGATAAAATAAATTTAGAGAGAAACAATCAGTGTAATAAAGAGGAATAAACAGGGATGATCCCAAAGTACAAAAATTCTGGCAGGACATAACCAGTACCGTGTTACAGTTTGCAATTGCTGAACGTGCTTATTGCCTATATTGGCAAAGATCTGATCAGAGCCCATTTATTTTAATGCCTGATTTCCTCAGCCTCAGGCACAAGGCTATGTTAACATACAAAAACACCATGAATGGAGATTGGAGACGCAGCTTGAGGCCTTTTGCCAAGAGCGATTGGACATGTTTTTTTGGGCGAGCGAGTCAACGGCCTCTTAATGAGCGCATTTCAGAACAGATTCATGGTTCATATTCATTATACATTTATTAAAGATAATTAAATTCATCAGCAAAATGAAAAAACAAAACACACACACACACACAAAAAAACAAACAATTTCCCGCAGACACGATTGATAATCTCTCCCTTTTTTCACAGAATGTTCCAATCTTTGCTTTCACTTGAAATAATGCTGATGACGACGACTGTCAAACTCAGCCACAAATAAGTATTCTTTGCACTCAGATCTGAGTGACTCATGTGCTATTGTACCTGTAATGCACATTTATTTTATTATAAGCACGGCTGTAACAATGAACAGCATGTTCGCTTGTGCAAAACTAATTATGGCTTCTTTTTTTTTTTATAATCTTTGCTATTTAAATCGAGGATTGTTCATTATAATGCGGAACATTATCCTGGCCACAGCGTGTAATAACTGTAATCTAATGTACAGAAAATAAGATGAAAATGGATGCATTTTTTTTTTCTTCATACTTCGTTTTTTCCTGTACATTATTATTCCTGTACGTTATTTTTCCTGTATGTTATGGCCTCTTACATTATAAAATGGTTTAGGCTGAAACGGCAGATATTAAAATCGTATTTAAGCCGTATTAGATTATGTTTTTTTGCTCACCAGCATTTTAGCTAGCGGAGGGTGAAAGAAGTTATAGTCCACACACCTCCCAGTATTTCAAATGATCTAAAAGGCACACTTTAATGTTAGGGGTGTGACCAGGGGAGAGACTGATCTGGGAAATCTAAGATGACGTGTAAATAACAATTTATACAATGTATCTTATTTACACAGACTGATTTCTAAACACATTTATTGTAGTTTAAAGACACATTACTGCGAGTATTATTGCTGTGGAGTAGAGATGTCGCGAACTGTCCGCCGAACTGTTCGCGAACTGTCCGCTGGCGAACAATAGCTTGTTCGCATTGGGCGACCATATCCGATTTCCGGTCCGCCCCCTATACGTCATCATTGAGTAAACTTTGACCCGGAACCTCACAGTCAGCAGACACTTCCTGGGAGGGAGGGTCTGCTGCTGATTGGGTGGAATGTGTCTGCTGGCTGTGAGGTTCCGGGTCAAAGTTTACTCAATGATGACGTATAGGGGGCAAACCAGAAATCGGATATGTTCGCCCAACGCCAACACGCTATTGTTTGCCGGCGGACAGTTCACGAACAGTTCAGCGGACAGTTCGCGACATCTCTACTGTGGAGCTCTGTGATACACTTAGACACATTACTGGGAGTATTATTGCTGTGGAGCTCTCTTATACAGACACATTACTGGGAGTATAATTGCGGTGGAGCTCTGTTATATAGACACATTACTGGGAATATTGTTGCTGTGGAGCTCTGTTATACCCTCAGACACATTACTGGGAGTATTATTGCTGTGGAGCTCAGTTATACTCTCAGACACATTACTGGGAGTATTATTGCGGTGGAGCTCTGTTATACTCTCAGACACATTACTAGGAGTATTATTGCTGTGGAGCTCTGTTATACACTCAGACACACTGATAGGAGTATTATTGCTGTGGAGCTCTGTTATACACTCAGACACACTAACAATATGGAGCTCCTAGAAAATAAGAACATTAGGATAGAAAAGATGGACAGAGTGGTTTGGGCCCAAGATAGGGACACTTGGGAGGTATGAGTCCACAACAGGTGCCGTGAGGGACTGTGTATGAAGCATTGGCACTACTACATTTTAATTTTAAGAAAGAAACAAACTCAGTTGGTTTTAGACCATAATAATCAAACTGGAAAAAAACTGAAGTGAGAATTTTTCCATTTAGTTATTTGCGTTTCCCTTCTGAATTCTCCACAATTCTTACTTTACTCATCTTTCACAATTCGATTTCTTTAGCGCTTTTAAGATACATTGAACGATGCAGCACAAAAAGCCACAAAAATTGAGGGCAGATGGAAAATTTGTATACTAGTTACATGTGATGTGGATTTTTTGTATACTTTTATCCCACATGACAAATTATGCAATTCTATTAAATGTATGTTGGAAAAAAGGAGAAAGGATTCCTGAGAGACAAATGGATATAATAATAAAAAGGTATTAACCATTTCAATTATTTTTGTTTTTAATAATGAATATTCTTTCTTCAGATATAAGGGACAGCTATGGGGACTAGATTTGATCCCAGTGATGGTAATTTGTGCATGGCCATTTTATTTGGCCCCAAAGTAGTTGGAAGGGAAATCTGGGCTCCTATGTCAGATATATAGAGGGTTAATTTATAATTTGGGAAGGTCTGGAAACAGATCTGGTTAATTGTCATGAATCTCTTAATAATAATCATTGGGGTCTAAAATTTACTATAGACTTTAGTAAAATTTTAATTAAATTTTAAGATGTATCTTTAAAAAAAATAATTAAAAAAATTCTTAATTTAGAATCTTAGACAGCAGGTACAATACAGAATCACATAGTTGACAATAAATTCGGTGTATGACCGTACACGGTACACGATTTATATAAGGGATAGAGATTCACTTCTATTTATTTGAACTGCTATTAAGGGATAATATTCAGGAATTCATTGTGAAGAACTGTGTTATTAGCAATAATCAGCATGGTTTTATGAAACATAGGTCATGTCAAACTAACCTAATTGCATTCTACGAAGAAGTAAGTAGAAGTATATATCAGGGTGTTGCAGTGGATGTGATCTACTTGGATTTTGCCAAGGCATTTGATACGGTTCCTCACAATAGGTTAGTCTTCAAACTAAAAGAAATTGTTCTAGATGAATATTCTTGTTCTTGGGTAGAACATTGGCTTAAGGATAGCGTACAACGAGTTGTCATTAATGGTACATTTTCAAGCTGGACAAAAGTGGTAAGCGGTGTCCCTTAGGGTTCTGTTTTGGGGACCGCTTCTATTTAACATATTTATAAAATGATCTTGAAATGGGCATTGAAAGCCATGGATCAGGGTTTGCAGATGACACAAAACTTTGTAAAGTAATAAAATGTGAGCAGGATATTGCCTTGCTGCAGAGGGATTTGGATAGATTGGGGGACTGGGCACTAAAATGGCAGATGACTTTTAACGTAGAGAAATGCAAAGTTATGCACTTCGGGGTTAAGAATGCACAAGCAATTTACACCCTAAATGGTAGTGAACTAGGGATAACCACACACAAGAAGGATTTGGGAATTGTTATAGACAACAAATTAAGCAGCAATATGCAATGTCAATCTGCCGTTGCTAAGGCCAGTAAGGTTTTGTCATGTACAAATAGATGAAAATATAATTTTGCCTCTTTATAAATTGCTGGTAAGACCACACCTTGACTATGCTGTGCAATTTTGGGCACCTGTTCTAAAGAACGATATCATGGCACTAGAAAAAGTGCAGAGACAAGCTACAAAATTGATCAAAGGAATGGAGCATTTTAGTTATGAAGAAAGGTTAAAAAAATTGAAATCTCTTTAGTTTTGAAAAACGGCGTCTGAGAGGGGATATGATAACATTATACAAATATATTTGGGGCCAGTACAAACCATTATCTGGAAATCTATTCATAAACAGGACTATACATAGGACACGAGGTCACACATTTAGGCTGGAAGAAAGGAGATTTCATCTAAGGCAAAAAAAAGTTTTTTTTACAGTAAGAGCAATAAGGATATGGAATTCTTTGCCTGAAGAGGTGGTTTTGTCAGAGTCTATACAGATGTTTACACTGCAATTGGATAAATACTTGCAAAACATAACATACAGGGATATAATTTCTAATTAGTGGGGCAATAGCTGCTTGATCCAAGGAGACATCTGACTGCTATTTTGGGGTCAAGAAGGATTTTTTTCCTAGTTTCTTGCAAAATTGGAAGCGCTTCAGACTGGCTTTTTTGCCTTCTTTTGGATCAACAGCAAAAACATACGTGAGGAAGGCTGAACTTGATGGACGCAAGTCTCTTTTCAGCTATGTAACTATGTAAGATATCGAGCTGATCAGTTTCGCTAAATAATGATACTTTTTGAAAATAAAACAGTAAATAATTAATGATACTTAAGGGAACATTAAACTAGCCTTTGGACAACATAGTAGAACATTTGTACGCAGTCCACTCATGAAGATTTTATAGAAAAATAAAAAAATTAATTATGCACAAAACATTATTGAGAAAGTGCAGGTAAATGGATTTATTAACAGGTCAAGCTGTCATTATGAACCTTGGCTAAATAGTGTACCTCCGAGTCAATTCTTTAGAATTAGAAGAAATTGTACACATCTAGTTGATTACGAAGAACAAACCCAAATGTTAAAAGATTAATAGTTAAGAATTATTATGAACAGAATTGAAAAGAAGAATTAATTAGAGAAGAACGTATCCAGTATAAAAAGAAGGATAAGGCAGACTTTGGTATTTAGGTAGAATTACTCTCTTTTAAATTTGGTCTGTTTAAGTGGTTACTATGGTAAACGGATTCTGGCCATTAAAATTGCAAGGGATAAAACAAAGTTTTCTCATTCTTAAAAGGACACTACAGCTCCATGTAGAGGTTCTGCTGTCCATAGCCTGTCCCTGCAGTATTAGCATTGTGAAAGGCGGTGTTTTCATTGCTGCCTTGTAACACCTCTAGTGGCAGAGGTCTAGTTTTAAATTGGTTGTGAGCGTAAGACGCTCTAACTTTTTTAAATACCTTTTGTTTTCTAAATTTCAAGTCTTTTAACATAATTTAAAGATTATGGAACTAATGACACCATAATATTAAGAATTTAGTAAAGAATATTAAATATTAAGAAAACACACTTAAATTGCTATAAAGTTTGAATTGCAGTCACATTTGCATAACAGATTTTGACTCCAAAAGATGCAATCAGTCTTGCAAAACGTTAAATTGTATTAACACAGTAAATTTCTCTGTTAAAACTTAAAGGCAGCTGTAGGTAAAATGACTCTTAAATTTGGTCCGTTTAAGTGGTTACTGTGGTAACCCGATTGTGGATATTTAAATTGCAGGAGAAAATTAGCTTTTTCCTCTTTCTTAAGGTTATTAACTTAATCAAGGCCAGTCAAACTCCAAAAGACTAGCTTTTATTTTGGTTGTGAACATAAGTTGATTCAATTTTTTAAAATACTTTCGTTCCCATGGCAACTCAGTTAAGTATATCTTAATCAAAAGTACGGGTGAACATTGAAATTTTAGCCACATTATATGAGAAGGTAATAAAACGGATATATTTATTGTTATAAAAAGATATATGTATTTTTTAATTATCTGATGTAAAATTTAGGGGAAAAAACAAACAGTGAAGATTTGTCATGCAGGAGGGACTTTGAATCAATACAAATGAAAATCCCAGAAAAAATGTCACTGTTTTGTTTTTTTCTTCACATCACCATATTTTTTTTAATTTTTTTTAGAAAAAGCCTTATTGGCGAAACGTGTCAGTGTTTATATTTTACTGTGTAATAAAAAGGACCAATATACTTTTTAATAGTCTTTTTTTTTTATTAAAATTTTTTTAAAGAAGATATTGTACTTAGAGATAGTTTTGTTCCTCCATTAAATGGACTACCTAATAACATTTTATCAAGTTTAAGACTTGTCAGAGTTATTAATCAGACCATATTAGATCTCAGCGCACAGCAGCATTAATGTGCTTTGCATTGCAAGGACTGCGCACCATAACCAATTATTGATTTTCAGAAAATGCAGGAACTCGAGAACAAAGAATACAAATTGTATCTGTGCTTAATACAGTAAGACCGGGATTTTCTTACGCCTACTCAGATACACAAAACAGAGAGGCGGAATTTAGGACATAATAGTTTTAAGCAACAAGTTCTAATTGCAAGATTTGGAGTTTACAAGAAGAATCTCTTTTGAGTAACTGTTTTCAGCCTACAGAGACAATAATTGCTGTGATGTCAAGGGCCAGGTGATTCAGCATCTGACAAGCCTGTGTCACAATAACTCAGCAGTAGAGAATTTTGCCCATTAAGGAAAATTTCTCGCTTCATATTTTTGTGATGCTTGGAGCTTTCAGATTGTAATTGTGGCAAACCTAGCCACTTGTGATAGCATGGACTATATGTAGAAAAAGGTTGCATGTATTATTCTTATGACTTCTTGTATTCCCTGGCTGTACCCTGTGTATTATTGTATGTTACATTGAATTCGTGTGCTAGCTGCCGAAAGCGGCTAGCATTCAAGTGTATCGTTTCACGAACAGCACCATTGCGGGCTGTTCGTGAACCGAATAAGCCATCCCTTAATAGCCCACACAGAGAGGGACATGTGGCGCTCGTTAACCGATTGCAACAATGTTGCAATCGGTAATTAGAGGCTTTCCTAGGTGGCCGTCGTTCGGCTACCGACCACGCGGTGGTCGGCCATCTTGGATCCTTTGTCTCCCCAGCGGTGTTGGGTCGTCGAGCGCGTGGTACTGGAAACGGCTACTCAACGGCGCGAACACCGCTGGGCTTCCAGGCCGTTCGGGAGCTCCGGTCTTTTCGCTATTAGGGTTCCCCATCAGTGTTCGGTACTTTGGGTTGAACTCTATGGCAAAGTGTATTTCGTGCGGCGTTTTAGAAAAAAGCCTTATTGGCGAAACGTGTCAATGTTTCTTTTTTACTGTGTAATAAAAAGGACCAATATACTTATTAATAGTCTTTTTTTTTTTATTTACATTTTTTTAAAGAAGATATTGTACTTATCGAGATAGTCCATTTAATGGAGGAACAAAACTACCTAATAACATTTTATCTTGAGCTAGGCTATGTGCTCATAAACGTGTGAGTATATAAGCTATAAATATATACCATTTAACAGAGTGACATTGTTGTAGCCTCTTTCTTTTACAGTGGAAGCTAGATTGAAGCAAGGCACTGAAAAAACAAGGCTCCACCAAAAGTGAATTGCAAAGCATCTCAAGGCATTACTTTTTCCTGCTGGGATAACTGTATCTTGCAAAAAATCCTGGTGCAACTCTGAAATTCAAAGCAGAGACTTAATCCACAGCTGCCAGCTCTTCATATGAGTGTGATACCTACACGTAATATTTGTATTTAAGGTATAAAAAAAAAAAAAAACTGCTTTACACTATATCGCCGATTCTCTCCTTTTAGGGCAAGTCGGAGAGAAAGAGTACAAAAAGCAACAATAATCATAGAAACATAGAATGTGACGGCAGATAAGAACCATTCGGCCCATCTAGTCTGCCCAATAATAAATACTTTCATTAGTCCCTGGCCTTATCTTATAGCTAGGATAGCCTTATGCCTATCCCACGCATGCTTAAACTCCTTTACTGTGTTCACCTCTACCACTTCAGCTGGAAGGCTATTCCATGCATCCACTACCCTCTCAGTAAAGTAATACTTCCTGATATTATTTTTAAACCTTTGTCCCTCTAATTTAAGACTATGTCCTCTTGTTGTGGTAGTTTTTCTTCTTTTAAATATAGTCTCCTCCTTTACTGTGTTGATTCCCTTTATATATTTAAATGTTTCTATCATATCCCCCCTGTCTCGTCTTTCCTCCAAGCTATACATGTTAAGATCCTTAACCTTTCCTGGTAAGTTTTATCCCGCAATCCATGAACCAGTTTAGTAGCCCTTCTCTGAACCCTCTCTAAGGTATCAATATCCTTCTAAAGATACGGTCTCCAGTACGGTGTACAATACTCCAAGTGAGGTCTCACCAGTGTTCTGTATAATGGCATGAGCACTTCCCTCTTTCTACTGCTAATACCTCTCCCTATACAACCAAGCATTCTGCTAGCATTTCCTGCTGCTCTATTACATTGCCTGCCTACCTTTAAGTCATCAGAAATAATCACCCCTAAATCCCTTTCCTCATATGTTGAGGTTAGGACTCTATCAAATATTCTGTACTCTGCCCTTGGGTTTTTACATTCAAGATGCATTATCTTGCACTTATCCACATTAAATGTCAGTTGCCACAATTCTGACCATTTTTCTAGTTTACCTAAATCATTTGCCATTTGGCTTATCCCTCCTGGAACATCAACCCTGTTACATATCTTAGTATCATCAGCAAAAAGACATACCTTACCATCAAGAACTTCTGCAATATCACTAATAAAAATATTAAAGAGAATTCTACAATACATTTTTAGAACTTCATCAGCTGAACATTTTGTTATTTTTTATAACTTGGAAGATAGTTTTTCGTATATATATATATATATATATATATATATATATATATATATATATATATATATATATATATATTTTTTTTTTTTTTTTTTAATTAGAGGAAAAATAAAATGTGTTTTGGTTTATCCTAATAATTGGTTTTAGGCTTTGTAGAGCAGAGTTCAGTAAGGGAAAAATGCTTTTGAAAACTTCCAATTGTTGAGATGTCCTTTAACATGATAGACAAACAGACCTGTATTAAAAGGGGTATAACAGGGATACATGCTTAGACCCTTCATTGCTGAGGATTTATGGACTATGCAGTTCTGCAATCTGTAGTAGCTTTATTCATGAAACTACATGAATGAAGTTACAATGCAAAGATTAGCAAATCACCTTTCAGCCAATATTACAAATGATGTGACTCTTGACATAAAGGACAAGACAAGATGGCAGCACCCAAGAGGACAGACAGTAGGTCTCTACATCTCCCCCTTTCTTCTCCTTCCAAGTATGTAAAGCCCCCCAGCATTAGACCATGATAATTAGGAGGTAAAGAGAATTGCTCATGGGATATCTTCTTTCACAATATTCCTTAACTTCAAAAGACAAATTGTAATCTTTATGGTAAAAATCAATAGATCTGTGATGAGAGCCTGGAGCTTGTAAACCGCTTTCATTTATCCAGACGGAAAATAAAATAAAAATGGATTTCTGGCTCACATATAAAACAATTCTTTGTTTTGTCTAATATTACTGTAAGATACTCCCCCCCCCAAAAAAACCTCAACAGATAATCAATGATTTTTTACACAGAGCCCTAAAGTGCATCTGTCAACTTTGCTATTTTGTCTTGTTAAATCTGCTTACAGAAATGGTTTATACTTTGCGTCTTTTACGCAAAATGTAATAGTTTAAGACTTGTCAGAGTTATTATTCAGACCATATTAGATCTCCGCGCACAGCAGCATTAATGTGCTTTGCGTTGCAAGGACTGCGCACCATAACCAATTATTGATTTTCAGAAAATGCAGGAACTCGAGAACAAAGAATACAAATTGTATCTGTGCTTAATACAGTAAGACCGGGATTTTCTTACACCTACTCAGATACACAAAACAGAGAGGCGGAATTTAGGACATAATAGTTTTAAGCAACAAGTTCTAATTGCAAGATTTGGAGTTTACAAGAAGAATATCTTTTGAGTAACTGTTTTCAGCCTACAGAGACAATAATTGCTGTGATGTCAAGGGCCAGGTGATTCAGCATCTGACAAGTCTGTGTCACAATAACTCAGCAGTAGAGAATTTTGCCCATTAAGGAAAATTTCTCGCTTCGTATTTATGTGATGCTTGGAGCTTTCAGATTGTAATCAAAGCCAAATCTGAAGCTTATTTCGTCACTCGAGAACACTGAATAGCAGTCTATTTAATCACTAATGAGTTCCTCCAGCATACCAAGCCACGTGGGAACAAAACGGTGGAAGATCATTTTTAATGCCTTACATTGGATAGTACGGCTCGCATTCAAAATCGCTCTAACATTGAACCGTTTCCTAGAATGATCACATATTTATAGACCAAAAAGGACTTTAAATATTTTATTTAAAACTGTGACTATTAAAAGAACACTTTAGAGTTAGGAACACAAACATGTATTCCCAACAATGTAGTGCTCCTCTACCTAGTTCTATAGAGGTGTCTCCCCCCCTACACACCCTGCAATAAGAACGAATTAAAAAAAAAAAGTTTTATTGATTTTTACACACTCAGTGCAACGGAAGCACCTCTAGTGTTTGTCAGGAAGACAGTGATTAAAGGTGTATTTAACCCAGCAACTAAACAAATTTTTTAAATTGCAGGGTTAAAAATGACATTAAAATGTAGTGGTTTGGGTGAATTTAGTGTCCCTTTAAATATATATTCAAAAGGATAAATAAAAAAAAGAAAGAAAAAAAAAGAGAAAAAACAAACTGTCTGTTATATAAAAAAAATAAAAAGTAAAAAAGGCCTAAATATCCCATCCATGGCTGAGAAATAAAATACACACACAAGTCTTATTTCAAATAATTTTTTTTTAAAACGAACGAAATTAGAAGAGAAGAGAATAAAAAAAATAATAATATATACATATAATATAATAATAATAATAATAATAATAATAATAATAATAATAATAAGTAACAATTTCTAAATGTGCCCCCAAAACGATGTTTCAGGACATTTTTCAGTTTAATTTAATACACTCCTGTACAGTGTTTTTATTTTGTTTATCATGTATTTTTATTGTAAATATTTGAATTATAAAATCATTACTAAGAGCTGTAACATTGTCTTTGCCCATCCACAAGGAGATGGGACGGATATGTCCAGCCATCCTTGAACAGATGTGATAAACATCTGGAACCTCATTTTTCACAAATGTAAATTCCTATATATGGCAAAGCAGACAACGCATTTTACATGTAGGGTGGTTACGGGAGGTCTACTGCATCTACCAAACTGGGATGTTTGCGATTGACAATCTAAAGACAATTCTTACCAAATCCAAGAAAGGGAGGGAGGGAAAAAACTGGATGTTTTCATTTTTGTTCCGTCAAGTTCAGTGTAACATCTACAACAAACTTGAACATTCTGATATTTTTCTTTATCGAAACTATTATAATGCTCTCTCTAATTTGTACCACTAAGCTCTCGGTTGAGCTATTGGTGTGTTTTGGTACATGTAGATGTTTTTATTCCACGTCAATGACATAGCTATGAAATATATTGGGCTCTAAATAAAGTCAGGATAAATGATCATTGAAGAAATTCCTACTGAGGAATTAGCAGATCGTTTATTTTAATCAAAATGTTCAAAGCAGGGGTTCAATGAAAAACATAAGGCTTGAACGTTAAAATCCAATTAAAACAAATATCGCATTAAATGGATTGTTCCTCTTTCCAAATGAGAGAGGTCATATTGAGATCCTAAATTCAGAAGTGAAAAACCGCCTTATGGTTAAGAATCAAATGAAGATTAAAATACAATAATGAAAGTAATCTGTATACTTATAATCAAAGGGCGTTAAAACATTTTTGTTGAAGACTCATTTAAAGATGTATGTAACGTTATCATGATAAATTATAAGAGAATCTGACAATCCTAAAGTGTATACAGAATAATATTCCAGAGCTCCGCAGGGGTGGCAGCTGTGCAAGGTCCTAAACCCACAACTTCAAAAGTGGTCACTGTGCACTAAAAAGGGACCGTTTTAATTTAAAGGGACACTATAGTCACCAAAATAACTTTAGCTTAATGAAGTAGTTTTGGTATATAGATCATGTCCCTGCCGCCTCACTGATCAATTCTCTGCCATTTGGGAGTTAAATAACTTTGTTTATACAGCCCTAGTCATATATCCCTGCATGTGACTAGCACAGCCTTCCTAACACTTCCTTTAAAGAGTCATCTAAAGTTTACACTTAATTTATTGCACATTCTGTTTCATTTAGAATTTCGTATCTCCTGTTCTGTTAATAGCCTTCTAGACTCTGCAGGGGCCTCCTCTGAGTGATTAAAGTTCATTTTACGGAGCAGGAGCTACAATCCTTTTCGGTAAGTTACATATAGTTGAAAGTGAAACCATTTTTTTCATGCAGTCTTTGTCAATTAAAGCCAGGGAAGGTGTGGCTAGGGTTGCATAATCAGTAACAGCCTATGGATCAAATCTTAAAATGCTTCTGGGCACGGTTAGAGTCACACCTGGGACCTGCAGCACTGAGCACCAAGACGGGTACTGAGAGACCACAGCTTGAGACTGTGCTCCAAGACCAGTTCACAGTGGATCACAAAAAACAAACCCTTCCTTAACACTGACAAAACTGTCACAACGATCTTTGGAACAGTACCTAAATTACCCAAATTACACAATTCCCATCTATTCATCAATACAAAATGAAATGGCACACTGACCGCGGTCCACTCTTTTAAATACCTGGGTATGATATTAGACCCCAATCTATCTTTTGGCCTCCACATAGAAAAACTTGCATCTAAGCTTTATCCAAAACTAGGTGCCCTGTACAGAAACAAAGCCTGCCTAAGACCTACAGTAAAGGAAAAGATTGTGCAGCAAATGCTGATGCCAATAATTGATTATGGGGATGTAGTATATGCGTCTGCATCGCAATCCCACCTTAATAAACTTAATACATTCTATAATTTGTTCTGCCGATTTGTGCTACAATGTAATTACAGGACTCACCATTGTGACATGCTAAAAGAACTAAACTGGCTGTTGCTGGAATCCAAACGCACCCTTCATCTTTCCAGCCTTGTGTTTAAGAGCTTTTCTGGGAAACTCCCACCCTACCTGAACAAAATGCTGTTCCCACCTCCTATAACCTCCGATCCAATACCAGCACTTTATTTAGTCTACCTCAATACAAAAAGAAAGCAGCCCGATCCTCCTTTTCCTACAGAGCACCGCAATTATGGAACGACCTCCCGCACAATTTAAAATCTTCCCCAAACCTAAAGTCCTTTAAGAGATCCCTCTCTACATATCTCAAAACAGAATGCACCTGTCATGGTTGATTATATATTTCCTGCCTGTGCTATGTTAAATATTGTATTTATTGTGTATTAATATTGGTTTTGTATTTTATTATGCAGTGAGACTGCAGGGCTATGATCTATACTCCAAAACGGCTTAATTAAGCTAAAGTTGCTTTGGGGAATTATAGTGTCACTTTAATTTCTCCCTAAGAGGGAAGTAAAATTGTGTACAGGATATTAACCAAATAATAAATAAATAAAAATCAAGCTCTTGAGGTCAGAATTCAACAGAATTCAATGAAAGAGTTTAGTTAACAGGGGGAGAATAAAGTGCAATAAATTGAATGAAATGGCATCTTACCCCGTGAAGACAAGGCACAATAGGGTGCAGATTAAAATGATGACTTGATTAAACATGGCAGACTGCGTCCTTTGGATGGCCCGATGAAGATCATTCTGCAAAAAATTGTCCATCTCAAAATCCACTTATAAAATAAAAACATGGTAATATTATATGCATAGCGTGATGCAGTGAAGCTGTTAAAGGGACACTCCAAGCTCCAACACACGTTAGATGCACTGTGTAGGTTAGGTTACAGTTAGTTATACTGGGTGGGTTTATATAATTAAATGGACACTCCAGGCTCCAACACACGTTAGATGCACTGTGTAGGTTAGGTTACAGTTAGTTATACTGGGTGGGTTTATATAATTAAATGGACACTCCAGGCTCCAACACACGTTAGATGCACTGTGTAGGTTAGGTTACAGTTAGTTATACTGGGTGGGTTTATATTATTAAAGCGACACTCCAGGCTCCCACACATGTTAGGTGCCCTGTGTAGGTTAGGTTACAGTTATAGTGGGTGGATTTATATTATTAAAGGGACACTCCAGGCTCCTACACACATTAGGTGCACTGTGTAGGTTAGGTTACAGTTAGTTATACTGGGTGGGTTTATATTATTAAAGGGACACTCCAGGCTCCCACACATGTTAGGTGCCCTGTGTAGGTTAGGTTACAGTTAGTTATACCGGGTGGGTTTATTTTATTAAAGGGACACTCAAGGCTCCCACACACGTTAGGTGCACTGTGTAGGTTAGGTTACAGTTAGTTATACTGGGTGGGTTTATATTATTAAAGGGACATCCCAGGCTCTCACACACGTTAGATACACTGTGTAGGTTAGGTTACAGTTATACTGGGTGGGTTTATATTATTAAAGGGACACTCCAGGCTCCCACACACGTTAGATACACTGTGTAGGTTAGGTTACAGTTAGTTATACTGGGTGGGTTTATATTATTAAAGGGACACTCCAGGCTCCCACACACGTTAGATGCACTGTGTAGGTTGGGTTACAGTTAGTTATACTGGGTGGGTTTATATTATTAAAGGGACACTCCAGGCTCCCACACACGTTAGATGCACTGTGTAGGTTGGGTTACAGTTAGTTATACTGGGTGGGTTTATATCATTAAAGGGACACTCCAGGCTCCCACACACGTTAGATGCACTGTGTAGGTTAGGATACAGTTAGTTATACTGGGTGGGTTTATATTAGTAAAGGGACATTCCTGGCTCCCACACACGTTAGATGCACTGTGTAGGTTAGGTTACACTTAGTTATACTGGGTGGGTTTATATTATTAAAGGGACACTCCAGGCTCTCACATACGTTAGATGCAGTGTGTAGGTTAGGTTACAGTTAGTTATACTGGGTGGGTTTATATTATTAAAGGGACACTCCAGGCTCTCACATACGTTAGATGCAGTGTGTAGGTTAGGTTACAGTTAGTTATACTGGGTGGGTTTATATTATTAAAGGGACACTCCAGGCTCTCACATACATTAGATGCACTGTGTAGGTTAGGTTACAGTTAGTTATACTGGGTGGGTTTATATTATTAAAGGGACACTCCAGGCTCCCACACACGTTAGGTGCACTGTGTAGGTTAGGTTACAGTTAGTTATACTGGGTGGGTTTATATTATTAAAGGGACACTCCAGGCTCCCACACACGTTAGGTGCACTGTGTAGGTTAGGTTACAGTTAGTTATACTGGGTGGGTTTATATTATTAAAGGGACACTCCAGGCTCCCACACACGTTAGATGCACTGTGTAGGTTAGGTTACAGTTAGTTATACTGGGTGGGTTTATATTATTAAAGGGACACTCCAGGCTCCCACACACGTTAGATGCACTGTGTAGGTTAGGGTACAGTTAGTTATACTGGGTGGGTTTATATTATTAAAGGGACACTCCAGGCTCCCACACACGTTAGATGCACTGTGTAGGTTAGGTTACAGTTAGTTATACTGGGTGGGTTTATATTATTAAAGGGACACTCCAGGCTCCCACACACGTTAGATGCACTGTGTAGGTTAGGTTACAGTTAGTTATACTGGGTGGGTTTATATTATTAAAGTGACACTCCAGGCTCCCACACACGTTAGATGCACTGTGTAGGTTAGGTTACAGTTAGTTATACTGGGTGGGTTTATATTATTAAAGGGACACTCCAAGCTCCCACACACGTTAGGTGCACTGTGTAGGGTAGGTTACAGTTAGTTATACTGCGTGGGTTTATATTATTAAAGGGACACTCCAAGCTCCCACACATGTTAGGTGCCCTGTGTAGGTTAGGTTACAGTTAGTTATACTGGGTGGGTTTATATTATTAAAGAGACACTCCAGGTTCCCACACACGTTAGATGCACTGTGTAGGTTAGGTTACAGTTAGTTATACTGGGTGGGTTTATATTATTAAAGGGACACTCCAGGCTCTCACACGTTAGATGCGTGTAGGTTAGGTTACAGTTAGTTATACTGGGTGGGTTTATATTATTAAAGAGACACTCCAGGCTCCCACACACGTTAGATGCACTGTGTAGGTTAGGTTACAGTTAGTTATACTGGGTGGGTTTATATTATTAAAGGGACACTCCAGGCTCCCACACACGTTAGGTGCACTGTGTAGGTTAGGTTACAGTTAGTTATACTGGGTGGGTTTATATTATTAAAGGGACACTCCAGGCTCCCACACACACGTTAGATGCACTGTGTAGGTTAGGTTACAGTTAGTTATACTGGGTGGGTTTATATTATTAAAGGGACACTCCAGGCTCCCACACACGTTAGATGCACTGTGTAGGTTAGGTTACAGTTAGTTATACTGGGTGGGTTTATATTATTAAAGGGACACTCCAGGCTCCCATACACGTTAGATGCACTGTGTAGGTTAGGTTACAGTTAGTTATACTGGGTGGGTTTATATTATTAAAGAGACACTACAGGCTCCCACACACGTTAGATGCACTGTGTAGGTTAGGATACAGTTAGTTATACTGGGTGGGTTTATATTATTAAAGGGACACTCCAGGCTCCCACACACGTTAGATGCACTGTGTAGGTTAGGTTACAGTTAGTTATACTGGGTGGGTTTATATTATTAAAGGGACACTCCAGGCTCCCACACACGTTAGGTGTACTGTGTAGGTTAGGTTACAGTTAGTTATACTGGGTGGGTTTATATTATTAAAGTGACACTCCAGGCTCTCACACACGTTAGATGCACTGTGCAGGTTAGGTTATAGTTAGTTATACTAGGTGAGTTTATATTATTAAAGGGACACTCCAGGCTCCCACACACGTTAGACGCACTGTGTAGGTTAAGTTACAGTTAGTTATACTGGGTGGGTTTATATTGTTAAAGGGACACTCCAGGCTCCCACACACGTTAGATGCACTGTGTAGGTTAGGTTACAGTTAGTTATACTGGGTGGGTTTATATTATTAAAGGGACACTCCAAGCTCCCACACACGTTAGGTGCACTGTGTAGGGTAGGTTACAGTTAGTTATACTGCGTGGGTTTATATTATTAAAGGGACACTCCAAGCTCCCACACATGTTAGGTGCCCTGTGTAGGTTAGGTTACAGTTAGTTATACTGGGTGGGTTTATATTATTAAAGAGACACTCCAGGTTCCCACACACGTTAGATGCACTGTGTAGGTTAGGGTACAGTTAGTTATACTGGGTGGGTTTATATTATTAAAGGGACACTCCTGGCTCCCACACACGTTAGATGCACTGTGTAGGTTAGGTTACAGTTTGTTATACTGGGTGGGTTTATATTATTAAAGGGACACTCCAGGCTCCCACACACGTTAGGTGCACTGTGTAGGTTAGGTTACAGTTTGTTATACTGGGTGGGTTTATATTATTAAAGGGACACTCCAGGCTCCCACACACGTTAGATGCACTGTGTAGGTTAGGTTACAGTTAGTTATACTGGGTGGGTTTATATTATTAAAGGGACACTCCAGGCTCCCACACACATTATGGGGAACTTTGTAGGTTAGGTTACAGTTGACCAGCCGCTATGAATGGATGAATTATTCAATTATTGAATCTGTTGTCTGCTTCAAATAATTTCCTGATACAATCAAACATACTTACAATCATATTTTCCAAAACGCATTTTGCCAACCAGCAGTTTAGGAAAACTGGAATGAATAAATTCCGCAATGGAGCCCAAAATATCTGAGAAAAAAAAAAAGAAAATGTCATTTTTTAAGGGGGTGGGGGGGAATTACAGTGTTGATTTCATATTTACATAATTTAATATGATAAAACATTTTGATCAATATATTTCTATATAAATATATATTTTTTTATATTTTGAACAATTTTAGATCAAGGCCCAGTACATGCTTCTGTAAGGTTTTTTTTCATGCCTAATAGCCAATATTACAATATACAATAAATCTTGCACATGTATAGAACCAGAGTTATTTTAAAATCTAATTGGGTTATTCACTGGGTGGGTTATAATTTTAGGCAAATAATTCCACATTTGCTTTTGGAAACTTTTTTTTTTTCTCCAATCATCCATGTTTTCAGTTGAATTATTTTGGCCTAAATTTTGATATTCAGTTTTAATTCACAAAACATTCTGCAGCATAGCATGGAGAGGAAGAAATGAGAATTGTAAATACAAAAAAGATACAAATGAAGAGTCGGATTTTCCTGGAATGTAATTGGAGGGATTCAGGAGAATTTTTAATAAGCCACAACACAGACAGTGGAGTGGTTTATAAAGGTCTCCAGACTCCAAAGATGTATTTCTTTCCCCAGAATACTCACCGTAATGTGTCTTATGTTACATGATATTTTAATAGTGAGGCTAGGAATGGGGTCCTTTAATCTCGGCAAGTTTAGGAACCTTCTAATCTCAACCTATACAAGACTGTTGGGAGTTCCATTTTTTGTATTTCTTTCAGCCCCTTTCCATTTTGTGACGCACCACGCAAGGAAGTACAAAGTAAAATCACGCTATCAGCGTACCCAGCACCTCACCACCACGTCCGACCTTTGTGTAGGGCAAGCAGGGCACCCGTCCATCACAAGTGCCGTTGATCCATTTATATATGAAACAATCATTGGCACGCTCACCTGCTGCAGTGCTCGGCTAATGCTACTGGCACAGGCTAGCTGCACATATCGATCTATATTAATGCTGCCGCATTAAATTTGAATAAAGAATAATGCCTAGCCCAGCCCTGGATTTTTATGTGTGTCTATAAATGCTTGATCTACGTTGAATTGAAGTTTGTTTTAAAGTAAAATAACATTTCCTGATTGAAAATAAATTATCTTAGAATGTTGTATGTTGATTTTATTTGCTTGGCGTTTGCGTTTCCAACCTTCCCACCATAAATTTCTAATCTCCTCCAAAAGTAAACAAAATATAATAATAATAATAATAATGGGACAAGGGCAGGACAAGAGGAGGCAGAACAACAAGGGGGTATGGCACATAGAGTGGTGGGGCACAGTCAGGGCCAGATTAAGAGCCCAGTGGGCCTGGTGCTGATAATTATGATGGGCCTAGTTACAAAATTTTATTGACCAAAAATACTAAAACAGTCCTACCTCCTAAGCGTCATGTATCTGATTGAGATGGTGCTGGAGGGAAACTCATAGGATGCAGCTATGAGAAAACACATACCCACGCTTTCATCTTTCAAGTAAACCCATACCCCCTAACAGCAGTGTCCAGTAAAGCAGGAAGTCTATGGACAGGGCAAAAGGGTGGGCCACTGACACAAATCACATAACCAGAACTGCCGAAAGGGGCGAACATACACAAAAAGGGGGCATGTCTGTGTCCCCATGTCTCCCAGTCCCTTAGTGTCTGTGTCCCCATGTCTCCCAGTGTCCCTATGTCACTAGGATACTAGGGGACATTGAGAGACATTGGGACACTCAGAGACCTGGGGACACTGGGAAACTGGGAGACATGGGGACACTGGGTAACTTTGAGACATGAGAGGACACTGGGAGACATGGGGCACTGAGACACTGTGATACATAGGGGACACTGATATATAGGGGACACTGGAGACTTGATAAAGACCTGGGTACAGGTCAAAATGTTGCGGTGTCCAATAAACCTGCTTAAATCTATCACAGTAAGTGCCTGAGATTTTTTTCTTTTATACTAGGGACACTGAGACACTTGGGGGCGCTGTGAGACATGGGGACACTGGGAGACTAAGGGACACTGAGACACTAAGGACACTGAAACACACCAGGGATACTGGGAGACATGGGGCACTTAGACACTCTGATACACAGGGGACACTGTGATACATAAGGCACACTGGAGACTTGATAAAGACCTGCTTACAGGTTGAAACGTTGCAGTGTCCAATAAATCTGCTTAAATCTATCACAGCAAAATAATAACTACCTATTTCCAGAGCTAAAAGACTCTGAATGTCGGTGTTAGCTGGAAAGGAACACAAGATGAGGAAATGTATGCTCTTTGATAGAATGCTGCACACCACTTATATTAATGGTCAGATAGCAAATCCAAAGCCAACTGGCTATACCTCTACCTACTCAGAAAAATAGATGATATATGCAGAAATAGATAAAGAATATAAAGTCGTCCAATTGTCCTAATCTCTGACTTTATTGAGTGAGGTCTCTATCAGGAGTTGGATTTTCTTATATCACACTGAGTAGGTGTCCAGGATACAGGGAGCAGATGGCTGATGTCATTGATTCTACAATATCGTAATATAGAACTAGTAGAAGGTTGTTTGTAATTACAAATTGTTGCAATCTCTCTTCTCCTAATTTTGGTTATTGCAATTCAATATAGGGGACAGTTTGAGTGAAGAAACTGAGCCAGATAGCTGTCAGGTTAGGGCTTCTGTATTATCACAGTGTTGCAATATTGTTGCAAAACAGAGAGAGCATAAAGAGGATACTAATTCGCTACAGTTGCTTTAACCCTCAGTTGTATGGGGTTGGTAACTTGTTTCAGCTTGCAACCCCTATCTACTGCTCTTATCTAATGCCTGTCTTGAATAAACTTGAAGAATTAAAAAATAAGTGAAAAATCTCTCTGTGAACTAGAAATGATTGAGTAATTATTAACTCATAAGGAAGAATAGAGACAGGAGTAAAAATATAACAGCTTCTCTCTGTTGGTTGCTCACCAGACTTAAATTTATCACAGTGAGTGCCTGAGATTTTTTTTTTTATACTAGGTGACACTAGGAGACATGGGGACACTAGAGGATATTGGGACACAGACACTGGGAGACTAGGGGACTTTGGGAGACTAGGAAACACTGAGACACTGCGGACACTGGCACACTGCGGACACTGAGAGACACCAGGGACATGGAGACAAGGGGATACTGAGATACTAGGGACACTGGCTAGAAGACATAGGGACACTGGGAGTGCCCCATGTCTCCCAGGTCTCAAAGTCGCCCAGTCTCCTCATGTCTCTCATTGCCCCCTAGTGTCTCAGTGTCCCCATGTCGCACCAGTGTCCCCTAGTATTTGTATCCCCATGTCTCCCAGTGTCCCTTAGAGTCTGTGTCCCTATGTCTCCCAGTGTCCCGATGTCACTAGGACACTATGGGACACTTAGAGACATTGGGACACTGGGAGACATGGGGACAATGAGAGACATGGGGGGACATGGAGAGACATGGGGACACTGAGAGACTAGGGACACTGAGAGACACATGGGGACACAGAGACCTGGGGACACTGAGAGACATTAGGGACACTGGGAGACATGGGGACACTGGCTGGGAGACATGGGGACACTG